AGGGCCTCGTCCTCCGCCTCGCGCTTCTCGGGGGCCGTGTAGGCAGTGTAGTAGAAGCGCTTGTCGAGTGCCTCCTCATCACGCTTCTCTGGGGCAACATAGTGGGTGTAATAAAATCCCTTGTCGAGGGCCTCCTCGTCACGCTTCTCCGGAGCAACATAGTGGGTATAGTAGAATCTCTTGTCCAGATCCTGAGGGGGCGACTCAAGCTGGTCAAGGTTGCTGGAGACAGGAAGGGCGAAGGTGAACCCTGTGGCTCCCAGGAGCGCAAGAAGGCAAGAGAGGTGCATCTTGACAAGCAAGGTAGTCCAAAATATTCAGAGGAAGTGTGGCGGGGGGTGAGGTGTGGAAAGATGAGAAGAAACCGCCGATGTAGACAGGAAGTCCTTTATAGAAACTTGGATGGGAAACTTGGATGGGGTGTTCAGGTGGTCTGCTTGGTTCCGCGGCACTGAAAGCACCCCGACTATCACAGTTCCCGCCGGCCCAGGTCTCGGGGGGTTTCTACTACCCTGTAGGCGGCTGTATGTCAGAATCACCGAATGAAGAACCTCTGGCATCACATTGTAGACAGGTTTGTCCCTCAGAAGCTGTATCGATGAACCTTGCTGATCTCGACGCCACGCATGAGGCTACATCTTGGCATTGCAATGAAGAGTGATATATTGCTGAGCTATTACTTCATTGAGCTTTCATGCGGTTGATTTAGAACCAGGCGTACCGGTACCAGTACTGATTGTGAATCAAGTTGAGGAGTATGATTCATGGGTTGGACTATTCACATTCCCATGTGCAACAGTAGAAGCCACTAGTGTTGTGCAATCAGAGTAGGTAATAAGGCTCAGCTCCGAACCCACGTCTCTGCTAGTGGTACGGCATGACCGGAACCCTTACTCGGGCCTATCATTGCCGAAAGAAGTAGTTCGAATGGACATCCATGCAGCAGCGTGCAAATGTGTTGTGAACCGCAAGTCTTTGCCCCATTATAATTGCCAATTCGACTGCAGGGGAGCTGAACATCAGCATGTGACCTTGTGATGCTCCGGTTCTAGGCCATCTCGGCTCAAGTAAGATAAGTCACATATGACCTCAGTGTGTTTATTGCATGCACTAAGTCTGTGATCTTCGCTTCAGTTTCGCCATTGCGGCTGGCGATGCACGAGACCCGCTGTCTATCACTTCTGGGACTGCATGATGCCATCCTGCTCTCATGTCTGACGCCCTCACTACCGTAGGTACTCAGGTTTTACTGTCATAGGCACTGCAGGTATCTTCTTCAATGCTGAAAGCGATTTCTGCCCACCTAGCTCGCACCTTCAGCATCTTATGGTAGAACCGAGTTTCCAGAGCATCACTCGCACCCACAATGGTGTTCTCTAAGCTTCTCAGAACCTTTCGTCAAGATTTCAAGTTTCAAGCCCTACAGACCGAGAGTCGCGATAGCGATGAAGAGAATATCGAGTCAGAGGAGCTGCTTACCAAGAGGAGCCCGCCGCAAAACCTCTCAAGAGCCTGGATATACTTGACAATCGCAAACGCACTTCTCCTGAGTATAACCATTGGTCTAGTCCTCAGCGCTAAAGGCAGCTTTTCGAGTGAAGAGAAAAATGCGATTCTTAGGCCAGTGTCATGGTGGTGTGAGTCTCCATACTCCATTCCAAATGCTTCCCCGGGCCTAAACCAGTGGACTAACACAACGAAAGCACCTATCCTGGACGACATTGAGATTCCAAGGTACCAAACCATGCTAAATGGAACGCTCTTCGCTCTTCCAGAAATATCCATCGCCCGCGAAGAGCCCAGCGCTGCGAACGATGCCGATTGGGCGCGATTCGAAGACGTTCTGACACATGTTGTGACTCGCGAGCAAGTCCTCAAGCTCGGTAAAAACCCCGACACCGTCGCGCGCTTCGATAATGATTATTGGGGAATGGGAGATGATGCATACATGGTTCAGCTGGACGTGATGCATGTAAGAATACCCGTTGTCCTCGTTTCTCTGGTCCTTCAGCTGTACAAGGCAAAAGTACTGACCCCATGGAACCACAGCAAATCCATTGCCTGAACATGCTGCGCAAAGCCGCTTTCGCCGACTACCCCGGCTACGAACCCGAGCTGGATGTTAAAGATAAGATGTGGTGGATTCATCTGGGCCACTGCACCGACATCCTGCTACAGAATCTTCAGTGCAATGCCAACACGGAGGTCTTGACATTGGACTGGGTCGAAGATCGTCACGCTCCATGGCCCGACTTTAGTGTGAACCGCAAATGTCGCGACTTCAATGCTCTCTTGGACTGGCAGCACGACAATGCGGTCGACACCGCTAAATTCGATGCTATGCCCTTACCGAAGGATGCATTCGTGTGGCCAGCCCCGTGGAAAAAGCAAGACTATGAACTCGGCATAAAGCTAGGCGACCATCATCTGCAAGAAGGGGAACCTCTTAGGGCCCCCCATGAGCATCATGCTCATCAATTCAATGTGACTTCCGGGGGCGGTAGATTTTGAATAGGGCCGCAAGAGGCTTGGTTTAGATGGAGTATCCTAATCGGTCTACGAAAAGATGTATGGGAGCATCGAAAGGGGATGCTGGTAGTTTGTCTAATGACACACACATACACGCACACTGCCTCTCTTTCTCCACCGCCTGTGACAAGTTGGATAATCCCAAGCGTAGGACTACATAGGACTCAGAGTAACCTCAAGATAGGGCTATGACGTGATGTTTGACGCACCGGGAACTTTGTGCATATGCCTAAGTGTTTTCTCGACTCGCCTTGGGTATTCCAGCTCAAACTCATAATACCCACCAATCATAACCTGGATAGAAGTGGCCAGGCGGTCGAAGCCACCTTGGAAGCAGCTGTACGAGGGCGGAGACAAGCGGCCATTCTGTACATGCGCAATTTTTACCGTCTCTAGTCAGCGGAAAAACCAAGGCATCTCCATCCCCAAAGTGGGGACGGATACATCCGAAAATCAATTGACTCTGTTTGGTATATTTGATACTATTTAGTCGGGATTTGTCTTCTGCTTCAGTTCATAGCTTAGATCCGAAGGTAAGATGTAACTACTTAGGTAGGTATGTAATTAAGAGCACTAGGTAGTTTAGTAGTTATCAACGGAGTACACTGCGTCTCTGTACTCCGAGTGGATAGTAGCCAGTTACAACAAGTCAAACAATGCCCGACTCGAAAGGTGCTCATATTCCAAATCGGGAAATGATCAGTCTTACTACCGTCGGTGAAGGGACTTAGTGAGACAAACTGCATTTACAGGATCGCCGCTAACTTTCTTATTCACTCATCATTCGCCTACGACATAGATGCACTATTATTCTCGACCCCGCTGTCTATCTGCAATAGATGCAGGGACTGTCATACGGTCGGCAACAAGCGTTTTGATTGAATAAAGTGTGCTGCACTATACGTAGGTGGTGTGTGATTCAAGCATACCGTGGTAGAGCTGTCACATTCCTCACGCACCGAGTGAGTGTCTGTGCAGAAATATTCACCGCCATTAGTCCCTCCCGGAAAGCTGATTCTAAAGAGAGAGAAACTATTATCCTGCTTGTGCAGAGAACCCCCACGTACCAGCCTTCCATTCCAGCAACCGAGCCATCCTAAGAGCCCTTTTTGCGTTCCACATCTACCTCGGCTCTCTGCCCGCTCCTCACAATGACCTATCCTGACGTGTCGTTGGAGTCAGGTAATAATCCCCACGGCGAGGATGAACCGTTCCTCCCTAGAGGGCAACCTGCCAACCAAGCTGGCTGTAGCGGGGCCCCAGAGCCAAAGCTGTCACCACGTACCCGTCTGCGCCTGGTCATCACCGTGGTCGCGATTCTGTTGAGCTTCCAAGTCGGCGGCCAGATGATCGGGGGTCCAATGGTGCGGGTGATCGAGATGATCGCCTGCGATAACTATTGGCGTCGACACGACCCAGCTCGACTGCCCGCCTCCGGCCATCTGCCCGAGCACCTGTGCAAGATAGCAGAAGTGCAGACCGAAGTCGCTACGGTGAAAGGATACTCCGACTTGCTCGAGGGACTACTGTGTTTGTCAAGCGCCAAACCTTGAGAGAAATATGCGTTAGTGCTGACCTTTCATGCAGGCGCCATCTGCGCCATTCCCTACGGACTGCTGGCGGATCGGTATGGTCGCCGACAAGCTATCCGCCTCACTATTCCAGGGTTTCTGCTCAATGCGATCATCACCAACACCGTTCTATGGTTTTCGGGCACTTTCCCCCTCCGTGCGATCTGGCTCGCCGCACTCAGCTGGATCATCGGGGGAGGACCAGCCGTGGCACTGGTCGTGATTTGGGCCATGCTGGCTGATCTGGCCACCGATGCGCAACGCGCAGCGCTGTTCTTCCGGGTCGGACTTGCCAGTCAAGTGGCAAGTTTCCTGGCCAGCTTGATCAGCTCGGGACTCATGGCTCTCAACCCATGGATTCCGCTGCTAATTGGTTGTGGTACGGTGATGATAGGCCTTGGCTGTGCGCTGTCACTTCCCGAGACCATGAATATGCCCGTGAGAAGCAAAGAGCCAGCAGCACCAAGCCCAGACGAGCCAGCATCGACATGTGATACATCTTCGAAGCCAGTGCTGACACCCATTCCACTGCCGAAAAGGCTGGCACGTCTCATCCATCCTTACCTGTTCATCTTCCACCAGCAATCACTCTTGCTCCTATTCTCCTTTGCAACAGTCGAGCTCGTGCAGCGCTCCTTCCCGTTCCTGACCCAGCACATTTCAAGACGCTTCGCCTGGACTTTGGCGCAAGCGAACTTGATCGTTCCCTTCCATGCGGGGATCACCATCCTCGTCTTCCTGTTCCTCCTCCCGTACCTCTCCCAAAAGGTTTTGCACTATTTATCCCTTCCACAAAGAGACCTGCAGGTCGCGCGTCTCAGTCTTGCCGCTCTGCTCCTGGGGTCACTCGGAATTGCTCTCTCGCCATCAGTCTTCTTTTTGATTCCCAGTGTAAGTGTTTATGCGGCGGGAGCGGGCTTTGCCCTAACCATGCGGTCGCTGGCTACCGCGTTGGTCAAACGCGAGGAGACCGCGCGACTGTATTCCGCGATCGAGATCCTGCAGTACGTGGGCAATATCCTGGGTAGCCTGTGCTTTACGAATGTGTTCAAGCTGGGATTGCAGATTGGCGGACTGGGGTCCGGGTGGGTGTGGGTGTTGGGTAGTATGCTCTATGGGTTGGTGGGAGTCGCATTGACACTTGTACGGGTATAGACCTGCATACCCTTTGCGGCCCCAAAGGACTGGCTCTTTAGAAGGAAAGCGATAAATTCATGTTCATGCAGTATAACATATATATTCTGGTTGACTTCAGTTCTTTGCACATGAGTAGGTAGTCATTAATGATACATCTGTCTTCGTGAAAGGCGCAGGGCCAAGGGCAGTGGGACCTAACTTCATCCATCGAGACTCGAATTCTCATCACTTTCAGCGAGGACCAGTGACCTTGGCATCTTCGCAGACCCCCCCATCCGATACATGAGGATGTAACATGAACTCACAAACATCTCATCGGTCACTCGAGCCTGCGGCCGAAGGCGAAAGACGATACCGCATGGCACCAGCGCCTTTGTAGCTGCGGGATGCGGCTTTCAGAACATCTTGGGCCACCAGACCTTCGTTTCCCAAGACCTTGAGAATGGATCCTATTTCTTCACCGCTTGCGCGTTCTGCGCGCGTTCTGTGAATTTGGTTTATCCGAGGCGAACACTTCATGCCGTGCTCAAACCAACACTGCCATACTCCGGGCCCTTATCGTGATTGACAATATCAAGAGCTCCCCGATGGGTGGGGAGATCTCATCATTTGCATTGCGCCTTTCAAACAGCAGCTCGAGGATACCACTGCCGGACTTCGTGTTCTGAAGACGACTGATCACCACATCCTCCGTGATAGGCACAGTCGCGGACTCCCTTTTTACATATTGATCCAAAAAGATGGTCATGAGCTCCAGGCTACTCTCCTCGCTGCCGACGACACGGCTATTACTATTTCTCCTTGATATGAGCTTCTTTGCGCTTGCTTTACTCGTAGATTTCTCCTAAGTCTGAAAGTGCTTCAATTATATCTGTTCTTGCGCTTCGCGGGATGCACCGTATAGTCTGGTTGAAATTATCATCATCATTGTATAATTTATTAATGACTCCAAACAAGAGGTGCGGAGGGAGCTGAGAACATTTTGGAACTTTGATTCTAACAAATACTTAGATTCTTTGTTTATCTGACTATTTGATTGTACTATTGGCAAATCTTTCTGATCGGGAACCTTCCATCATCTAAGTAATGATAGAATCTGTATAGTAGATTAGTTTTGAGTTGAGAATCATTCGCATAGCCTCTGTGGCTATACTTCCACAACTTCAACAGGTGCGGGGAAAAGCGCCTCCCAAGCCCCCAGAAGAAGATGCCACTTGTGAGCGCGGTCGGATAGAAAGAGGTTCACCGGCCGCGGATGCGCCCAGATGCGTACATCACCGTCTGGGGTGGTCAGCGCCGTCGAGCCTCTGTCGGGCCAGACCTCGTGAAGCCCTAATTCGAAGAGCCGCCGATGATCCCACAGCCCCATGCCCAGCGCCCGAAAGGACCCGGTTGCTATGTTGTAACATGCCGCGGGGTCTCCGTCTTCTTGCAGTAGACGCCAGGCGTATACGAAGTCCAGGACCTCGTGGTGCGCGGTATGCTCGCCACTCTGGCCCCAGAGCTCATGCAAGAGGTCCCCCTCCCGCGGCTGGGCCGGCGGCGACCACACCTCGAAGGGGCCCGCCGGGCAGCGGAACGCATTGGGGAGTCTCTCTAGCAGGAAGACTTTGTGGTTGGCGTGAATCCGGTACTTCCTGTCGAGGTCAAAGCATTCGGGGACGAACTTGTCTTCGTCCTCGCTGGGAGCCTGGGGTGAATAGGTCGTGCAGAGATCAGGAGACCCGGCGTAGAGGCTTTCAAGGCACTCCGAAACTTCGCATATCTCCTCCCAAGCGGCCGTGTTTTTACACAGTGTTTCCCACTCGGTATCGTCCTCTGCGGTATATGGCTCCTGCCTGCAAAGTCCGCTCCAGTGAAGATGATCTCTCTGAAGAGATAGCACCCGCTTGTCCGTCCATCGCAGCTGAACAGCCACCTGCAAGAAATCGCTAAAGGCCTGGAAGTGCCACAGGGCACGGTAGACGCGGTACTCCTCGATCCAAGAGAATGCACCCACGTCTCGGAGCTTACGCGGGACCAGAGACGGCATTTCTCGGATGTCTTTGAAGTACTGGGGCAGTATCGCTTGCAGTCGTGCTCGTAGTGTTGTCAAGCACATGCAAGCCAGACGTTGGATATTGGCAGCAATGTTTACCACCGCGCGGAGAGAGGCGCGAGTCGCCGTAGACATTGAGAGGCGGTGGCCATGTTTGCTACTCTGGAGGTCGAAACTGGTTTTGTCAACAAAGTCGTACAGACTCGTGTGCGGAATTGGCCCTCGTAGCTCGACACACACCATGAAATAGCGTTCGAGATAATCATACGACATAGTTGAATTATGCTCGAGGATATGCCTCACAAGAGCCATCGCTTCAGGGTCTGCAGGACTATCAGGTTTATTTCCCGGTTCGAACAGCGGAGTCAGCTGCGTCAAGTCCACAATAAGATCTTCCAGGGTTACCCAGTCTGCTGCGGTTTTGACAATCTCGACGAGTGACTCGCGGGGGACGCGATCGAAAGTATCCATCCTGGCGAATTCGCGTGGTCTGCGGTACACGTTGTATGTTTGAAGTGTGATCATGGCTACGTCTGTACACGAGATTGATGAGACATGCTATTGAAGGTGTAAGGCTTCTCGGTTCTTTTATAGTTTTGGCCTCGTCTTCTGCTCCGGGTGAATACGGTGCCATTAGATAGTCTTGAACAGATGATACAGGTATCCTCCCGTAGTGGAATGGCGAGTTTGTCCACTTGATTGTTGGTTCGACTGATTACAGTTGAAATATTTCAGAAGAGAACAATTGGGAGTTCTTTTTCAATGAGGCCTATAGCCTTTGTTTCCCGCTTGGTAGCAAAGAAAGCAAGCACTGAGCAGTCATGGATTCCGCGTCAATCCTTTCAAGGACTCATCCTTGGAAAACAATCCTCCGCTTCTCTGAAAACGTAGACCAAGCCTCAGTCACAAACATGTCTAGGTAACCGACGTTGTTGCCCGCTTTTCTCGTTCAAGCCACCGCTGTGCACAGTGACCGTAAGATGCTGCATACTTGCGACTTCTAGTGCACAAGACGGGCTCAAAGCCCTGAAGACGTCGCGATGAAATTTACTTGCTTCGACAGGATACTCGACAACCTGCTTGATGTGCTCTTGCAGAACACCACGATTTCGATTGATCGACTTCATCTCGATATATCTGGATGCTAAGAATGGAGCCTCAGGTCTTCCCTGGCCCACAAGGCGCCTATAAAAATTTAAGGTACAAGTCCATTTGTCAACTCGGATAACTGAGCCCAAAAGTCCATGTCGCACTGCTCCCCGCCGTATGCATTGACTGGGTCCACTAATGCCGGGCCCGGAGGCACCACGCCACCATTTAGCTTGGTCGAATACCCACGCTCGATGCCTCGATATGCTTCGGCGTAGGCGGAGAAAATGGGCCGGCCTTGAAGTAGGATTCTGCTTCTGGGGCTGCCACCTCTGCTCGCAACCTCAAACCTCTTACTCAGCTCCCGAAGCATACCCGGAAGATCATACGTAGCGCGTGCGGTGGTCAGATCCCAGGCCTGTTCCTCAACACACAGAAGACGCAAGGCTTTGATGATGGCAAGCGCGAGGTGCAGGACGGTTACGAAAGTAAGAGTGGGATACGATTCGACCGGCACCAGGCGGAATTCGTCATGGAGTGCCTGTGTGCTCTGCAAGCAATCCCATATCCTGCGGCATCTGAGATGTGTGGGCTCAATGATCTCTGTCTGGTCGCCGTATCTGAAGGGCTCAAACAAGCGAATGCGGACGGTGGCGCAATGGGTTTGCAACAGATCTTAACTGAGGAGTTAGCTAAAACCCATTCACGTGTTCAATTCTTGGAAGCTGACATACGGCTCCACTTCAAATTGGCGGGCAGCTGGTCGACAAATGCATCCAGCTCAGTTTGGATAGAGGCAACAGTGTTAGAGTAGATACCGCCGAGCGGCCTTTCATTGGTGGCCCCGGTCGTCTCCCAGAACGCGTCGTTTACCTTCATCGCAATTTTCTGTATGCGCACAAGCTGCACGAGCAATGCATCCGTCGGGTATTCCTGATCGTGTAAAAGTTGACTACAGCAGTCATCGAAGTGTGCTGTGTACTCTGGCTTGCATCGTTTACCGAGAATGCTGCATAGACTATTGGAGTACGGGTCAACATCATGACACTACACGGTCAACAGTGTCAACACATACGAGGAGGTTATATAGTAGACCCCGAGCAAGGTTCTTCGATCCGCGCGAGTTTGTTTCGGCTGGACTGGGAGATCATCACGTAAATGAGCTGCATCCTCGACAATCGATTTGAATGATAAATCCGTTGTCTTTTGGGGTCTAGTCAGCTTCAGATCTTCGACCAAACCGATTGCTAATTGCAGAAGTGCTGTATCTTTTTCTGTGGCATAAAAACAGATGTCATTCCTAACCACACAATCCTGTCAGCCTGAACCACAACTGCTACCAATTGGGGAGAGGGTATAGATTCCTACAAGGCAAGAAAGACCAGTATTGCTTGTACAAGCTCTAGGTTCTTACCCTTCAGAACAACAGCCTCATGTGCAATTTGCCGTCGAAACCAGCTCTCGAACGCAGCGGAGGAGTTGAACGGTGGAGGTCTACAGACACATATGATCGTCTTGGTGAGAAGTGGCTTCTCTTCCAGTGCCTGGGAAAGATTAGAGGAGGGCAGAGGGACGAAAGGGAATTCGGTAAGCATGGTGGTCATGTATTCTTCAAGGCTCTGATCGGCTTCATGACGAGAAATCTCGAACCCGGGGAATACAGAAATTAATCCGTGCGGTGGGGCTATTGATTCTGGATTCTCCGATGATTGAGCTGCGGGGTGGGTTTGAGGCGTTGTGGTTGGCGTAGCGCCCTCGGTCTGATGGAATGGAGGACGTTGCTCGGAGTCAGGTGGGCGTTTTCCATCACCAGTCAACAGATCCATGATATCGTCCAACTTTTGCTCTAATATTTTGGCATGACTGGGGCACTCCCAATGAGTTTCATGTGATTCATGGCGGTCGGACCCGCCACTGGTCTACCATCAGGGTCACTTACGTAGCCTTTCCTCGCCGTTTTCTCGACACGGAAGATAACCTAGAACACGATAATCCGTTCTTGGAGCATCTAGAGCTCATTATTTAAGGATCCATCATTCAGATAATTCACTGTACAACCTCAAACACTAACCTTTGGCAAACGTCATCGTCATTGTCTCGCCAGACGCACCTTGCCTTCGCCCGAGAACAGTTGGTGCAGGCGCGAGGCTTCTCCCCATGCAACATGTCGGGCATTTATGTTCCTTATGCAGGAGCGGAAGAGCTAGATTGGTACCGGTAGACATACAACCTAACAGAGGTAGTATTGTTCTGCGCGTTGACTGGAGACTGGGAAAAGGACATGAAAAAAGACATCATGGATGGGAGGGCGCACGGGAGCGGAAGGCAAAAAGGTCGGCGGGCCCGAGTCCGATCCACCCGCACCAATCAGGTCATGCCCTGGACCCCCCTACTGGGAAACCCTGGGGACTTTTTTGCTGCCCGCTCCGCCGCCTTTCCCATAGAGCATGCAAAATCTCTAGCAAAAAAAAAAAGAAAAAAAAAAAAAAAAGTCCTTTGTGCGCCAAAAAGAGAATGGTGTATTATAGAAAGATAAGAGGTGACAGAGGGGAATAAGAATAGATCTCACCTCATCAGCACTCTTCAAGCTAGTTGGTCATCTCCCTAATCCTGGTGCTTATATTTTGTCGCCTTCTTACAGATAAACCGAAACTCGAATAACTTCCTTCCTTTCCTCTTCAAACTGCTCTCCATCCTTCAGTCTCTCTCAATTATCCATGGGTGCTCAAGTGGTGACTAGCACACACAGCGTGTCATCAACATCGGCAGATAATACCGAGGAGGTCCCTGGGCATGGCCCCAAATCCACCGCCAGCTTCAGGAACTATCTGGTAAGACCACATCTCCTCAAGACTGCTCATCGTAAGATACGAACTGATCCTTGCAGCGTGTCTTTACCTATGCAAAACGATGGGATAATCTGGTTCTTGTCACTGGAATGCTTGCTGCAATAGGCGCCGGGATCACCCAACCCCTCATGCTCATCATTTTTGGTGAGCAAAAATCTCAAACCTGTCTTTGTCGCCGTACCTAGATTAACCGTAGCATAGGCAAAGTTGTCGGGCAGTTCACAGGGGTGATAACTGGAAGTGGAAGTGCGGACCACGCAGGAACCGAACATACACTTAATCGGCTATGGTAATGTCATACCTCTACCCTTGACTTGCTCGGAAATTAACACCCACAGCCTTTTCGTGTTTGCCCTGTTCACCGCCCGCTTTGGCCTCGCTTCGATCCACAAGTTCGCCTTCCGCATGGTCAGTATTTCACTATCGGCTGCGATACGAACTCATTACCTTGAGCATCTCTTCCATCAGAGCATGCATGTGCTGGACTCGCTACCACCGGGCCATGCTGTGGGCACGATAACGAGCAGCAGCAACACCCTGCAGGGTGGTCTCTCCGAGAAACTCGCGATCTTCATTGAAAGCACCACCCTCATTATTGCCTCCTTTGTCGTTGCCTTGATGTGGAGCTGGGAGCTCTCCCTGGTAACCATAGCAGGCTTTGTGGCGACCATCCTCGGAGTCGGTCCCTTGGTCCGACTCACAGCCAAGAGCCGGGCTAACCTGACCCATCTGGAAGGACAGGCTGCCAGTATCGCTAGTGAAAGCTTTGCCGGCATCCGCATGGTCATGGCCTGCGGCGCACAGCGGCAGACGGTTGACAAGTACGGTGCTTTTGTCGAACAGGCCAAGGAGCAAGCGGTGGCGCTGAATCCGCTCACCTCGCTCCAATTCTCTTTAACAGTAAGTCAAATCACATCACTATCTCACCCCTCGCCCAGCAAGCTTCAAACCGAATCTGACTGTCTGTAGTTTTTCGGTGTCTTCGGGACCATTGCTTTGACATTTTGGTATGGAACTCTGATCTTTACGAGAGGCAGGCTGGACAGCGTTGGCGTGATCACCGTGTAAGCAAGGCGATGCCCCTGAAAGCATTCCGTTTAAATGCCAACTAATCCTGGAATCTAGGGTTCTCATGAACCTGACCACTATCTTCTTCTCTCTCGATCGGGTTTCCTCTCCAATACAGGCGATAACTAAAGCGTCCCTCACAGCATCGGAGTTCTTTTTCATCATCGACACGCCCGTCCCCCCGAAGGGTTTTTTGAAGTCACCAGACGTTAAAGCAACAGATGATATTGTCTTTGAGAAGGTCTCTTTCGCCTATCCAAGCAGACCCAGTCTCAAGATCCTCGACCAGCTTGACCTCCGGATTGAGGCTGGCAAGATCACCGCCATTGTGGGCCCCTCGGGCTCGGGCAAAAGCACCATCGTCGGTCTGATTGAGCATTGGTACTCCTTGACACAGCCTCATGCTATGACTACCAGATCAACCCCGCAGGAAGGAAGTGATTCCGCAAATCTGGCTGGCTTGGACCACCATGTGTCAAGTTGTCCAGTCAAGCTCCAAGGCACCATCACAACAAGTGGTTACTCACTGGACGACATCGACGTGTCCTGGTGGCGCTCCAAGATTGGCCTCGTCCAGCAGGAGCCGTTCTTGTTCAATGATAGCATCTACGGGAATGTGGTTCGCGGACTGGTCGGAACACCCTGGGAGGGAGACTCCGAAGAGCGCAAGCGAGAACGTGTCCAGGAAGCCTGTCAAGAAGCGTATGCCGATGAGTTTATCAACAGACTCCCCCTGGTATGAACCGTGAGCGTATCCAATCGACCAAGGGGCTAATGTGCTGTAGGGGTATGATACCAACGTTGGCGATGGCGGCGCTCGACTCTCCGGGGGTCAACGCCAACGGCTAGCCATTGCTCGGGCTATCGTCAAAAGGCCTGACATTCTCATCCTCGACGAAGCCACCAGCGCCATTGATGTCAGCGGTGAGCGAATTGTCCAGGCAGCGCTCGACAAGGCAGCTCAACACCGGACGACTATCGTCATTGCACATCGGCTGTCCACAATCAGGAATGCAGATCAGACCGTGGTCCTTAAGAAGGGCAAGGTGGTGGAATCAGGGACCCATCAGAGCCTAGTCGCTATGGATGGAGGGTTCTATCGTGGTCTTGTTGATGCGCAGGCAATATCACTTGGGGATTCTACCCGGAGTGTTCTCACGAATGACTTTGACTTGGCAAGTGTTGACACTCTGAGCCGTGAAGCGATCCCCAAAGAGCCTAAGCATTGCGATGACCAGGCTTCAAATGCATGGAGCAAGAATAAGACAGATCGCGGGATCGTCGGGTGCTTTTTCCTATTATTCCTCGAGTCACGGGCATATTGGAGTATTATGGTCTGTGGCATTCTGGCCTCAGCTGCAGCCGGAACAGCACAGCCTCTTTATGCATGGATGTTTGCGAGGTCCATCGATATGTTCAAGTGGCAAAGCAACCATACCAAGCTTATGGACGAGGCAGATCTTATGGGGGCTATGTGGACCGTTTTTGCCGCCTCGGCGGGGGCTGTCTACTTCGTAACCTTTGTCTGCTCTGGACGCGTTGCGTCGCTGATCCGGGCCAAGTATCAGACGCAATATTTCGGATCCATCCTTTATCAACGAGCGGGGTACTTCGAGAACGAGGGCCACTCTCTCGGTACCTTAACCGCCCGCGTTCGAGATGACCCCGTAAAGCTCGAGGACATGATGGGGATCAACATTGCCCAACTCGCCATCGCCTTGTTCAACATCGTGGGCGGTCTCATCATCGCCCTTGCGTATGGTTGGAAGCTCGCATTAGTCTCCATGTGTGCAGTGACTCCGCTCTGCGTCTTCTCGGGCTACATTCGCTTCCGATATGAGCTTCAGTTCGAGAGCCTCAACGATGCCGTCTTCGCAGAGAGCTCTCAGTTCGCGTCGGAGGCGATTGGAGCCTTCCGCACGGTCACATCGTTGACGCTCGAGCGGTCCATCATAGATCGCTTTGAACGGCTATGCCAGGGTCATGTCAATGCGGCGTACAAGAAAGCTCGCTGGGTCAGCATCGTTCTGGGATTCTCCGAAAGCGTCAATCTGGGCTGTCAGGCTCTCATATTCTACTACGGCGGCCACCTCTTCCTCCGCGGAGAAATCGGGACCGTGGCCTTCTTTGTGTGCTTGACGGCCATCATGAACGCTGCGGAGGGATTCGGAAAGAGCCTGAGCTTCGGTCCCAATGCTGCCCAGGCAGCCGCCGCATCGGGCCGGATGTTGGAGGCACGAGCGACCAGCGTGGTCGAGTCTCCGCTGCAAGGCAATATCCCCGTGCAGTCGGCCGGGGTCGCGATTGAGCTACGCGACGTCTACCTGCGGTATCCGGGCCAAGAGAGCCCGGTCCTCAATGGGCTGAATATGACGATCGAGGCAGGACAGTTTGCAGCCATCGTCGGCGCATCGGGCTGCGGCAAGACGAGCATCATATCCCTGCTCGAGCGGTTCCACGAGCCCGAGAAGGGGCAAGTCCTCTTCAACGGGCAGGATATCTCCCAGGTCGACATCTACGCGTATCGCAAGCACCTGTCCCTGGTTGCCCAAGAACCGATACTCTTTCAAGGTTTGGCGGAGTGCCCTTCAAGACTAAAGCGGCCCTAACTAACCCTCAACCAGGCACGATCCGGGAGAACATCCTGCTTGGTGTCGACTCGAGCGCCATCACAGACGATCAACTCCAGACCGCCAGTCGTGACGCATTGATCCACAACTTCATCATGTCTCTCCCCGAGGGCTACAGCACCAACATCGGGTCCCGCGGTGTTGCTCTCTCCGGCGGGCAGAAGCAGCGCCTGGCCATCGCTCGAGCCCTAATCCGCAATCCCCGGCTGCTTCTGCTCGACGAAGCGACCAGCGCTCTCGACTCGGAGAGCGAGCGATTTGTCCAAGCCGCCTTCGAGCGAGCAGGAAAGGGAAGAACCATGATTGCCGTGGCACATCGTTTGGCGACCGTGCAGAATGCAGACATCATCTTTGTGCTGGGGGAGGGTGGTCGGCTGTTAGAAAAGGGCAGCCATCTGGAGCTGCTCCGGAAAAGAGGCGTATATTATCAAATGGTATGTTCAAGGGACCGATGTGTGTGTCGCTTCGTTTATAGAATCCTGACTAACAGAAAAAAGTGTCAGAACCAGGCTTTTGATCAATAGGCCTGAGCACCCGGTACTGTACTTGATATCGGGAAACGAGGTCAAATGCGGTGGGGTTCTTGTCCGGTTGGTTTCTAAGTATCATGCATACTATGTAGACTATCCTTCTCATAGACGTGAGTCTGTTAAGCAATACTACTGCTCACAAGTCACCCCGGTATCTTTGGCATACACAGCGATTCTTGTTGGGTCGCTGTTTCCCGGCATTAAAATGAGCCGTGCGTGCTCTAGCTACTGGATCTCTAGAACCCGTGTGAGAAGACGAGTAATAGATCTGATGAACATCCAGGAATATCTTCCATGATGCACAGTGCATTATCCTCCAGTGTCTGCGTCTACAATGCATGATGGATCTCACGCCAAGCTGCAAAATAAAGGCCTAGTATGGAGCTAGACCATCCTATGACAACATAACGCTATATCAAGCTATAGAATATGTAAGATAAATTAAGTGTAAAATAGTAAACGCCCAAAGGCACCCCCCAAGGAAATGGAGACCTACCTGGGCTCAATTTTGATTATCGTTTTCTGATAGTTCTTGCTTTCTTTTTCTCTGCATGTTTACCTGTAACCCCTCTTTCAAACCGAGGAGCTACAAACACAAGAATAATACTCACCATCCCTTAACCGCCTACACCCAGCCACAATTGATCGAACTGTGGCCGGGACCAACTCCACTCAAACCTCCAGGGCCATATAAAACCCCCGCATGACATGCGTGTAGGGAAACTGCGAGTACCACTCGAGCTCATTGTCGAAGACGAACTCGACCGCCTCGTGTATCCCCCAGCAGTCCTCGCGGAAGAACCGCACGCGGTCCTCGTAGATGACCAGCGCGCCGCGGCGCCGATGGTCCTGCGGCTCGCGGCTCCAGAAATGCTGGAGCACGCGTTTCGCGAACCCGACCCAGCGGTCTCGGGGGAGATTCGCCTCCTGGAGTAGGAGGGTGTGGACTCGGACCTGACGGGGCGTCTGGGCGGGGTTGTTTTCCATGATGACGTACGGGACGTCTTCGTGCATGCCGAAGATGGGGGGCGCGGCTCCTGTTGCCTCCATTGTCACTGGGTGATTTTGTCGTTGTGTGAGTGGTTAGTTGCTGGATGTTGTTAGTGGAGACTTGGCTTTGTGTCAGGTCTCGTGGGTTGTGGGAAAGATGGGATTCGAGTATAGAGTGTTTCACAGGGCATATTTATAGACATTTCTGTTGAGAATTGCGATGGGTTTGGTCAACTTCTCTGTGGGATATATTCCGGTAGGTTGGGAAGACTAACTCATGTTTGCTGTGGACAAGGCACCACTCAAAGAGTCTTGATGGAGATCTTCACACGACGCTCACAGCGATAAAGATCCGAGAATGGAATTATCCATGATATCAAAGTTAAGGATTCCAGTATTACCAAAGTGGATGAGATGTTTCTATAGATGGATGTATCCTATTGCCGACGAAGTTCGATATGAACAAAGGATTCAGCACACGGACTCATTGTACGGAAGAATTTCACGCCAAATCCCCAGGACAGGAGGAACTAGTCGCCCAAGGCAGTAGTTAGAAGTGCACGGAGACAAAAACATATGCGAGATATTCCGCTTCAACACAAGCAAATAATGACTCTGCTGGGAGACTGGCCATCGAAGACAAAGGTTTGTTTGGGGAAGGATTCTGGTTCCAAGTCTATTGACCGATATGTTTAGCTCGACGACCCTGGAGACAAGGGGAGATTACCAGGAAAGGAAAAAGGCCACTGTCGAACATAGAATGCAAGGACTACATCACAGGAAACGATGCTTTCCCAAGGCTAATATTTCGATCTCGATAGATCTTTAGATCGCCGATTGATCGACTCCAGCTCGTCCTTCGTAGCTTCCCGCAAGCTCATAGCTCTTTAGCAGGCCGCCCGGGGGCCATCGATGCTTTGGCAGTCGTGACCAAAGACTGGCTCCTGTGTGATAGTATCAGATCATCGGAGAAAGACATGGTTGCACAAGAGCTACTGCGACTATATGTAAATTGACAACATGACCTTTAAGAAAGATGAGAACTTCAGGGATAGATTGTCGATGACCTCGAGTGTCGCATAGAGAAAGATGAATTGACCTTCAGTGATAAAGAATGCTACCTAGGGACTCAGAACAGGAACCTGAAAGAGGTGGCAGCTCCGGCTTAGGGCTGCACATCCAACCTAGAAAGGTAATGTAAGTTGTAGTGGTAGTATCGGCAGGACTCGGCTTGCAAGCCGTTGACATTGGAAATGGGCCACACCTCGCGATGAATGACTCACTAGCAATCAAGACAGGCAGGTCTTCAGACACAGGGTGACAGAATGGACTAAAAAGTACCTCCTCCCAGGTTGGGAGAGGATGCTTCGGCGCCCAAACAGAGCAATGCAACATTTCGTAACATTGTCATTGAGCCTAACGAAAAAAGAGGGGGGGAAGGATAGTAGTATTGCCATTGAGATTGAGTGTCCTAAGCACGTGAGGTAGACGTTAGGTGGTGTGAATTCTAGCCCTGACGGGCATCGGGACACCGGAGATGGCCATGCGCTGTGATTTTGGATGTCGGAATATACTTTGTGGCCTGTACTTCCCGATAAGAGGGTTCAACTCCCTGTCTTGTCTGTCATCTGTCAGGACTGCACAAATATATGGGCCAGTGATCAATCGTGACCGAATTGGAGTAGAACGTAATTATGAATAGAGTCAATTGCAGGATTACCTATTGTCGCAGTCGTGCTCAATTAGCAGAGAAAAGGCCCCCCTTGAACACGGGTGTGGAAAAGTGGAAGGAAAAAAAGCAAAAAAGAAAGCCCAACGCGGGGGTTGAACCCGCAACCTTGAGATTAAGAGTCTCACGCTCTGCCGATTGAGCTAGCCGGGCTGATTTGTTGAGGAATACATTCAATTCTGCAAACATATACCAAGTTTTGACGGAAGGCGAAAGACTGGCGCTTGAACCCAAGGATCGATGTCATTCTTGCGTTGACACACTATACATAGCCTTGGGTTCGCTCATGCGGTCGCATATATGTGGAACGGGGTCAGACCGAAGTCGCTTCTCATCCCACTATTTTCCTTAAGCACCTTCTAAGGACGAAGCTGACTCCATGTGACGCCATTCTCCTACACTCTTCGGCAAGACCCCTCTTGCTGGCGCTGGAAATATAATCCTATCTTCTTTCTTGCTGTTGGCAACAACGAGTCCAACCAGGGTTCCGCTCCGGATTTAACATCCTTGGAGCATGATTCGACTAGGCTTGTTCTGCATGTGCCCTTTTCGGCCGAGCAACTGCATGAGAAGACCTCAGCATCGCCTCCTTGCTAGCCCCGGCCCAGCACATCGCCACGGGAAATACTTCTCTTGACTCTTATTGCGTGCCCAAAAGACATGATTAGAGAACGTATTGAAGATTGAGCGGTTTGAATTTTACCCACCCTTCCCCCCCAAGAAAAACGGCCCCTCACCAAGGGGCAAACTACAGAACCGCCTCTCACAGATAAGGGGTATAGTGAAGGGAGGAATGTGAAAGCCATGACGGCAGGGTAAGTCAAAAACACAAAACAAAAGTTAATCCATCGAACAGGGAAACCCGGAAGACTGACTGATCAGCAGGTTAATCCTATGTAGCTGGTTCTGAGTCAAAGAGGTGCATGCATCATGACCGATGGGCCACGGATCTGAGTGAATGAGACCTGAATTGCCGGTTGAGAATCGCCGGCCGAGGCTTCTCGTTCACAAGGGATCAATGCACCTGCTTGAACCCTCACAAGCGCGCAATACCGACACTGAGGACTCGACTGCCTGTTGATCTCTGAAAACGCTGTATATTGCACCAATCCAATGCTGGCAGAGAGCATAGGACGGTGATATCACAGATGACAAACCTTAATCAACCCCAGGGCACTTAACCACAAGCGATCCGGCTATCTTGGACTTTTGGAAGCGCTGTTTCCGATGTTACCGAAGCTCCGGGGGTTGAGTCAATCTTGGGGGGTTTTTTTTTCCTTTTTTTCTTTTTTTTCTTCAAATTTCTCCTTGCGCCTATTAGCAATTCCCGTGGGTATGAGACAAAATTCACAGCTACTGACCCAAAGTCCACCATATTGTCTCACGGGCATTCATTGTCCATTGTCCATTGTCTATAATAGGCAAGGGTGCAGAAGGGGGGGGCAGGCTGAATAGATAAGCTCGAGGCCTTAGGCTCCCCATCGTGCATGGACGACGGTAGATTGTGGATTCTCAGCCTATCAAGAACCTCCGGAAAATGCATCCGCTGAAGGTTTGGGGCGGGCAGGCCTTCCAGAACTTTGCAGCGGCGCCGACGTGTCATAGTTAGCGCATGAGTTTTCATCTCCGGTTTCCCCTAAACCAAAACACTCGCCGCTTATCAACGTTATTGATGGCACTATTACTAGCACTACAACAACCACAACAAAGTACCCATCTACTCCCACCTCCTTTCGACCCTGTATGACCCACCTTTCTTTCTCAGCTCGCCAGTGAGTCCTTGTTGTCCCTGAAGTCATGGCCCAACAAGGATCCGGCTCCACGACCGCCTACCGCCCTCTCGCCCCGAAGCCGACCCTCGTGCCTTCGAAACGGGGGGCTTCCGATCCTCCGGAGCCGCCAGGGCCTTCGAAACCGGGGAATGCCAAGAAGGCAGTCAAACGGTCCCCATCGTCCTGCGTGAAGTGTAGAGAGAAACGCACCAGAGTAAATGCTCCCTTTCCCACCCCGGCTCGAATGTTATTTGTTGGTGCACGATGAGAGAGAGAAGATGAGAACTCCCCGCGAGGAGTTCCTCACTGCAGGCAAAAGCAACTCCCTCCATCCCCCCCCCCCCCCCCAATCCCAATTTCCCCCTGTCTTTCATTATCCTATTAATCGTCTTCATCCCATTCCTTCTCTACTGTTCTAACCAGATCTTCCCCCGGATCCAACGGGGAACTCCACCTTCCAACAGTGTACTGCCTATGAATCCGGGGTCCCATGCACCATGTGCCGGATCCACCAGGTGGAATGCATCCTGCTCCCGCACAGCGACCGGCGCCGGAAGACCACCATGGAGTACATGCGGCAGCAGGCCAGCTACTACCGGGAGTTCCTCGAGCAGTTCATCCGGCTGGCGCGCGCCGACGACCCGGCGCTCATCTTCGCGGCCGTGGAGATCATCCTGGCCAATCATCCCGAGGATGTGACTCGCTCCCTCCTGGATGCCCTGCTCCCGGACGACCGGACGCCCATCCTGCCCGAGGATGAGGAATTGATCAAGCCGATTCGAGAGAGGGAAGCGCAGGCCGCCGCCGCCGCCGCCGCCGGTGGCAGCAGCAGCGGCAGCAAAAGTAAACATGGCGCGGAACCTGGCCTGGAATCAGTACCTGAATAGGATTGATGGGGGGTAAATTTGGGAGGGAGGAGTAGGTGGAGGAGGAGAGCTTCGCTTTCGTTCTAGTCCTCCTCTTTCGATCTCGCCCTACCCTTTGTGAGGGAACTGCCTACGATGGCACCATATACTACACTTGTGTCGCTGTATGCCCTTTTTTGCTGGAAGGGCTTGGGGAGGGAGGTCATCGGTGGAGAAATGGATAGAGGGTAGAACAATGGAGAAAGGACGCGGAGGTAGCAAGAGATGAAGCAAGATGGAATAGCGGCGGAAACAACCGACAGGCAGAATGCACGGAAAGTGGGACTGTGCAACGGAGAGGGAGCTACTTCTTTACTGAATTACTGAATGTGGAGGAGACGCGAGCGGAAAGTGGTGAGGGGGGTTGTGTGTTGATTTCTTGTGAGATCGGCTCAAACAGTTGCTTGCGTATAAACTGGACGCTGAAATGCTGCCTTTATGCTCTTCCGGGAAGAGAGTCTCGTTTCTGCATCGTCGAAGCTTCGACTTGGACTAGATAATCAGATATATAAGCTGCACCTATACCTCTTCTCAAGAAATCCTATTCGAATGCATATTTCAACCTAGGAGATAGTTTGCAAGGCTGTGTGTGGTACATCGGATTTAACAGGAACACCAGAAGCGGTCTGAGAAGGAAAAAAAAAAAGAAACAACACGAGGCATGGCGAGAGAACCAACGCTGGGAGATCAGGGAGGTTTACACAGCAGGATGTAACATGTTTGTTTTTCTTGTTTCTCATCTCCTTTTGCCTTTTTTGGTTTGTTTTTGTTTTCCTTTCCCCCTCCCCTTTTCACACTGCAGTCCCGACCCAGTCATACATCTTCTCATGGAGCAAGACAGTACCCCGGATATACCCGACGAGAGATGGCGCGTTCGAGAAACTGCCCTCCTCCCTCAAGTATTCGTACGTGGTGTCGTCGCTGAAGGCAAGATATCGCAGCTCTTTCCCGGCGCCCTCGCGCAGGGGACCTTCGGCGACGGACAGGAATTCCGAAGTGGGCGCCGAAAAGTCGTCTTTGATGTCGATGTAAAGGACTTGCAGTTTGGGGAGGGAGAGGGCGGACTGGATGGCTTCCTGTGGGTGGTGGGAGAGATGAAATCTTGTCAGTCTGTGCTTTCATGAAAGCTGTAGCTAGTGAGTATCGTCATGAAGGGGAGAATTGAGGAGGTGGGGAGAAGGAGGAGGAGGAGTCAAAGGGCCAAGGGCAAAGGGAGAAGAGCAAAACAAGAGAATTTTTCTCACCAGGTCGACCTTATCTTGTCGGATGCGAAGCTCTTCCAATTGCGGAAACCTCGATGCAATCAGGGTCAGCAACTTTGCGCAGGAGCAGGGTCGGTCCTCGTGGCACGGCAGGCTCAGACCCAGCACCTTCAAGGTGGCACCATGCTGCGTCTCCAGCACCTCCAAGAGCGAGTCACAGGCCACCAGCTGACTGGACGTTTGGCCGCGGATCGGGATGCCATGGAAAGCCTCCAGCCCACTGAAGGCGCGCAGGAATCCGTCGATCGAGTTGTCGAGGATATTGGTGGTGAGTCGCACAGGGCGGAAGTCCGCCTCGAGCCCGGCGTCCCAGAAGTTTCGGACGGTGGTGGCGAGCGAGTTTGGGTCGAGAAAGTCCAGGGTGACGGTGGTGAGTTTGGATGGTCGCAGCATGGCCCAGAAGTCGGCAGGCGTGACCCCTAGGGCAGCGAAGCCGCGCAGGTCTAGCAGGTGGAGTTGCGAGGCCAGATGTGTGGGCCAGCTCTCGAATAGGGTGCTGACGCTGATCCCGGAATTATTATCCGCCCAGATCGTGAGCTCCCGCAGGTTCGTCGCGCTCGCCACCGCCGCTCCCGCCGATCTCATCACCTCCGCGTCGTCCACCTGCACGAGGGAAAGCACCGTCAGGCTCATCGAGAGCTTCATGTTCAGCGGGGGTCGGAAGAAGGGCTTGGGGGTGCAGTCGGTGCCCATGCGCAGCTGGAGAGTCCGGAGCATCGGCCGCAGGACGACATTCGAGACCAGGTACTGGGTTAGGGAGACCTGCATATCCCAACTGTGGGCGTGGGTCACCCGCATCGGTTATCGAAGAGTCCCTCAAGACATGTGGTGCAGCGTGCTCGCTTACACGAATTCCTCCAGGTTCGGCATACGGACTACGCAGCTGCATAGGAGACTGCTAAGCAACCGGGCTGCTGGGGAGAGGATTCTCTTCGGCGCTAGCCAGGAATCGATCGAGGCATACGTCGAATACCAGGTCCCTGACACGATCACTCGCTTGATGAACCCCATTTTGTTGAATTCGGGGTGGGCAAGCGTGTCCAGCTTCATTAGGAGTATGTCGTGGGCATCGATGTGCCCGGGGCTATGCAAGCGGACCGTGTGGTAGAGATAAGGATTGACGAGATCATTGAGCTCTCGCGAGACACGAGCCAGGGCAGCTAGGTCCCCATAAGTCAACTACCACTCATCAGTACTCATCAGCTGTGCCGGGTGGGAAGCATCACTTAGGGCGAATTAGCTCACGTCTGACCATAACTCATCCATAAACAGCCGGAATATGTTTGCCATTGCAACGAAGATATTGTACAGATGGGGTTACGGAGGACAAAAGGTCTAGGACAACAACCTGTGCTGTGAATAGTATCAACATTCAACAAGACTTTTTACACAGTTTAACTACTCAGACTTCATCGTGATGTCATGAATCATCACCTAAACCATATGCACTAGCACCTCCCCTATTCTGACAAATGAGTAATTGTTCATTCACATGTAATACAATGTATCTGCTCCACGTCCCTTGACCGGGAGATTCCCTGGATCCGGCTTCGAAACCTGAATGCAGCACCAGAATAAGAGTATTCAAGGTTTTAAATCCAAACCAGAAGACATGCGTCCACCACCAGTCCTCACAAGGAGGGGAGTTCCAAGACCCAAGGTGAGGTCATGTCGTAACCGAACAACCGACCAACCGAACCCACACAATAAGGCTCGTCCCGGAAATGTTATCAGCGTAGCCTGGGATTGGTTCACCCAGACTTCCAACTCGATTATTCACTTACATAACCATTGGGCCAGCTCCTTTCACAAACCCCACACTGTCTTCATTTGGATCTGGTACAAGTTGATGTAATCATTTATGTAAGGAATTGATGTGTACACAAAGGCCGAACCCAGGAACTGTATGTGTGCATCTAGTGTGCACCCCTGAGCCCAACCGCCCTCAACCCACAGCCCTAAATAAATGCCTACAGAGCCACTCCCTATCCTTCCCAAACCCCGCCTCAACCCTATCGCTGAAGTCCGCTTTGGACCAATTCCGCTCCTCGAAGAACCCATACGTACCCAGCATCTGATACGCCCGCGTTTTGACCGATCCTGGACCCCGTCCGCGAACGATCCCAGAGGCCCCGGGCCAACTCCAGCCATCCATCCAACGCGCGGGATTCGCGGTCCACGCGCGACCATCATCCTCGCCCACCTTGTCCTCCTGCGTCTGGTGCGTCTGCTACATCTGCTGCTGCTGCTTCTGCACTGGCCCGTGCAAAATCCCCACCAAGTCCTTCGAGCTAACCGTGAAATCCGCAAAGTACGCGGGCCGATCGCGAAACCGCCCCGGGTCGCGCAGCACGGCCATCGTCGCGCGGCCCACCATATCGACCCCGGACATGTTGACGCGCTGCGCACCGGACCCGAAGGCCGTCACCATATTCGGATGGTGCGGTCCACCCAGAAGATGCCCTAGGCAATACCCCAATCGAAGAATGGGCCTGTGATGAGGGCTGTCCAGTACGCGGTCGACCCGTTGGCGTGCGGGTGGAAGGTGTCGCTGCTGAAGTCCGGGGTGATGAGGCGCTGGACTGAGGGCGCGGCGAGGGCGGCGCGCACGATGCGCTCCTGGTGGATGGTCGCGCTGGGGTTGAAGGCTTCGACGATGGCGTGCTGGTCGGCGAGAGCCTGCGTGAGCGAGGCAGGGAACTCGTAGTCCACTTCTACCTCCCTGAGGTGGGGGTGAGGTGGGAAGGGCGACGGGGCCGTGGAGGCTTTGGACCGTTGTTGTCGTTATCGGACAGCTGTGACAAAGATATCGGGGCTTCCTGCTTCCATGGAAGCAGGGCTTTGACGATCTCCTGGCCAATTGTGCCGGTGGTCTATTTGATGAAAGTCAGTGGTGGACTAGTAGAGGGTTTAAATCCAAATGTAAGCAAAGATTGTCTCTCACGCCGGGTGCAGTGACGTTGCGAATGCTAGATGTATTTGCTCTTGCCTTTGGTGTCTGGATCATGTCAGGTACTCTCCCAATGCCTGTGACTTATACTGACCATGGGGCAGGAATGCCGTATCATAGATTGGTAAGGTATCTGACAAGATAACTGGACTAATCATCTTACCAATCCAAGCCAGAGCATCTTCCATCTTCCAACGAAGCCCGCCCGCGCCTACATCCGCCCCCGCATCCGCATCCGCATCCGCATCCGCATCCGCACTTGCAGCGGGGCGAACTCGACGACTCACTGCAGTCAGAACCAGGTAGCAACCACCAGACCTCGAGACATCCCCAACCTCACGGACCAGGAGACGGGACACTCACCAGCCGTCCTCAACAGTTCTCCCGAATGCAAATGACCGCGGAAACAACTAGCCCCATACCCCCCGCGACACGGAGATAACGGACTTAACTCTCCCCTTAGAAAGATATAAACATGATGGTGCACCACCAGCATGATCCCACCCACCGAACCCCCTTCACCACCCACAACCTATCCAAACCCCGTACCACAAGAGACAAAAAAGCCCTAACATGTCGACCCTCCAACCCCAAGACCCCAAGCCAGAAACCCACACAGCCCTAACCCTACACGCCCACAACCAACCCCTGACCCTGACCACCGTCCCCCTACCCCACGCAACCACCGGCTCCGCCATCGTGCGCATCCTCGCCGCCTCCATCGTGCCCTACATGGCCGAGATCCTCCGCGGACAGCGGGCAGGCTACGCACTCTCCCTCCCGCTGACCCCGGGCAACAGCGCGATCGGCCGGATCCACGCCACCGGCGACGACGCCGTCGCCCTGCAGCCGGGCCAGCTGGTGTTCATCGACATCACGATCCGGGCGCGCGACGACCCGACCGTCTCGATGCTCGCCGGGGTGCACGGGGGCGGGACGGCCGCGGCGCAGCGGCTGATGGACGGGCCGTGGCGCCACGCGACGTACGCGGAGTACGCGCGGTTTCCGCTGGAGAATCTGTTCGCGCTGGACGAGGGGGCGCTGCTGCAGGAGCAGCGGCGGCAGCAGCAGCAGCAGGGGCAGGGGCAGGGGCTGGGGCAGGGGCTGGGGTACTCCGTTGCCGATCTGTGTTTGTTGTCCGTGTGTCTGGTGCCGTTTGGCGGGCTGGCAGAGGTGGAGGTCAAGCCCGGGGAGGTGGTGATCGTCGGGCCGGCGACGGGGCGGTACGGTGGGGCGGCGGTGGCGGTGGCGCTGGCGATGGGGGCGACGGTGGTGGCGGTAGGGCGGAATCGCGCGGTGCTGGCGGCCATGGAGAGGACGTATGCGCATACGCATCCGGGGAGGCTGCGGACGGTGGTGATGGAGCATGACGGGGATGTGCAGCGGCGCTCCGAGGCGTTGAGGGCGGCGGCGGCGGGGCGGAACTCCCGGGCAGGCGGCGCCGATGTCTATATCGATTTTTCTCCGCCGGCGGCGGATGGGTCGCTTCTGGCGGCGGCAGTGGGGGCGTTGCGGCCGTTTGGCCGGTGTGTCATTATGGGGGGCTCGACGGGGCAGATCAATGTGCCCTATTTGGAGGTAATGTTTAAGTCGCTGCGCTTGCAGGGCCGGTTCATGTATGATCGCCAGCACGTCCTGCGGTTAATCCAGATGGTTGAGTCCGGGCTGCTGCGGCTGGGGGAGGCGATTGGAGTGGACCATGTCGAGGAGTTTGGCCTCGAGTCGGCGACGGAGGCCCTGGAGGCCGCGGCGCGATTGTCCGGCTGGGGGGGTCATGTTGTGCTGAGGCCATGTAGGGATTGAGGGACTCTGGAATTTTGGTACTTGGCTTGAACTATTTTATCATGGTACAAGTGATTGCTCTTGGAGCGATGGGATAAACGAGAGCTGGCTTTGAGATGAGGTTGTGGAGGTGGTAGGCTGATGGCATCGATCTTGCTCAGTGCGAATATGTGGATAATGTCAAAACAACAGTTTGGCTTTACAAAGTTTTCAAGGGACTGAGAGGTGCCCTTCGCACGCCCACTGTATCACAGTAGAACAGTAGAACCCAAAGCCGAGGAAGCTACAGAAATGATCTCTGGCTTTGCGACCAATGATTTTTGTATATTGTACGTTACCTAAACCCACAGACAACAAGCATTATATGACAGCGCAACTAGTGCATACACAAGGCCATTTTTATCGTCATCATAATCGGAAATCAAGAAAAAGTTCCAAGGCGGAGTTATGATCGTTTCTCGTCCTATCGCCACCCGAGCCTTACCCCTAACAGGGAAAAGGAGTCATTCATGTTGGCGGTGGTGCAACTTGCTGGTGCTGTCTCGACAAGCGAAACAAGTCACATTCACCACCAAAGCAAGATTATTCCTAGCGAAAGTCCGAGTCCACCCCGTTCTCCGCATACACCTGCAAGCTATACTTGGCAAAGTTGCTCTTCTTGCGCATCCGCTCCCCGTAGCGCGACAAAAGCGGCGGCACGATGCAGAACAGCGTCGCAACAACAGCCAAAATCGACATCCCAATGTTCGCGCCCAGCCTGTCGAACATGGCACTGCCGAACAGCGGGAAGGTGGCAGAAAGCAGAGACCGAACAATGGAGAGGGCGGCGAATCCGCTGGCGGCGTAGCTGAGATAGGAGTCCGCCATGTACTGCGAGACGACGACCTCCATCTCGTTGAGGCCATAGCCGGTGAAGAACAGAGCGACCACAGGGACGAACCAGTGGATAGCTGCGCCGACTGGGGGGATGGTCCAGGCGAACCACCACAGCGACAGGGCGAGGACGGGGGCGCCGATGTAGATGCCTGTCAGCTTGTGCTCAGGCTTCACCTTCAGGCCCTCCTTCAGGCGTCGCTGTGTGATGCGGTAGTCGAGAATGCGGGTTGCGATGTTGGGGATGAACCCCAAGCCGAGGGCGAGGAAGGGCAGGCTGGAGTCCTCCGTGCTGAAGCCAAAGGCCTCGAAGATGGGTGGAAGAGCCTCGGCGAATAGATAGATGAGGGCTACGCAGACAGAGAACACCATGGTCACGACGAAGACTATCGGCTCGGTGAAGAACAATCGTAACGGGCGAAAGAGTCCCACGTGCGCAAAGGTGCGAAGGTCCGGCATGAAGTCCGGGTTGAGGGCAAGCAGCGAGTCGTTCCCGGTCAACTTGCGCAACGCTTGGACTTCCCGGGCAAGGATCAATGATGGCCGGGACTCTTTGATGCACATGAGCATCGCTGCAAGAACACAGGTCACGATTGCTCCGATGTTGAAGACCCATCTCCTGTAATTTCGGGCGTAAGCGATCGGCGCCAGAGGTAGAACTGGAATTCGAGCTAACATACCATCCGTATCGATAAGTGACATAGGAGCTCATGATGGGACCCGCACTGACCCCGAGACATGCCATGGCAACATAAAAGAGCATCACCCATATGCGATCCTGTGAATTGAACAAGTCCTCGATGCTCCCCGTGATGACTATGGTTGGAATGGCAGACAAGAATCCAGTGACCAAGCGTCCTATCACCAGAGCGCTGGCTGAGGGAACGGCGCCGATCAGAAGACAGAAGACACTATATAAGAGAGCACTCAAGACATAGAGCCGTTTCCGACCAAACGTTTCCGAGTATGGTGGGAAAACCACGCCGCCTAGACCTTGGCCCAGAAGATATCTAAGACATGTCAACACGACGCCAGATGTGGAGAGCATCAAACCCACGTCGAGACATATAAAAACAAAGTGAAGGTCTTTCCGGTGCCTAGCTCGAGCTGTGCGGCTTTTGCAGTTGCGGCCTGTTGACACGTTAGCTGACCGTCCCAAGACAGTCCCGATCATTGTAATGTATTGACTCACCCCTGAAGTACTCATCGCAGTCCTATAAACCTCCATTAGCAGATGCCACGGAGTCGACTAGGTATGCTCACGTGAAGAACTCCAGAAGACCGATCACGGTTATGTCATAGGTCTTGCGTGCTGGGTGCCAGTTGCGTGGATGCTTCCTGTTGGTCTTGCCCCATCGCAGGTGAGCTCCGTCTGGCGTCAGCTCCAACTCATGCTCCGCTGCAAGACGATCTAGGTCAGTATAATCTGCAAGCTTCAGTTCACCCATCGTGAAATCATTGATAGATCTTGGTCATCAACCTGGTTTACTAGGTTGATTTTAAACGCCCGGCACAAGAGCCCTAAACAAGGGATACATACCTCTTACACTGGGCCAAAGGGGTGGTCACTGGTGCCAGGCAGATCAACATTCACCTCTAATCGATAATCGCTAGGAGCCAGCTGCCTAAAGAGATCCGGAAAAGACATCAGAGTGCCGGAGCGTAGCCGACGGACGGACAGCGACCATGCACCAAGTGCCCTGAGCTACCTGAAGTCTTGAAGTTGAGATGCCGGACTGCCGGCTACCATTGGCTCGGGCACTGGGAGTTAGCTCCTCTGCATGTGCATCAAGACGATACTGAGTTGTATACACGCCACGCGACTCACGATCTTGTGCTTGTACACATCAGCATCGTCGCGTCCACGAAGACAAGTGGGTCGCCTGATGATGGCTCGTGGTCACGAAGACCTGGCGCCGGTCGAAAGGGTCATAGCTTCAGCTTTTGTAAGACGGCGCTGGGATCCGGGTACATTAGGCCTGGAATGTGAAAAAGCGAGGTTCAAGTACACGACAATTATAGTTTGCACGACAAAAGCAAGCTTCCAATGCATTCGATGTCGGGGTGATGTCGGAAAATAATTGGGCGTCAGGAAGAAATGATATCATGCTGCCCCTTGGGCGTTTCCCTTTCAGGTATGGGATCATAGCTGAGGATGTAACATGCGACCAGCCAGCGCGCACAACGTGATGATTCAGCCCTTTGGCACGCTTAAACGGCCCCAGCCGGGATTTGTAATGCTGTTCGCAATCTCTGGATGGTTTGATCACCCTGAGACGAAGGGAGGCTGATCCCTATTCTGACTCGTCATCACTTTGAGACGGCAATCCTATAGAATGAGGTATTAGCTAAAAGATTCATAATGCATGGAATAAAGGGTCGAGTGGTTTCGAGAGCGCAGCGCATCCCAGAGAAGGGAAGTCGGACTGACGACGTACTGTAGCTACAGCAGCACAGCACACTCAATGTCGGTGGTTGGGAGAGAGAATGCAGGCCTGAGGCATCACATACACTATTTCCCAGCGGGCGGTCACCAAGGCGGCATTCGATTTATCCGTCCATGGAGCGCCATCGCTGTTTTAGTCGCTCATGCCGCTTTTGCATCGGCCATGCGTTTAATTCTTGAGCTCGATGGATGATTTCTGTCACCAAAGCATCTCGTTCTTCAGCCTCCGTGAAGTACTCCCCGTATAAAGTCACAGCAATGACACCATTGACCAGAGCCGGTTTGCAATCGATGTGATTCAAAGCAATGCCACAGATCTTCAAAACCATGGAGCGGACTAGGGATTCCGTCCTGCGATGTGCCGCCCGGTTTGCGTTCCTTGTATTGTCAACAAATTCGCAAGCGACTATGCGGTTGGTGATACGGGGTAGGCTCACTCAAGGTGCGGACTCTCGGCAGTCAAAATCATTCTAGATAGCTCCAGGTGCTGGCTGGCCGTTACCTGATCCTCAGAGCTATACCAGATGGTTGGAAAAATCCTGCCCTGCAGCTTCTCCGCTTGCTTTTCGAGGATAGGCACGAGTTCGCTTCGACACGCGTCCACCAGTTGCCGCTCACACCGCACAAGCCGCTCTACACGAATCAGCTATGCTCGTTCCTCTGGTTTTTTTGTTTTTTTTTTTCAGGTGACAGTAAGACAAACCCCATTCATCGATCGATCGGTCTTCCCAGAACCACTTCGTGACCTCGCTAGCGAGCATGATGAACTTATTTGCGACCGATGCTCTCCTCCAGTCCTGGGGTTGGAACTGCATGATCGGTGCACGTTGTCTCGTTAGCGCGTAGTATACCTCCTGTCTGATGGCGATCCAGTATGCTGCCGTCGCCAGCGACTGTTCAAGGCGATGTGACATCATGGACTCGATGATTGTCTGAGTGATGGCTAGAAAGTTGACTCGGTTCTTGGCGGCAGTCTCCGCAGGCCCGTCGTCGTCCATGTCTTCCTCCATCTCCTCATACTGGCGAAGGATGACTGCAGCGACCATAATATTTTCTTGATTGATTGGGTCCGATACGTCGGGAAACTTGACAAGGTCGGGTATACACTTAAGTGTGTATTCAACCGCGGTGGCATCTTCCATACCGGAGAGTAATTGTCCATGGTACACGAATCCCCGCGGGGTTTTGTACTGGGGAAGGCGTACGAGATGCCGTGCCGACACAGCAAAAATAGCGTTTCGCAGGGTCGAGCAGTGCCGTGCTCGCCGAGGGACTTCCAATCGAAAGTGCCTGAGATGATCGCAATGATCGAACTGCGCTGTGTCAGGGGTTGATCATCGATGCAAATGGAGCTCAACATACCCAGGGCGAAATCTCCTCAATGAAGTATCGAAGTAGACAAGCTTCTTGCAGGGATGCTTGGTGTGCGAAATAGCTTGGTGACGCCTCGCTATGCCTGCGTTTGAGTTCACTCGAAGGACTTGATATAGATGCGGATCCACGAACTCTTTGGCGAGCCTGGCCAGCCAGGGCTGAACGCGCGTCGGATGATCCCGTGCTTTCTTGCAAGTGCCCTGAGCTTAAGCGTTGCAGCGTGGTATCCCCTTGCGTCGCGAGAAAATGCCCCCTGTTCACTTCACTTTGACCAACCTGAGTTGTTGATTGTGAACGAGGAGAGCTCGAAGATGACGAGGCAGTTTGTATCCATGCTCCTCCACTAGTCTCCGCCGGGGACGAAAGAACCCCGTAATTTTCCACATAAGCATCCTGAACCAGGTGGGCTGGAGGAGCCAACACGCCATCGGAGGTCTGCTGCTGGCTCAAGGGTGGCTTCCACCGCTTGGGCTCACTGCTCACCCAAGCCTGGTTTCCCAAAAAGCTGGCGTCCAAGCCTGCCGTAGATCCCTGCCGAAACGGCGACTTGGGTTGGACCGGCTGGCAGGTCCAGCCCTTCGTTTTGCATCGCGTACAAACTGGACGTAGCCTATCACCTAAAGTCTCGCACAGGAGTAGAGTTAGCGTAGAGAGTCTGAAAGATTCTGAGAAAGATTGATTCGCCTGTGAATCACTCACAGCGCACGTGCTTTTCTGGATGGTTGGTTTGGTCGCTGGATTAGCAAGAGCGCCTGGCTGAATCAATATAGAGGCCAAGACATACCTCGACAGTTGAAGCATGGAGTCCGACCATTCGATGCCGTGTCTGTGACTGACATCGTGTTGGTAGGTGAATGTGATGAAGTTTTGATTTGTTGTGGAACTGAGTCGACGGCGGCGGTTGCTCTTTGCAGTCAATGGGAAAGCGGGGAGCTTAACCCCGCACTCCAGTTCCCCACATCCGGAGGTCTCACTTGGGAGTATTTTCAACGACCTTTTCGAACGATGCTCGTGTGGCAATACTCAATGTCCTTCCGTTCGTCAACGGAGAAAAAAGCACTACAGGATAAATTCGCCTTTGATACGACCACAACACAAGAGAAGGGCAATAGTATCTGGATAGTAGGATCATGGTGTGTGCAACGCCTGCCAACAGGAGCTTAATGATCTCCCCATCTGAGCTTTTCTTTGGACGACTGTCTAAATTAAGCACAGTGATGCAAGTAATTGCTTCCGAACACCGAGCCCTGCAAGTTGATACCCCTGTTTAGTAAAGTCGCGCGAGCGCCGACGCCGCGATGAAAATATATTGCCCGTTTGGGCAAGTAGCGGCGGACGGGTTCCGGGGACACGGCGGCGCCCGGCGTGGACTCAGAATTACCTGATACGGCAGGTGCCGGCGCCCTCGGGCCTGGTTTCAATCTATACAATATTAAACTCATGCTTCGAGAGTACCTGATCAAAGCTATAAAAAGAGCGAAGTCTTCTCACGAGGTTCGTATCGTCCTTCTTCGTCCTCAACACACTCTCTAACCGCTTCTATCCCACGAAATCTTCCCAACATGACCCGAACACAGAACCCTCTCAAGATTGCAGTTGTCGGCCTTGGTCGCATGGTATGAATTGATTCCATCACCTGAACGATACGACTGCTCACTCCAGCCCAGGGCAAACGCCATGTCCACACACTGCTGTATCGTGTACCCCACGCCCAGGTGGTGGGGGTATGCAGCTCCGACGCGAGCGAGGTCAAGTGGGCCCAGAACAACCAAGAGTACACCGATTTCGGCATCACCGTCTACGACGACTACGACCAGATGCTGGAGCACCCGGGCTTACAAGCAGTCTGGATCTCCAGCAGCACAGACGTCCACGCCAGCCAATCTCTGGCGGCGATCGCGAAGGACCTACACGTCCTCTGCGAAAAGCCACTCAGCACCGATCTTGCGGAGGTACAACATACCTACCCCTCCCCTTCACACATCCCGTGACTAACCAGAACATCGCAATCAGGCGCAATCCGTCGTCGACGCCGCCCGAGCCAAGCCCTCGCTGAAGGTGATGGCGGGCTTCTCCCGCCGGTTCGACGCCTCCTACCGCGACGCCAGCGCCAAGATCTACGAGCAGGGCGCCATCGGGACCCCGTTCCTGGTCCGCTCCAACACGTGCGACCTCCGCGACGAGACGGGCTTCTTCGTGCGGTACGCGGCCCGCAACGGCGGCATCTTCGTCGACTGCGCCATCCACGACATCGACCTCTCCCTCTGGTTCCTGGGGAACCCGACCCCCAAGGCGTGCTGGGCGGCCGGCACCCTGCAGCATCACCCGGAGCTCCGGGAGCTGTCCGACGTGGACAACGCGGTCGGGGTGGTGGAGTTCTGGGGCGGCAAGATCGCCTACTTCTACTGCTCGCGGACGCAGGCCCACGGCCACGACGTCTGCACGGAGATCACGGGCACGGAGGGCAAGCTGATGGTCAACGTGGTGCCGCGGCAGAATAACGTGGTGCTGGCGGATAAGCTGGGGATGCGCCACGAGGTGCAGCCGGAGTACTGGGAGCGGTTCGAGCATGCGTTCGCGCTGGAGGCGAATGAGTTTATTGCGGCCGTGCGCGAGGATCGCGAGGTGCCGCTGCCGCTGGAGGCGGGCATGAAGGTCATGCTGATCGGGCAGGCGCTGCAGCATGCTTTGTTGTCTGGGGAGGTGGTGCGATTTGATGAGAGTGGGGAGCGGTTGAACTAGCCTGGGGACTTGGAGCGGTTTTCTGTAGAGAAGATGTGGCATGGTTTTGCAATATAACTTTTGACTTGTTCCTCAATGACTGGCCTGTTCTGCGGGGCGCGTTCCAGTCTGATTCTTAAGCTACCTGATCCTCCTCGTATTAATTGGTTGTCTTATAGACCAGCATGATCAGAGCCTGAGTATCAACACGGCACCACTACATAAGCAGTCTTGTTTTGTTGAGCTGTGCGAAATGTCATCAGAGCGAGTCGTTGCCTGAGGCAGGAAACCAGACGGTGACAGATCGGTGTTTGCTGGGCTGAGACCGCGGCATCTCGGGGAATGCTTTGCAACGATAAATTGTGGTGCTATCGGCTGTATTTCCGGGTACCGACTCACACTTACCACTCACCGTCACCCGGCGAGTTGGCTATACCCAGTACTAGCTATAAAGCATAAGCATACCCCACCTACTCAGTACCATAAAACTAGCCTCCGCCTCGCACCATCTTGCCATCACCCACCATCACCCCCCACCACCAGCAAAATGTCCACCACAAAACTAGCCCAGGCCTTCCCCTGGCTCCAGTCCCCAATCATCATCAACGCCCCAATGAGCGGCTTCGCCACAAGCTCGCTCGCGATCGCCGTCACCCGCGCCGGAGGCCTAGGATACATCGGGTTCCTGTCCTCCCTCCCAGAACTAGAAACACACCTACAGAACGCGAGACAAAGTCTACCTCCTCCGCCTGATACAGACATCCTGCCGATCGGACTGGGGATCATCGTGGCCGTGACCTCCCCATCGGCAGTCACCGCGCTGGTCGCCGAGTACAAGCCCGCGGTCGTGTGGCTGTCCTTCGGCGCGCCCGCCGACTTCGCCGCATGGACCGCGATGATCCGCACCGCGTCGCCGCACACCCACGTCTGGATCCAGATCGGCAGCGTCACGGCGGCGGTCGAGGCGGCGCGGGCGTGCCGCCCGGACGCGCTGGTCATCCAGGGGTCCGATGCGGGCGGGCACGGCCATGCGCGCGGCGCCAGTCTGATCACCCTGCTGCCGGAGGTGGCGGATGCACTGCGGGCGCTTGCGTTAAGCGACGAGGACGACGAGGAGGACGACCGGCCAGTCGGCAAGATCCCGCTGATTGCGGCGGGCGGGATCGTGGACGGCCGCGGCGCCGCGGCTGCGATGGTGCTGGGCGCGGCGGGGGTGGTCATGGGCACGCGGTTCCTGGCCGCGGAGGAGGCGGTCGTCCCCGCGCAGTACCGCGAGGAGCTGTTTCGGGCGTCGGACGGCGGGGAGGCGACCGCTCGGTCGCGGGTGTTTGATGAGATGTGGGGCCCCACTTTCTGGCCGCAGATGTACGATGGTCGGAGTTTGACGAATCGGTGGTATGAGATGGAGCAGCAGGGGGTCGGGATCGAGGTAATTCGGGCGGAGCTGCAGCGGGATCTTGGTCGGCTGCGGGAGACGGAGGGCGCCTTTCGGGATACGAAGAGCCTCTGGGCTGGGTCGGGGGTGGGGCTGGTCAAGAATATCCAGAAGGCGGCTGAGATCGTGGAGGAGGTTAGGGAGGATGCAAAGAAGAGATTGCAGGCGGGTAGTGCTTTGCTCTAAGCATGGAGGTTATACTTATTTCTCGGGTTGGCCAGTTATTTGCATTGTTGGTTTCCAGGCATTGTTTGAATATGTTATGTTGCCTAGTGGCGGATGCTGTTCGATGCCCAACTCTAGCTACAGTCAATGACACCAAATTGTGCTTCAGAACACCAAGTCTACCTGGAAGATATTGCCAGCTATTCTCTCTATCTCTCAACGCAAAGCTTCAACCTCAACGCAGACACACGAAGACATATAACCGTTAGTACCTGATATGACCTCTATTTACCTCCACTCGTTCATCCAAAGAGGAGCTCTCTCTGAACATAAGCTTAAACTCACTATGCGTGCCTTGCCGAGTATGAGGAGGATTCACTTTTTCCCTACATGGGGAAGTCACAATCGCTCTAATCCTCACGTTTGAAGAAAAGTGAAGGAATTCTTCATCGACCATTCAGCGCCTGCATTTGTTTCAGTATATGCATCAAAGGTGGCCTGCATTGCGTGACCCAGATGACAAGCCCGCTAGATATCTTGGCAGGCAATTCCGCCGACCGCAATCATCCAGATACAACAGACAAGCACCCTGACCCTGAACACCTCCTAACAACTCCTGGCGATAATAACCCAAGTACCAGACAAATTCACCTCATGCTAAGCACTCTCCAACTTAATTTGAATCCGATCCCATCTTACCTTCCACTTATCCTCATAACAAGCTCACATCTAGCATTTCCGTGAATTCCGTGAATTCCGGGACCCTGCAGGACAAACCGACCAACCTAAGCAAAACATGGCAAGGATCGACTTTCTTCTCGCAAAATAAACTACAACAATCCGGGTAAATCGGGATACTGAGCAAGGCTCCACTGAAGCTACCAGGTAGTTTCAAGTCAACTTCAAAACATAAAAGCCAGATCTCAGCACCCATCACACCCATCCATCACCCATTTCCACGAAACCTCCTCCCCAAACCAACACCAATCTACTATGACCCTCCAACCCCCCAAAGTCGCCTTTGTAACCGGCGCCAACGGCATCAGCGGCTACGCCATCGTCGAGCATCTAATCCGACAACCCAAAGAAGAATGGTGCACCCCCCCGAGCCAAAACCACACACTCCTCTCAGCTCTACATCAAAGCTAAAGCAATCCTAAACAGGTCCCGAATCATCGTCTCATCCCGACGTCCCCTCCCAGTCCCATGGATCGATCCCTGCGTGGAATTCGTGGCAGCCGACTTCCTGCAACCAGTCGAGAAAATCATCGCGGAGCTGCAAGACATCTGCGCCCCGGTCACGCACGCATACTTCACCTCGTACGTGCACGACGATGATTTCCGCGTCCTCAAGGACAAGAATGTCCCGCTGTTCCGCAACTTCCTGGATGCAGTGGATGCAGTCTGTCCGGCGCTGCAGCGCGTGAGTCTGCAGACCGGCGGCAAGGTGCGCATCTTTTTCTCCCTCCCGTTGCTGACAGCCCCTCCGGGATGCTAACGCGAACGCAGTACTACGGCGTCCACCTGGGCCCCGTCAAAGTGCCGCTGGAGGAGTCTTTCTCGCGGTACGAGGACCAGGGGTACAACTTCTACTACAACCAGGAGGATTACCTCCGGGAGGTGCAGGGCCGGCGCGGGAGCTGGTCGTATAACATCATCCGGCCGAACGCCATTAATGGTTATGCTCCGCATGGTGAGGGGTTTCCCACATACACTTACTGAGGTAGAGAAAAGAGGAAGCGGGTGGTGGCTAATGAAGCATCCAGCGAACGGCATGTCCGAGGCCCTCACCGTCGCGATCTACATGCTGATCTGCCGCGAGCTCGGTCAGCCGGCCACCTTTCCGGGCAACGAGTACTTCTGGAACTCGATCGATGATAACTCCTACGCCCCGAGTCTGGCCGACCTCACCGTGTGGGCGTCGACGCACGACCACTGCAAGGATGAGGTGTTCAACCATGTCAACGGCGATGTCTTTGTCTGGAAGCACATGTGGCAGGATGTGGCCGAGTATTTCGGGGTGGAGGTGCGTTGTCTTCCATTGCGAAAAACGAAAAGCTAGGTGGAAAAACTGACAATTCTGTAGGCACCGGAGCCGAACTTCGAAAAAGCGTCAGGGCAGGCCAAAACCCTCAGTAATGAGATTGACATGGTGGAATGGGCGAAAGACAAACAAGAGGTCTGGGAGCGGGTCGTGCAGAAGTATGGAGGCAAGCTGGAGGCTTTTGGCTGGGGCACCTGGGGTTTCTTCAACTGGGCGACCGGGAAATCCTGGCTGACCATCTCTTCCATCAACAAGGCGAGGAAGATGGGTTGGACGCGACACGACAAGACGTTCGATACCTGGATTGGGACGTTCCGGTCATTCGAGAATGCCGGAGTTCTACCTCCGCACAGGGCTTTGACCGGAGGAAGGAATCGGGCATAGTGGTCTGAGCCCCGGGATAGCTGGACAAATGATCCAACACGGTAGCTCCATTCAGGAGAGATGCTATTTTGGTTGACCGTTGAATGTTCAACAATCAAATGCCATGTGTTGGCGCTTGAAGCTTCAAGTCTGGTAACATTCCTTGTGGTGGTGCGGGGACTGCGTAGAAGAACAACGACGCGCCCCCCCTGAATATCGATAGGCCAATTAAGGGTGTGACTTCGCTCAAGGGCAAGTAGATTCAATCGAGATTTGTCAAGGAAGTAGAAGAGGTGTCTATAAGAACTTCAAGGTTCCTTCGCATACCTCCAGCCTCCTCCAAAAAGTCACGCCAAGTATAATCAGCCAGCGGCAAGAATGACACCAACATCTTCAGGGAGTTTAGCCCTGAACTGCCTTCACATTCCACGACCCACGCCTTCCCCGGATCATCAAACCTCTTCATCCTGGTCCATACAGCGCGAATGAGGATAAATACTACACACCAATCCCACCGCGTCGTTGCTTTTCAGCGCCAACAGTCAAAGACGATCACGTCCATCACCCTCTCTCCTGAGTACTGCATCACCCCAAACACCAAGATGTTCCTCCCCCCCAAACACATCCTCCCCCTCCTCACCACGCTCAACACGCTCACCACGCTCACAACCCTAATCACCGCCTCCCCGGACCAAAAGCCCGCCTACCGAATCACCTCGCCCGCGGCCTCGGCGATCCTGACCCCCAACACACCCAGCGTGATCTCGTGGTCCACTACGCAACGCAGCTCAGCCAAACTCTCCATCCACCTCGAAACCACCACCAACCACACAAACCTCTACACCATCGCCACCAACATCACCAACTCGGGGTCCATCTCCTGGTCCCCGCCCGCCCGCATCCCGCCGGGCGAGGAGTACATCATCGTCCTCGACCCGACCACTTCCACGGACAACGATACCAACACCACCAACACCACTTCTACCTCAAACACCACCCAAGAAGAAAAAGCAACCTACAAGTCCCCGGCCTTCACCATCACCGCCCCCAAGCCCTCATCCAACAACTCCACCTCCACAGCAACAAACTCCACCACCACCTCAGAAACAACAACCTACTACCCGACCGAGAACCAGGCCATCGCCCGCGGCAAAACCACCATCGTGACGTGGCCCGTCGCGCAGGACCAGAGATCCGGGCACGTCAGCGTCTACCTCATGGAGGGGAGGGAGGCGGGGTCCACCACCGCCAAGAATGTCTCGACGGTGGCGACGCACGTGGCCAACTCAGGAAGTCTGGCGTGCGTGCTGCCGGGGAACCTGACGCTGGCGGAGGATTATCGGTTTGCGGTGGTCGGGGTGGACGGTGGGGAGGAGGTGAGGTATTCGGCGATGTTTCGGGTGGTGGATGGGGATGATGATGATGATGAAGAGGATAGTGGGAGGGATGAGGTGGAGGATGTGCAGGAGAAGAATGACGAGAAGGAGGATAGGGGTGAGGCTCATGCTGCGGAGACGAGCGCTACGCCTACGGAGAGTGGGCTGGCCAGTGGTTCGACGGGGGCGTTGAAGTCGGATTCGACATGGATTGCGACTGCGGGGGGAGCGAGGGTGGTGACTGGTGGCGGGTGGGTTGCGCTTGGGATGGTGGTAGCTGCGTTGCTGGTTTAGGGGTTGTGGTTCCATTGAGAGAGGGGTAATGCATACTTCGTCGATATATTGGTTAGCGTAGATTATTTAGCCATTGGATTATGATACTGATGTGTTTTGGAGTGTTAAATGTGGTTCAAACTGCCTCATTTCCAACCAGCGTTCTCACCGTGCCCACTTTTGGTGCAGTGTAGTCATCTGGCACTATTTGCTGCTATCTCCAGCTCATCCTCCCAATAGTAACCGTGCGATATCTGAATTCAAAAGACAACAATCGGATTCGTGGAGTTCAGCACCGAGCGCGTGAAATCATTGACGGTCTAGTTCCCAAGCCCGCTAGAGATGCGGCGCGATGGCTAGGGCTCAATCGAGATCTTGTCAAGCAGGCCATGGGGCCTAGTCTAGACCGGCGTAGATCCGGGTAAATCCGCTGCAACAGATAATCTCACTACCTCACCACAGTCTCAAATCGTTCCACGCGAGTCCATTGCATGCCAAGAACCAGGATAACAAAGAGAAGAGGCGAGATGGTGACCTTAGCCCCGGTAAGATAGCATGGCAGACACGCTGAACACGACCTATGACTCCACCCGCCAGCCAGAAAGTCTCCCAAAACGACTGACGAGGTGAAAGGCAGGATGCTCCACCCTCGCTTCCCACTGCTCAAAGCAGGTACTACAGGCGCTAGCCCCACGCTCAGATTGCTTTCTCTCAGGTGGAACGCGGGTCTGGGTTCGTATTGGTCGCGATCATTGACCCTGGGGGTACCAGACATCACGTAAACCTAATCGCAGAGCCTTATCGAAATATAGCTCAGGAGTATCTTGGGGCTTGACTCGACAGACCCATCGCGCCGGGTATCCAAACAAATTGTGTCCAGACAGACCCATGTGGCGATCCCGGCAGGTGTAGTACCAAGTTTACGAGGCGGCCCGCCCAAGACGCCGGGCAGCTGAGCGGCTGTAGTATCCGCTATCACGGCCATGATTTACGAGAACTTCGCTCTTCTCCTCGATACGGTTCTTCCCAGCTCGTGAATCTCATCAAGATCTTCTTCAAACATCAAGTCGTGAGATCAGAGATCGTATCCTTGCAAGACGAAGGACGAGGTCTAGACCTCAGCATCTTCTCTATAAAATGGCCGATTTATCCTGGACAACCCTATCTCTCTTCCTCCTCATCATCATCAAAATCAGACCATCGCAGAGCAACAAAAGAACCTTCCCAATCGCCCTCAGACCACTCAGCCTCAAAGCAACATGCAGTTGAAGAACGTCCTCGCCGTCTTTGCCGCCCTCAACCTCGTCACCGCCGCCCCGACCCCCGACGAGGACGGCCTCGAGATCATCGACGGCCCCGAGGGAGGTGCCGATGAGTTCGAGATCGTGAAGCGAGGCCAAGCCACCTTCTACTGCAAGGGCGCTGTCGTCAGTGGCCTGGCCGGGACTAACTGCGGGACTCAGCGTAAGTTCGCACATCACCCGGTACCCACCCAGCATTAGGGAATATCGCACGTTCTGACTTAGCGGCGTTCTCAAAAGCCTTCCCCAACTGCAACAACCTCTACTGCTACAGCGGCAAGTACATCGCCTGGCCAGCTCCTGTAAGCCATGTCCAAACTAAGGTCTGCAAAGGAGATCGCTAACTCACTGGGACCGCCAGAAACCGTACGAGTACAAGTCGTACATTGTCTGCCAGAAGTAGATTTGCTACCTAGCATGGTAGCTGCTGCGAGAACGGTGCAGGGAGAATTTTTGCTGCTGTCCTAGCTCCACGGAGTGCATTGCATTTGGGGAGCAAACGTCCCCCAAAGGCTTCATTAGTTCTTGAAGGATACGGATCAGGGGGGGAGATAGGGGTCATAGTGAATTGGCGCAGCGATGAGCGAAAATCAAGAGGAAATGCCACCTAATAATACTTTGCTATTGCTTGAATGGAATTCAATTTTTGTTTCTGAAGTGGCCTAGGTGGTCCGGGGTGATTTATGCTAGGGTGATCAGAACTTAGGGCTAGATAATCAGTGGTTGACTCGTATCTCTTTCCATGGGAAGCTCGGATTCACCCTCTCATCCCGCCGTTTGCGGCCGGTCGCGCCTCGAGCTGGAGGCCCTTATTCACCCCACAACTGCAACCCCTGACGTAATGAATTTGCCAATCCGCAGATCATGCGCACCCAGTAACGCTAAATGGCATATTTAAAGAAAGCCTCGCCTCCTGGCCTTGCGAGAAAACCCTTGGACCTTTCTTTGCAAATAGAAGCCTTTTCAATGCCCCATGATACACGCACAAATAGTCACCGCTGGGATCAACATGCAATGAAAGACTCATGCAGCTGGTCCCACGAGTCCCCCATTCATTTCTGGTGCATTGCTGCAACAAGCAAGCAGTGTCATACCTGAACAGACTAGTTCTCAACATTGCTCTTCGGAGAGCGCGTTCCAGAAAGGCTTATAGTAAGAGCAAGCTACTAATATCCTCGAGGACTATTGCTTCGTCATAGTTTTCCGGCTATTTCGGTCTTGGAAACGCAGGAAGCCGGGATCGCCGGCACAGATCCGCCATTCGGGTAGTTTGATAAAATGAAATAGCCACGAACAGCCGCGGGTATCCGGTGCAGAACGGCCGCGAAATATCTTTCTGCAAATGGACCAGTCAAAGGTTCGCTGATGAAAAAGACAGAGATGGGAACTTGTAGTGTACTTCCGCAATAACGGAAAGCACCGCTCTGATCATTCGACATTTTTCTCCTTGTTAAGTATAGCGTGGTACCACGGGTCTGTAGAGGAATTGAATCGCATACAAATATATATACCCCGTTTATCAACGTTATAGATGCTATGAGTAATCCTCAACTGAACACCAGCGACTCATTGCCTCAGGTATTAACTTTCTTCAAGGGTTGACTTGCGCCTGTAGACCAATGCCTAAACTCCTGCTCCGTGGAAAGTGACACGCAAATCTCAAGCAAACTTGACTGCGAGGCTCCAAAAGCATAACCAGCCGCAGCAGATGGAAGATTGCAGTCCTGTAAAGATTCGTTAAGATCTTTCTCTGCCACATAACTGAATAAGATAATGGTCCTACGCTTGAACCACAAATATTGAGCTTTTGGTTATCTCCCTACGAGAGATCTCTCGCAAATGAAGCGGAATATCCCCGCATGTCCGGCCTTGCGTCGGCTATGGCCATGCGTCTGGAGCAGATCGATCGTGTTTTTTGTGCGTCCAGTCTCAGCCAAGGCCGGGGAGATCCACTTTTTCTCAGAGGAAAAATGCGGGGTAAGGGGACGCAAAGCGTGGCAGGAAACGTGATAGTCATTTTCTGGAATTGCAGTTTAAATATCGACCTCCCGTAGCAAGGACAGCTGAGATACATGAAGCCATTGTGCGTCTAGTGTGTCCTCTTCAGCGTCCATCGAACTTCTGCTAGAATTGCGAAAGTCCAATTGATAGAGGTTCTCATCTGAAAGCCAGGTTACGCAAATGTCTCACCGTGATGAGTCGGTCCGATCCGACCTGCAACTGGAGAGTGCGCGACAAAGTATGGAGGAAGACGTGTCAAAGAAACCTAACCTACACAATGACAACCCGGAGGACCCGTTTGGGGTGGAGATCGAAGGACAAATGCAGTACAAGACCTTGAGTTGGTGGTATGTCAACTACTCATGGCATCTTGGATTAAGCCACTAACGAACTCTTCAGGCAATGTGGCATGCGTACGTCGTACACCTCTATGAAGGCCAATAACTTTCACATACTCACAAACGATAGTCATGATTGCCGAAACCGTATCTCTGGGAATCCTATCGCTGCCAGCCGCCGTCGCAGCCCTGGGAATCGTTCCGTACGTCGTCCCCATCTCTCCCCACAGCAGCAAGGCAGCTCCTTACCCCTTTCTACCAGCTCAATCATCGCCCTGCTCGGACTCGGGGGCATGGCAACATACACAGGCTACGTAATCGGGCAGTTCAGATGGCGATATCCGCATGTGCACAGCATGGCCGACGCAGGGGAGGTGCTGTGGGGCCCGTTCGGACGGGAGCTGCTAGGAGGGGGTCTCATCCTGCTCCTGATCTTCGTGATGGGCAGCCATCTGCTGACCTTCTCGGTGGCGATGAACACGATGACGGAGCATGCGACCTGCTCCATCGCCTTCAGCATTGTAGGCTTCGCCATCTCGCTGCTCTGCACACTACCGCGCACTATGCGAGGAATGACCCTGATGGCCATCATCTGTGCGTGGCCACCCCAACCCTCAACACCCCAACACTGGCACCCCGACACAACCATCTAACCCTAAACCCAGGCTTCATCAGCATCCTCTCCGCCATCTTCGTGGTAACCATCGACCTCGGCATCATCAACCAAGACCACTACCACGCCACCGCCGTGCACCGCACCGACCTCAACAAAGGCTTCCTAGCCATCACCAACATGGTTTTCGCATTCGGTATACCCTCCTTTTCTCCCCCCCTCATCGCAACCCCAACTCTCCACCCCCCACCCCCCACCCCCAACCCCCAACCCCCAAGCTAAAACAGACCAAAAGCCGCCCACGCCGCCTTCTTCAGCTTCATCTCCGAACTCCAACAACCCAAAGACTACCCGAAAGCCCTCTACCTGCTCCAAACCATCGACACAACGCTCTACATCCTCGTTGCCGTCCTCATCTACTACTTCGCCGGGCCGAGCGTCGTCTCTCCGGCCTTGGGATCGGCCTCGCCGGTGGTCCGCAAGGTCGCGTATGGGGTCGCCTTACCGACTGTACGTTTCCCCGGTCCCCTTTTACAATTTATCAATTCCCGCCAATCTCCACCCACCTCAGCCCTCAGCAGTCAGATAACTAATCCTTTCCCTTCTGGGGACCCAAAAAAAAAGATCATCATCTCCGGCGTGGTAAACGGCCACATCGCCTGTAAATACATCTACATCCGCTTGTTCCGCGGCACGGACCGGGTGCACGGGACTGACTGGCGGAGCTACGCGCTGTGGGCGGGGATCGCGCTGGGCGTGTGGGCGCTGGCCTGGGTCATTGCCGAGGCGATTCCGAGCTTTAGCAATATCTTGAGTCTGGTGGTGCGTCTTCCCTCGTGCCCCCTTCTTTGAACATTCCACGACAAAAAAAAGTAATGGGAGGTTGGGATGCTAACTGCCGGTGGGTGGGACAGGCTTCGTTGTTTGCGACGTGGTTTACTTGTACGTTGTTCTTCCCCTTTCTCGGCTGAAGTGTGTATGGAGCGTGAAGGATAAAGCTGACTGAGAATGGGGGGCAATGTGTTAGATGGACTTCCGGGGATTTTCTGGCTGTACCTGAATCGGGGGTTGTGGTTCAGCAGCCTCGGGAAGTTCGCGCTGACGGTAGTGAATGGGTTTATGTTTTGCGCCGGGGCGATTATTGTAAGTTTTTCTGTGTGTGTGGGATGTCTACTTTGAGGAGTACAGCTAATCATTGGGTGTAGTGTGGGCTGGGGCTCTATGTTTCAGGGAAAGCGATCCATGAGGCGCCTGCGCAGGCCTCGTTTTCTTGTGCTAGTTCTTGAGGGCCACACCTAGAGAGGACTTGAGTCTAACTTGAGTGCGTGGGGTTAAGGATACGGAATTGCATGCAGGACAGGTAGATAGAGAAGTGGAGAAGAGTTTTAAAATCAAACGACTAACATTGGAAGACCTTCTCGGTGGAACAAAATATACTACACCCAACCATGAACAATAACCACTCGCCATCACGGCATAATCAAAACACATACAAGACAAAAACTACCACTTAAACTTCTTTGGCACAAACCTACTCGCCTGACTCTGTAGAAAACCCTTCTTTTCCTGCTCCGCCTGCGGCTCAGCAGCAGCTTCCTCTGAGACCTCTTTCGTCTCGACGTCAGGCTCCTTCTCCTCACTCTTCTGCCGCCGCTCGATGATCTCCACCGCCCAGCCCATCGAGGCCATCTTCGCGAACATGAGTGGCGTCGCCTTGTTCTTCCCTTCCGCAGACGGATCCGCGCCCGCGTCTAGCAGCAGCTCCACCGTTCGCTCCCACGAGGCTTGCCCATCCAGATCCGCAAGGAGCTCCGCTTGGCCCTGGGCGCGCAGCTCATGGGCGATCGCCCCGGCGGTCTGCAAGAACAGGAGCAGCGGGGTGCGGTGCTCATCGTCCTTGGCGTTGACGTCCGCCCCGTGGTCCATCAGCCGCTTCGCCATGACCTCGCTGTCCATGCCGACGACGGCGATATGGAGCGGCGTCTGACCGACGCTGTCGCGGGTATTCACGTCGGCGCCGTGGGCGAGCAGTGCGTCGACGGTCCGTTCCGCGTCCTTGACTTTCACGGCAATGTGGAGGGCGGTCTGTGCCGTGTTGATGGCGTGGTAGGTGTCGATGAGAGTCTTGGAAGCCTTCCACGCCGCGAGACCCTTCGCGGCCAGACCCATGCCGACGGTTGTCTTGCGGTTGGGGTCTGCGCCGCCTTTGAGGAGGGCTTCGACGAGGGCTTCTAGTCCGGGGACCCCTGCCGCTTTGTGGAGAGGGGTGATGCCGCTGCTGTTGGTGACGTTGGGGTCGGCAGAGTGGGCCAGGAGTGTGGTGACCGTTTCGACGGAGCGGCCGTCGATGGCGTAATGCAGCGCGGTGTTGCCGCCGCTTCGAGTAAAGATATTGGGTCGGGCGCCGGCTTTGAGTAGTTCCTTGACCATCTTGGGGCCCGCGTCGGACCGTTCGGCGGCGGCGAAGTGCAGCGCCGTGCGACCGGGGTGGAGGAGCCCAATGGTCGTCGCATCGACGATGGCCCCGTTCTGCAGCAGCCAGGTGACCATCTCGACCGCCTCAGAGTCTGCCGCAATGTGAATCGCACTCCAGCCCGAGGTGTCGGGCGCCGCGACGGCCGATGGCAGCGAGAAGATAGACATATTCCAGGAGGTGGCGCGATCAGCCAGCCACGGGAGATTGAGTCGAGCGGACACAAAGAGCAAGCTGGTGCTAGTGGAGAAGCCGGAGTCTGTTTGTAAAAGTAGAACACATTAGTGCTGCGGACGATGCGAAGTGCTTGAACAATACGACTTACACTTTCCATGCGTCCACCGCTTCAGAAGATCATAGGCCTTCAACCAGTTCTGCAAGGACACTGATTCAGCCTCGAAAAATCGCTTCATGCCAACCACGTCACTTTCCTCCCGAATTTGGCTTTCGCGGAGGTGATCTCCAAGATACTCGATGGAATATTGGAGGAAGGGATAGCCCGCGACGTATTCCTGTCTAGTCTTGGTAAGCTCGACTTCATCGATCTTCCAATCCTTATTCACCGGTGGCTTGGGCACATCATGGCGCTGAATTTCCTCAAACTGCAGATATGCCAAACAGGCCGAGGCCATCTGTCGATGGGCATCCGACTTGCTCATCCCGAACCGGGGATAATCCTTGGCGCCTTCCTCGCTGAAAACGTGGGTCAAAAAGTCCTTGACAGATTGATGGCTCAGATAGACGGCGCCACTCCGGACTGCGAAAAGAGTGCCCCAGCTGTTCTCGATATTCTGCCGCAAAGCCTGGAGATCCTCCTCGCTTGCATTTGCGCCCGTGTACTCCCTCCCCTCCTGGAGCATGAGAATCACATCCAACTCCCGCAGAGTTAATGGGCGACCGGCGAAGTAGATCCACATGAGCAGTGTCCGCAACCGCCCGACCACGTCCCGCGACTGTCGCTCCAGTATTGCGCTGTAGAAGGCTTCGACATCGGACGGGATGTTGTGCAGCCTTTCCTTGACCCGGGCCTCGGTCCAGACACCCTCCCAGGTGGACAGGTCATCGAGAACCAGCGACAGCCACATGAACATGCCTTTGGAGCTTTCCTTCAATTGGCCCGTGATTTCTTCGCGAAGCCTATCCGGGAACTTGCGATACTCCTGAATGCGGCGAACCCTGCGCTCGGCGACTTGCCCGATGTCCTCCTGATTCCCCTCTGGCATATCCACCGTAAACTCGGGAAGCATTTTATCGGAGACAATAGCACTACCTCGGTCCGAGATAATGCACCGAAAGGTGAACTTGCGGCCCAGGTCGTTTGCCTTCTTGCTGATTCTGGTGGACAAATCATTTACGATCCGAAGAATTGGGGCGATGAAATGGCCGCACTGATCTAACCCGTCGATGACAAAATACAACACCTCCAAACTGGGATCAGCCACGATGTCTTCGATGATCCCAAGTAGAACATCGCGTGAGTGAAACTCGTCCACTTCAATCGTGCTGCCGTTAGATGACCCCTGCAAGTCTTCAAGATTTTGCACATGCTGCAGTGCGTATTTGATCAGACCACGGTTCTGCTGTAGCAGCTTGTATAGCAAGGTCCTAAGAACCCAGATGGGCGCCTTGCGGTGCTCATTCTTGTCATCGCAAAAGCAAGCCACCGCGATCGTCTTCCCAGGCGTTCCAACCTCTGGGCTTAGGATCACATCCTCGGTCAAGGAAGGAGATTGGGGGCTGGTGCTCGAGCGCAGACTGGATTGAATAGCTCTTGTGAGATATTTCAGCAGTACAGTCTTCCCACTGCCGGGAATCCCTCGAATGTACAGCGGTGTGGTTGACGGGGGATCGGTTTGGATCCAGCTCCGAAAGGCTGCGCATTCGAAAATCCATTCACAGGTCCCGGGGAACGCACGAGCGATGTCGTGTCGGTCCCCTGAGTCGCCTGCAACTAGGGCGTCGAGTAATTTCTCTTCGACCGTCTTCTTGTCGCCTGCAGACCGACGAAAAAGTGTTAACCCAAGGCAAGATACAACTCATCATCAGGCCCATCTTACCCATGTAGACGGAAGCTCCGGCAGCGATGGTAACCTGTTGAATGGCATCACTGTAAAACGATGCTTCCATCGAGCCATAGTTCTGACCCAGCTGAAGTCCAGAGTTTGTCGAGTTGTTGAACGCGGCTGACGCCGGTGGTGGTGCCTGGAGCTATAGTGTCAGCATTGGGGCCAGAACATCCATCAATCTACCTCCTCTTGCACTGAAGCACAATACTCACTGTATCAACCATCGTACTAGACTATCTCCTCGGAGATTGCCACAGTCTTGAATCTTCGGACTGAAGCGCAAGTGGACAAACGCACGGTCGAACGCAAGTCGTTGTTAAATAAGACCGATCTCATGGGACACACCCGGTGCAGCAAGCAAGTTCTGCTTGACAGTAAGCAGGAATTGCATCTCCGCATCTGCTGAAAAGGTCAACACTGCCTCGATTGGGTGCCACCGGGATGGACGGCGTTCTCCTAGTCGGGTTCAGTTGTCAGAAGACTTTCAGCCCTCCACGCCGCGGGTGTGATCATAGGTGCAGATTTCAGCTGCATCCAATGAGGGGGCAAATATGCACCTCGCTTGCAGTCACCCAAACAAACCACTCCCCGTCAGCATCGATCAGCGCTCACACCTCATCCCGATGCCCCCCCCCTCCCTCCCTCTCCGTACTCCGTACAATTCATCTAGCTTGCTGCAGGAGATGGTCCATGGCCGAGGTCCCCCCCCCCTCCAACACACGCACGCACGGCACCCGTTCGGAACGGTGTGGAAGGCAAGCGGTCTATATTGACTTTTAGCGCCAGCCATTCAGTTTGTGGGTATGGATATTGCGATTCCATTGGACCAAAGTACGAACCGTCGCGATTGGGCCTCGTTTGGGATTGTTGCAGCTGCTGGATCTGCGATTGTCCCTCCTGAGGGACGATGCCTGATTTCTCGGGATGCTCCTTATCATGAGTTGGAACATAAATTCGGTCGGCCCCAGCAAAAAGGGATAGTCCCATTTACTATCACCACTGATCCGACCGTTATTTTGATATACATCTGTTGTTGAAGGTGGCGCATTACCAATGGAGCTGAAAGTGATCCGGGACCCTGGCGACGCTCGCGTGGAGTAAGTTACACCACACCTCTTAAGTGTACGACATTGCAAGGTTATTTCTAGAAGTCGCATGGTTGGGGAAAACTGATCATGGAACTCTGAAGCATTGTTTTCGTCCACGGCTGGCATGGCGAGCAGCCCGGCTGGACCTCTGCCGCCAAATCAGTGTTCTGGCCAGAGAAACTCTTCGCGAGCAAGATTTCCGAGGCGCGCGTGTTCTCATTCGAGTACGATGTCACTCTCGAAACGTTCTGGAACGAGGAAGACCTCATCACCGAGCTTTCCAATGAGCTGATGGACCAGCTTATGGATCAACGCACCGAACCGGAGAAGGTTGCCCCGCCCCTCCCCTCTAACCTTCCCCGCTGCTGATGATACGACCAGGAGAAACGCGCTGTGATTCTTGTAGCGCATTGCCTTGGAGGGCTGATCTGCGAGAATGTAGGCTTCCTGGAGTGCGGTCCAGCCGCATCCTCCCAAACACCCCCTGGAGCCAAATGTTAACAAACAAGCATAGGCGCTGGTTCGAGGAGCCGAGCACGACGACCGAAAAAGCCTCGTCAGCTGTGTCAAGGGGCTTCTTCTTCTCGGAACCCCACATTACCGCCCGGAAGTGTTGAGTGAAGCAAACAAGTACTTCGAGCTAGCAGGTGAAGAGGCCCCGAGTGAGTTTGGCCTGGAGGAAAAGTCGGAGTGGGTGCTGGGCATCCCGCGCGAGTTCGCTAAGCTCCGTGCCGCCGGGCTAGAGATGGACATCCAATGTTTCTACGAGGGATCCTCTACCGATCTCAATGGGAAAGGGGTCAAGATCGTGGAGATGGCCTTGGCGCGGTGCCCCGACGGGCCTCCCGCAGAGCGGCTGGCAGCCAACCATGTGAAGATGAGCCAGTTTGAGGATGAGAATGATCGCGACTTTGTCAAAGTGCTGCGCGTCCTGAAGAAATGGGTGGCCAAGGTTCCTGCCCCCGAGAAGGATGGAGGCACTACAGTCAACAATGTCTCTCACGCCTCCTTTGCGGGATCGACGAACTCGGGGTACCAGTTGGGTCAGAATGTTGGTAACCAAAGTGGGTTCGTTTTTGGAAAAGCATAGCGGTGGAGTTGCTATCATGCGATGTTATGAAGATGATGAAATCGAGCTCCAAAGCTTTCTGGAATGATGATATCGTGCATCCAGTGCTGTTGTGTTACCTTGGAATTGTTCAGGCTGTGGGCGAGTAAGCAGGGTAGACGCAGTCGGGGGTGCGGAACCCCAGTTGGCGTAAGGCATGAAGTCTCGCGGCGAAGTTGATGCCCAGAATAGAGTTTCGCCTGTATACTGGTGACAAATCAGCCAGGAATCAAGGTGGTAGGTCTGCGATCAAGCCGATTAGTTGTCAGACGGGCCACTTGGAAGGCCGGGATCGAACATGGCCCTATGGCCCAACACACGGTCCAAGTGAGGGGTCATGGGAGGGGTTCCTCAAAGTTTGACAAGTGTATCACAGACCCACGGCAGCTAGAATCATGACAAACATTCATGACCCCCTGCTATCGGATATACCCGGAGGGGTGCCATGCAGATAATCCCGTACGTGGGTATCTGCTATTGGTGTTGCTGCCAGCCGCGGGCGCTACGGTGGCTAGCTGACGAGACGGGAGAGCCCTGTGAGAAAGTGCCAACCTCAGCTTGCCGGCGTGTCCGACATGGCGCCGTTGGCTGTGCTGGAGATAGATTGCCGAGCACGGCAGCACCGAGCATTGCACCCTGGGCGCGAAAAATCACAGGACCTGGGATGGAAGCCGTGTGTGGACTGAGACGAACCAGTGTCCGTGCGATCGATCGATCTTATCTGGTCTGAACTTCCCACCACAGGGCATCGTGGCCATGTACTCGTTTTCCAGGGCTTGACCACTTCTTTTGTTGAGTCTTTACCACACATAGGCCTGAAGAAGATGGCAATCGAACCAGCAAGCAATGCATCGGCCGAGGCGTCCGACCTTGCCCAGTTGTGGCAAGGCGCCGTGGAGGACTATGAGAAGAGAACTGGGAAGAATCTGAAATTGGGTCAATTCAGGAGTATGAACGATGTGATGACAGGAACGGAAGGCCTTGCAACCAGATTCAAAGACTTTCGCGATGATAAATCGAAGATGGCCAAAGTCCGCACCGCGTTGAAGAACAACATGTGGATCATCCAGAAGGTCGTCAACACCATCCAGACGGTCGGAACTGCGGTTTCGGTGAGTTGGGCTCAGTTTACAATATGTGGCATCATTTTTGACTCGCAACTTTTAGGCATTTCCACCTGCCGTCCCGGCCAGTTTGATATTCACGGCCTTCGGCCAAGTCATGCAGGTATGCGATCATTGCGAGGAGGACGTCTATTGCATCAGCACGTTTGACTGAATTGAGCCTAGTCATTCGCCGATACATCTGCAGACTATGACAAGATTATGGGGTTCTTCGAGTTCACACATCGCTTTTTCGATCGCCTTTCGATTATCGAGGAGAGAACTCCAGCTCTACCTCCATTCCAACGATGCGTCACACGCGTCTTCTCCAGCATCCTCAAAATCTGCGCCGTCGCGCAGAAGTATGCCGCGGAGAAAAGATTCAGTATGTGCTTCCGCCTTGTTCTTCGAGCAATCTTTGATTTGTTGAAGCGTGGCTAATGCTAATTTCGCGCGTCAGAGAAATGGTTTGAGAATCTGGTAAAGGGAGCCGATGGAGATCTTACCGCAGCAAACACCGAGATGGAAGAAGCCATCAACGAGCTAAGCCAAGCCGTGGGCCTAGCGACACTGAGAACAGTCGAGATCATCGACGAGGTTGTCAGGAGCATGAACGGGCAGGTAGAATTCCTTGTCGCGAACGCCACCCTCCTCGATGAGCGCACCGAAGCAATCCAGTCGAACACCAATACCATCATGGAACAGAATCAGGATCTCGGGTCCAAGCAGGATGCAATGACGCAGTTGCAGAAGGAAACACTGGAGATGGTGAGCGAGCAATCCCGGCTGTTCAGCAGCGTGGTTGGCTACTTCGGGTCAGTCCAGATGGGCGAGAACTTTGGAGACAGTTTCAAGACCAGCGTGCTGAAGCTCGGGGTGGTGAGGCTGCGATTGGCGCGCTGGGGACAGTCGGTCGGCCTGGCCAATATCAATGATGTGCACTCCCTGGAGGAGTCCAAGCTATCACCTGACGATATACCCCGGGTATCTGAGCTGTTGGAAGGGATTCTCGACCAGTTTGCTGATGCGGAAAGAATCTCGAAGCGATTCCAGCTGCGTCATCGCAATGCGACCGCTGTTCTTGATCCTAACAAGGACCTGGACAAGGTCGCCGCATCGCTGCATCAAAAGATGAATGATCTCTCTCTTCGAAGACAGGGCAACTCGGATGCAGAGCCCACTAAGGAGCTGACATTGTACGAAGAGAAGAATTTCACGAGACTGATTGAGGACATCAACGAGTTGGTAAATGACCTGGTCGAGTTGTTTCCGGGGATCGAGGATGCGCAACGCAAGCTGGCAGAGGAAGAGGTGTCGGAGATGAAGAGCATCAAGGGGGCGCTACCTATCCTGAAAGAAGTGGCAGCCGATCAAGACAATCTGTTGACTGAGACCGTTGTGAAGGTGATCCAACAAACCTCGACGACGACGTACACCAACTCGGTGGTTTTCTCAGGAAACAACTCGGGATTTCAAGTGGGAAACAACGCAGGGAGAATCAGCAACTTGCGGTGGAACTGAGGCAGGCAGGCAGGCAGGCAGCGAGCAGTAGTATCACAGAATTGTTCTCGGAGATCAAAGAACAGAATCATCTTATCACGATGTTCAAGAAATATAGGAGGTCAAGTGTTTATCGGAGTGATGATAAAGTAGCAGTGGCTGTGTGTTCTGCGGGGAGAACACACTGGCTGATCGTAGAGGTAAATGCCCCCGGTCCTGCGTTCGAATCCCGGCGGTGGCACTTCCAGACGCTGGCTCTACCATTCCGGGATTCAACGGTATGAAAACACCCGGGGATAAGAGGGGTTTTCGTAGCACTGTTCGAGGTTATCCTCCAACAGTGCGAGCATTTTGCTGTTTTATTTCTTATTTTATTTTTATCCCGTCACCCACTGCAGATTACATGCGAAGTGTATCTCGAAACTGTGGTCATTACTCGACACCCATCACAACTGCGAGTTCTACTCGAGCGAGACCCGTCCTGCTAGATCGCTATACAAGTCGCTACCTTAACTATCTTCAAGAAGGCAAGTCATGCTTCCAAATACCCTGTGCGATCCATATAAAACCATCTCTGACTTGCTCGTACCGAGAATCAAAAGCGGTGTCAAACTTTTTCATCTCGTCATGCGTCGTGTTGAGATATAGATGCCTAGCAGTCTGTGTCCCCTACCGAGGTCTTGTCAACCAGCGCTTTTGTCTAGAGCACTCATGGGTCCATAATCACCTCGACATGCGTTCGTACAGAATCCGGCCCTTGCTCGTGGCCATAGACTGTTCGAAAGTCCTGCCTGATTCCCTCATACTGTCGCAAGGTAAGAAGTAACCAAGATGCCTCCTTGAAGTAAGCATCATCCGCCGCATGAGCCCCGCCACTATTGGCCAAGTAGCTCTCCAAGCCCTCGAGTCTGGCATCCATCTCTGGAGTACCCCTATAGAGGACTCCGCATGTGGACCTCTTAACTTCATGAAATCTTTCATCGGGGTGGGAGCCGGAGAAGAGCAATGCCTGCCGAGAAAGTGGTTGTAAACTATTTTGGCCGTCTTAGGGGATACAGGGGCAGACATACACTCTTCACAATCGAGCCTCCTGCGCTATGTGCAATGAATATGAGTGGACGTTCATGAATCTATGCTCCGCTGGGGATAAGCTTTCAACACAGTAGCCACAAATTGATTATCGGTTACCTTTGAGTCCTCTCTGTGTTGCCACAGGTCACTGACGAGTTTCTGTGATAGTACATGCGTCGACGGTTTTCTGCCAGCACAGCTCGAGTCCGGGAAGCTATATCCCCAGGAATATACATTGATATTTGGCATGTCTCGAGGAAGCACGTCCCTCAGCCAATTGACGCCAGACGCACTTGTCCAGGAGTCTTGCGGGTGACCCTTCCATCCATGCACGGCGACAAGGCTAGTATCGATTAGTCAGAGACATGAGCATGAAGGTGGTTTGAGAATCAACGTACTCAATCTCTGGCTCCGGTGAGGTATGTGCAATAGTGAGATTGGTCCTGATATCATCTTCGTGTGGTGGCCCAGGTGAGTCCTGTTCTCAATCAGAGAAGATGAGATTGGGCCGATCGGGGTGAACTGACGTTCCGAGGAGCTCCGGATTTTGCGAAGAACCGAATGAATTTCAAGGGCATGATTATATGATGAGAAAAGGCCTTTCAAACCCTTGCATTGTCTACCAAAGCAAGTGGAGACTGAATTTGATACCAGACATCCCACATTGCTGGCCTGATGTTTTGGGTTTAGCCTGCGGTTGGGGTGGGGTAACTGCGGGTTCTGTCATGTTATTCATTCGGTTATGCACATAAGTCCCGCCTACGTATAGTTAACTATGCAGGTTAATTGCCTTTTGTGCTACGTATCTGTCATTACGGACCGCTTATCGCTCAGCGTCATTGAACGTCGCTGTGGACGTACTTCATGTCCTGAAGCTGCAGGTAATCTTCGCTATAATCCAACTTGGTGACCAGCATGCATTCTTCCGCCTCATTGCGTTTGCCACTATGCCCAATGATGTCAGTTCCTTGTAAATAAAGTCTCGGGCAAGGATCTCCACTTGACACCGGATGCCTCAACGAAGTTTGATAGATCAGGTTAAATATGGATCACCAGATCGTGGGACAGCGGAAGAGAAGGTCAGAGCTATTTCCAGGAATATAGACATTCAATCATCCAGAACTAGTGAAGTAGGCCGAACACTCCCGCAATACACAGAAACCATCCTGAAGAATTCAACGCTCAAACGCCATTACCTATACATCGCCGCCTCGCATGAAAACGACCTACACTTGCGTAGATGACTGAGACCCCGAGCTCCCTAATTGTGTAGCATCGCCAGCGGGCAGCCCATAATACCACTGACCCAAGGTCTTTGTAACATTCCAATCCTTCTTGCGAAGGTCAAATAAGCGCGTCGGACGCACTACTAGCGAGGTCGTTGAAATATGCCTCAACCAGTCCAGCATGTTGGGGTCCCATGAAGGAGAATAGCAGGACCTTTGTGGAAACCGAGTCAGCCGCTCAGGATGGTCCAAGGGTATCAGTGAGCTTTACCGGTGCAGTCAGCTGCTCGATGTAGCGGACTCGCCTCAACTGCGCGATCATCAAGCGCAGGACAACCATGACCTCGCCCCGCAGAATCTTGTTGTCTGTCCCGTTCATGTTGTGGTACGTAAAGGCTTTGATACGTGTTTGTGAACCCTCGGCGACCTGGATGGCCCATCTGGTCACCCATTCTGGAGACTGAAATTGATGCAGGCCTTTGAAGGGCGTGTCGTCGATACTGTTCGCACGTGGTGAGAAATGTGTGAGACACAAGTTGTATAGCATTGGCTGCAAGAATTGATAGAAGCTGCTGAGCACCTAACTGACTTCCGACCATCGTTCTCCAAGCTTATACAGCTCCTCATGCCCGGCACCGCGAAGGCAAGCGTAAGCATAACCAAGAACAAAACCCGTCAACCAATATGCACAGGTCATCGGGCTTTTATCGTCCGGGTGGAATGCATCAAAATCATGGAATTCTCGTCCTTCCTCTTCATAGGCATCACTCGGAGTCAGAAGTAGGGAGGCAGGACATGGGATAAAAAAGATAGGCCTGGATTTTGATTGGCCTAACTCCATGAGCAAAATGTCGATGTCATAAGCTTTCGCCGTGTTCTGATAGAATTCGAGGACTTGAGAGTTTTTGATTCGACTCGTTAGTGCACGCAGTGCATGCCGTAGCTGTCGGCGTTCTAGCGGCTCAGAAGCAGGCATGATCACAAAGATAAGCGACGAGCAACGAAGGGGGAGAGAGGCGCAAGCTATTTATCCTGGGGGTCCGGGTTTCACGCGAAGGCGGGGGGTGAATGTGGGGGGAGGGAGGGAGGTTGAAAGAAGGAAATGAGCTCAGGCTTTACCCGCCAAGGGCGCGATGGATACAGTACGGCCGGGGCTCCCGAGTCTCAAAACAAGAAAGTCTGCAAGCCTCGAAGACTGCATAAGCATTTCTCTCCACGGTTATTTCGTGTTTTATGGCTAGTCATAGAGTTCAGATCTCAGGGTAATTGCTTGTATCATTTATTCATGCTTGTTCCTTCAGGTCTGCTTCCTACTAGAACCGAAAGAAAAGGATATATACCTGGCTGTGTTCACGGCTATATTAGTGACTGACGGGAGTTAGTAGGAAAGATGACCAATTCCTGTTCAGGGAGACAAGCGCTGCCAACTCCATTCCCAGGGATTATGCCTAGATATATACATTGTATAAGTCGCAGTCAACCTCATTCCACACCTGTCCCCTCACGGTTTACCTCAACCAAGCCTCCTTACTATGAATAATCTTCTCCTGAACCAGTCGATCAAACACCCGGAAGTACCCATCCCCGACCGGGTACTCCTCCGTGAACCCCACACTCCGGATCTTATCCAAGCTCAGATCGCGGTCGCGAGCCAGGAAGCTCATGCCTGCGGCCAGGAAAATCCATGTCGCTGCGGGGATCTCGCGCGGGCGTAGCTCGTACTCTTCACACATCTTCTTGTAGTCGTCCTGGTGCGCGATCCACCACTTGTCGGTGTCCGTCCAGCCCTTGACCTCGGGAATGGGAGCTTGAGCAGTCAGACCGAAGTACTCGCACATCTTGGGCCAGACGATAGAGAACGGTGCGGGTGTGGCGTTGTCGGCCGTGTTGAAGGCCTGTCCGTGCGCCTGCTCCGGCTTCTCGAGTGAAAGGTAGAGCTCTGAGCGGGCGATAATATCCTGCGACGAGGGCGTATGCGAGTGGACGTAGTTCGCGTAGGAGCCGGGATAGACGGGGGTGGCTCCGGGGCCGTTCACGTAACGGTATAGCATCAGGTAGAGGGCGAGGGGCTCGACGTAAGTCATGCTGGTCGGGATCGGGACGTGGCCTGCCCATCGGCGGTGTCAGCGTGGGTCAGGATTCAAAAACTAGAAATGACGCACCCACAATCTGATCTGGTCGGACTTCGCACCATTTCCAGGACTTTCCCTTGTTAGCTTCCTTGACCAGATCGACCTGCGCATAGTAGAAGATCTCGTCGCCCCAGGGCGAAGGAATGCGCGGGTTATCCTCGCGCAAGGGAGGGTTGATCTCGATGTGTTCCTGGAAGCGAAAGACAGAGACTCCGTAGTTCTGCGCAAAGTCAGCGGAAGCCCCCAAGTGTTGTTTGGATAGTAAATACGTTTGTTCCAGTTTGTAGCACAAAGAACTGCAGATTCTTGCACAGCTTGTCGACAGCGTGCACGGCGTTATATGTCATTTCCACGTTGATATCTCGGATTGCCATCACATCCATCGACCATGCAGTTGCATTGGAGTAGGCTGGTGTGATAAGTGAGATTGTGATGAATCCCTTTCAGGCTTCTTACGTACCAAGATAATACGCGTGGGTGACCGCTTCTAGGTTGGGGACTTTCTCTTGCAATAGGGCAACTACCTCGTCAAGAGTCCCTCGTAGATTCACGCCGCTGTGCAACTCCAGTCGAGGATCATCCGGTAATCCACTTTTCTCCAAAGGTAGAGGTTTGTTTGTCAAGCCAATCACTCTGCAAAAGGTGGTAGGTGTGGGGTAGGAGAGAGCGCAATTTGTGACGGCCCAGCCAGAGATCCCACTGGCTCCAAAGACCAATGCAACGTTCTTCAATTCAGCCATTGCGCTGCTGTGTGTGCCTTTCTTTTCGACGAGACAATGAGGCGTCTGCGGCCACAGGCTCCTTCTTTGGCCCCTGTGAGAAGAGGGGCAGTATTTATTAAAAACAGCATCCTCGGCTGCCGAGTTATCGGAGCTGTCAATGATTCATTAGGCCCGAGCCCTTATCTGTCCACCAAGCAACTACTGAATCATACCCTGGTCTATGTTCACGAAGCTATGGCCTACGACCGGCCAGACTCCGAATGCTTTGGCTCTATTCGTGGAAGCCAGACAGAGCCAAGGTCCGCGGAAATGTCAACCGACTAAGCGCTAGCCGATCGATCTTTTGCCCCAATCACTACCTGTGGTTTGCCTGGGCTATGTGGAGTAGGTGGATAACAATATCATGCCATTTCACCACATAAATTGCTTCAAATTGACCATCCCAGGCGCAGAGTAAGGGGCCTCCCTTCCACTGACAGCGGCAGGCACCGAGGTACCCCATCTTGCTCTGTGGATTTGATGGCAAACCTTGAAGGCTGGTTTCAACTAATTTTCCCCTTTCAAAATAAATTCCAGGTGCAAGGATCCCAATCCGATTGGTTCGTTCTTCAAACAAAGGTTTTGCTGCACGGAGGCCTATCATTTGGAATGTTGTTGGCTGGTGATTGTGCCCACAGTGGAAACCGACCGGTCAATCGATGTGCCGTCCCCCACCATAGCAAACTGCTACCCTAGCAAAGAAAGTACAAGTGGAGCTCCCATGAAATAATCTCAGCAGAGCTAACGTCGATTCAATATTATTCGCTGAGAGCCTTGTACCCTGCCTAGCTTCTCTGACCGCTGCACACTAGCATCCTAGGGCTTACTAGGGCTTCCTCTGTAGCCCTCAACTTCACTCACAATCTGAAAGCACCCAGCCAGGTTCAAAGCTCTTGCTGATCAAATCCCTTGACTGGTGGATTGACAAGGATGTAAAATTGTTTCTGCTGTTGGCCAGACATTCTGGACCAGGCCACAGCAGGTCAGACAGCATGGCGACTCATACTTAGCCTGCCAACGCCCCTGGCCGTGCTTTGCTTCATGGCACTTCGTCCACCTGTCGAAAATGAATGTCGCCCAAAGGTCAGCACTCCCAAAAGATATCTCCAAAACGCGACATGCGGCAATCTTTGGCGTGGGCATCGGATTCATCGTGTTTGACTCCATCGTCGTCGCGCTGCGCATTTATGCCCGCGCTTTCATGCTGCGCGCCCTGGGAGCGGACGATAGTAAGTCTTCAAGACCCTCAACTCGTGGGACTAAACTAAAAAGCATATTCAGTTCTGATGATAATCGGGGCGGTAAGCGACATGAGACCCCACGACCAGTAATCTCTAGTCACACTCAGTCCATCAGATACTCAACTTCGGATTATCCATCACAATCATGACCGGCTCGCGGTATGGGATCGGAAAACATGCGCTTGCCATAACGGAAAGCGACACCGTGCCTATGCTAAAGATAAGCCCTGAAGTCTTCCTTCACTAAGAGGTCGAGCATTGTCTAACTCTAGCCACCGGCAAGTGCATATGGGTGACACGCCTCTTCTACACGCTTTCCATGGCGCTGGTCAAGATGTCCTTACTGTGGTCATACCTGCGTCTGGATCCCCGGAGATTCATGCGCTGGGCTGTCTTCTTCGTTATGTTCCTCAACATCGGTCTTTCCCTCGCAAGCTTCATCGGGTCACTCGCCAGCTGCAGACCTCCATCCTTGTTCTGGACGAGCCCAACAGGAGATAGCCGCTGCATGTCCCTAGGCGCACAGCAACTATTCTACGAAGTTAACGGGGTCTTGATTATTGTGACAGACATCTTGATCTACCTCTTCCCGGTTCCAATGCTCTACGGCTTACAAGTGACCTGGCGTAAGAAGGGGGCCATCCTGGCGATCTTCGGGCTGGGGATTCTGTCCATTGCTGGTTTGTATTATCCTACCATCCAAGAAACCCACACGAGTTTCTACTAATATCTATGCTACAGCCTAGCGGCCTGTGTTCGCTACAATTTCGTGAGGAGACTTGCTTCCGCCAAAGAGGAGTATTACCTCCTTCTGGCTGACTCTCTCAATTGGTGCACAATTGAGGCTTACGTCGGTACGTAATCTCGTCCCTTCCCCATTCCAATCAGATAATCTGTCTCGCTCTAACTAGACTGTGTTCATCAATTTCAGCCATTTTTTGCGGCTGCGCCCCTTCACTCTCTGTTCTGATCAAGGCGTACGCCCCATCAATCTTCGGCTCCGGCACGGCCAGAATTTCCCACAGCGCGCAATTTCCCGGCGTGAGTGATTTGCAGCAACGCAGCGCTCGGAAAGCCAATCGAAGTCGGGGTCTGGCCGGTACGACGCTGGGGAGCCAGGATGCCATCGTTACTGGCAGCGCCCCTGATCAACTGGATCAGGACGGGATCGTGATGAAGACAATTATACAGACGTATGTTACCACGCGGGAATCGACAGAGGAGGAAAGCCATCGGAGAGAGAATTATGATCTTGCGAGGCGGACGTGATGCTTCATGCCACCGCATGCCCCCCCTGGCTCAAAGAGCCAGAGTCATCAACAACAGAGCGAACAACCGGAAACGTGGGCTAGGTAGCTCGCATTGTGCTTACACTGGAGATGCGGACGGAATCATCACCAACCCCAACCCGTGTGATAATCCCTTCGCAAATGACTCTTGTAAGCATCCACGCTCAGCCCTCCAAGACATTTTTGGCGTAAGAAAGGCACAAAATCGGCCTGGCAAGTGAGCCACTGTACAGTACTACATGTCACAGCCCCCTCCCCCTCCCCTCAATCTCCCCTCTGGCCGGGTCAGAAGCACAAACCACCGGCTCTAATGAGCCCATGACATTCCTCTCGATCTCTATTGATCCTCTTGCGCGGGGCTTGTAGATTAGGTATGGGTTGGTGGGGCGGTACCGGAGCGGTCCGCCGGCGGGTTCCTTGGTTGGTGGTTAAACAAAAAAAAGAAAGAAATCAATTCCTGGGCGGGGGATACTAGCTATCGTGTATTGTGCATGTAACGTGGAGGCTGAGTGCTATCGCCATATCAGGATTAGATTCGATGATTAGTACTTACATAGTGGGTGCTTATCAGGAGCAGATGCACCGGACAATACCTTACCCAAATCAATTGTCTGTGCGAAGTATTCCTCCCGAACCACTCGGATCCTAGTGTAAAAGGTTATACCATCTACAGTCCAGAAGTGCAGTGCCTGGCCTGGTTATGCGTCTGCATCTGTTGGGCTAGAGCAATCGATGAGCTTAGGGGGTGGTAGTGCTGATTCACTATGCTTCCGGGTTCGACCAGCTGGTCAATGTTGGATGCTACCCCTTGACCGATATTACGGAGTATTAGGAAGTGGGAGGAGGGGGGAGGGGTGAACAGCAGCTGTAAGTTAGCGGCTATCGGAAGACTGCCCCACAGTAGGAATAATCAGTAAGCATTAGGTCCCTTAGCTTACCGTGTAGTTAGTTTGTCTAGGAACGTTCCCTGTTGCCAGTGAGTGCTGTCCCGGATACCACACCATACCACACCGTACCATACAATACAATACACCAAATGAACCCCCGCCTGCCTACTCGAGCACTAATTTCTGCCCTCAGCTCGATTCGCAGTCGGGGTCATAAATTGGAGCAAGCGTGAGTTCTACTAAGCCCCGATCATGGATCCGCCTTGTCAGACGGGAACACAAGCCAATGCACTGAGACGAACCGTAACTGAGCTGCTCCCCCATCTCATTTGTGCATCAGCCATGTTGCTTGCCTGGTCTACCGAGCAGCTAGCTACCGAACACAGTGGAGAGTTCCTCCGCTCACACGGACTGTCTCCCATAGACCCAGCAGCCCAGCCCAGCCCAGCCCAGCCCAGCCCAACTGCTCCGAACCGCCTTTCCAGTACCTGCATCCTGTCCAGGCATGGGATTCGAGGCCGATTCACGGGCTGTCTGGCAAACTTGGAATTGGCCATAGCAAGTGCCGTGGATGGTTGCTTACGGCATCTGACTACCTACCCCATTTACCGGTGAAAATCCGAAGATCGGTGACTGCGAAGAACCCATCTCATTATGTACTGCACATGTCCAATATGAAACGTGCATACTGTAATATAGTTACAACCTCAAGCAAAGAAAAAAAGGAAAGAAAAGAAAAGAAAGAAAAGTCTAGTAAGTACTCCCCCGAGGAGTACGAGATACCATAACCCAATGGACCCCTAGCAGCAATATATGTACTGTGCACCGACCTGCACCTAAATCTAAACCTTCTCTGCTTCCCTTTGATCCAAGTAAGATTGTACCACATCCTTGACCGCATCCTCGAACGGACGGAATTGCACCTCCAGGTATCTCTGCGTCTCACTGGAATCGTAGGCGATCGGGAGGGTAGGCAAGTTGGCCTGCTTGAGTTGGCCGGCGGCCACCGCGCCCGGAAAGTTCTTTTCCACGATGCGCCACGCGTCCGAGTAATCGACGAGCGAGCAGGCGCCGAAGCTGTGCGGGGCGGCTCCCGCTGCGGCGGGGTCCAGCTGCAGGACCTTCAGATAGACCTGCGCCAGATCATCGATGTGGACGTACCCGCCGTGGATGGGGGCGGGGCAGTCGATGCCCGTCACGCTGCGCAGCAGGATGCCACAGGAGCTGCCCTTGGCGATGGCCGCGTCGGCACTCAGCACCAACCCATCGCGCCCGTAGACGTAGCCGGGGATCACGCGGGCCACCGAAAATGGCGGCTTCTCTTGCTCCACAAATGCGTCTGTCTCATTGAGCTCCGTGATCTTGCCCAGGACGTAGGCCTCAAACACGTTGGAGAAGGTGTCGGGGATTCCCGGCAGGGTCACGCGGGAGTTGGCGGTGACGGTGATGGAGGGATCGGGCATAGGGGCCATGTTGGCGACGATGGAGGAGGTGACCAGCACAAGCTTGATGGTGGGGAACTTGAGGGCGGACTTCAGCAGGTTGGAGGTGCCCTCGACGGTGGGCTTCCAGATTTGGGTGAGGGGATCGAAGCCGGGCACGGGCACTGGCGGCCCCGTGTGGATCACGTACGTCGCATCGTTCAGCGCGGCGTCAAATGCATCCTTCGCAAGGATGTCCGGGACGACGGTGTAGGTCAGCCGGTCCCCGGGATTCAATTTCTGGATAACAGGATTGGAGAGGATGATTTGGGCCTTTTCCTCGGAGCGCACGGTGACTCGGACGGTATAGTCGGTTTTCTGGAGAAGTTCTTGAAGTACACGGAATCCAATCAGGCCAGTGGCACCAGTGAGGAGGACAAGAGGAGAAGCCATGATATGATTGAGGCAGAAGAAGAAGTAGTTTGGGGGTGGCGTTGGACGATGGACAAGTGCAAAGCAGTGAAAAGAGAGGAAGGGGAGAGGAAGTTTGAAGAAGAAATAAAGAGGGAAAAGAAGAGGAAGAGGAAGAGAGGGGCTCCGAATAAGGATGAGGGGAGCAATATTTATACGGGCATTATACGGAACAGTAGAACAGTGAATAGTGGAACAGTGAATAGTGGAATAGTGAATAGTGGAACAATTGCAACCTTAGATGTCTGTCTCTCAGTGATCGGGTGGGCTGTGCCTTGCAGCTAAATTGCAGCTAAAAGGCAGCTAAATTAGCGGGCGGATCAAGCCTCCTCCTTCGTTGCTTACTTGGGTTTCAACTACGTACTGTACTGTATTTGCATACATTACGTGTCTCGGACGGTATTTATATGTACTGTATAACTATACATACTAGTCACTAGAACTAGGACGAGTCGCTAGCCAGATATTTTGAACGTCAAGTCTTACTGCTCTCACGGTGCAGCACATACTCTAAGTAATTTATAGTCCTCTATCCTGTATCCTGTATCTAGTGCTTACCCCTGATAGGCCCCCTCTGGTAGGCCCCTGTTTCTTCTGGTATGTCCGCTACTACATGCATGGGGGCTTTAATACCCCAGCTCACTCCCAATTCTCGGTGGTACACACATTCACCTCCCGATTCTACACCATGGACCCTCGCAAGTCTGACGCCATTCACAATGAGCGCTTCGTGAAGATCATTTGTGTGGGTGCTGGTGCATCGGGTCTCTGTCTAGCGTACAAGCTCCAGCGATCTTTCAGACAATTCTCCCTCACAGTATGTACATGTACATGTACTGTACTCACCCAAGCCAGCCGAAAAGACCCAGATCGTGCTAACGTGGAGTGAGACAGATCTACGAGAAGAACCCCGATGTCTCCGGCACATGGTATGAGAATCGCTATCCAGGCTGCGCGTGCGACGTCCCCTCCCACAACTACGCCTACTCATTCGAGCCGAAACTCGACTGGTCCAGTGTCTATGCGGGCTCCGCCGAGATCCGACAGTATTTCCGAGGGTTTGCCACCCGGCACAATCTCTGGCAGTACATCAAACCCTCCCATCGGGTGGTGGAAACCCGCTGGATCGAGGCGAGTGGAAAGTGGGAAGTCCAGGTCACGGACCTGGCCTCGGGCCACGTTCTCCACGACTGGTGCCATATCCTCGTGCACGCAACGGGCTACCTGAATCAGCCCGCTTGGCCCCAGATCCCCGGCTGGAAGGATTACACGGGGATCACGCTTCACAGCGCCGACTACGATGAAACGGTCTCCTTGGCGGGGAAGGATGTCCTCCTGATCGGCGCGGGTTCCTCGGCCGTGCAGATCCTACCGGCCATTCAACCGATTGTCAACCGGGTCAAAATCTTCATCCGTTCCCCAACGTGGTTGCTGCCCGATATCAGTACCGAGGCGGGACAGTTCTCGCCGGAACAGATCGCCCGGTTCGTTGAACACCCGGAGAGCGTACAGCGGCTGCGCCTCGAGAATGAGCGCACGATGAACAGTATCTTCAGTAAGCGCTCTCCCCCGGCATTTGTGTCCTGGATCGGATGACTGGGATCCGCTCTAGACCACACAAACTAACATCCGGGGGGTGGGGGTGCTTGGCAGCCATGTATCTCCGGGACACCGTCCTCCAGCGTCAAAGTCGCGAGCTCCTGGAGTCTGTAATGCGGAAAGGTCTGCCGAAGGAGGAGATGCAGCGACGACTCATTCCCACCTTTGCCGTCGGCTGCAAGCGCGTGGTACCGTCCGGCTTCCGGTACCTGGAGACCCTGTCGAAGGCCAACGTCGAGATCGTCTACGGCGGGGTGTCGTCCGTCTCGGCGACGGGCTGCTGCAGTGAGGAAGGGACGGCGCACCGCGGCGATGTCATCCTCTGCGCCACCGGCTTCGACGCCTCGTTTATCCCGCGCTACCCTATCCTGGGCCCCGGGGGACGCAACCTGCAAGCCGAGTGGGCCCAGGAGATCGGGGGCTACATGGGCGTGGGCATCTCGGAGTTCCCCAACACCTTCACCATGCTCGGGCCCTACACGTCGGTCCCCAACGGACCGACGCTGGTCGCCATCGAGGCGCAGGCCGACTACATCTGCGCGTTCATCGACCGCTACTAGACCGAGCCCATCCACTCCATGGCCCCGAAGCGCGAGGCCTGCGCGGCCTTCACGGCGCATGTGGCGGCCGTGATGCACAAGACCGTGTGGACCGATCGCTGCCGCAACTCGCACAACAACCATGCCATCAGCGGTCGTACCCCGACCACCTGGCCCGGGAGCACGCTGCACTACCTGGAGGCCATCCGGGAGCCGCGCTACGATGACTGGGACCTCCGCTACGCGGGCAATCGATTCGCGTGGCTGGGGACGACGGGCATCTCCCAGGCCGAGTGGGACGCCACCGCCGACCTGGCCTATTATATCCGGCAGGCCGATGACGACGCCCGCTGGGCGAGTCGATGGCGGCGCAATCTCGCAGTCGCCAAGACGGGCACCATGATGCCGCCTCGCATCCTGCACAGGCAGGCGAAGCTGGCGGCGAAAGAAGACGATCGCCCAGACCGGCTTCAGTCTCGTGCGGAGTCCCCAGAGGGGGACCTCGTTCTCAGCCAAGCTTGAGCCGCCTCTGGGCTGACGTGGGGTGGTGCTTGCGGCTGATGCATGTGCAAGGATTGTGTGTTGAAGAAGGCTTTTTGGGGAAATTATGATCTAGAGTCGAGGCCCGGTTTACTCGCTAGTGCTTCGTAATGTAAATAACACAATACAAGTGTTCACCGGGACTTTCTGTTGTCAGGATAGATCTGATCCTATGCACTCCGTGGACGACACTACACCTTGTTAAAACAAATCTGCGGGTTATTCAACTACATGCTGCAACTCTGTGGGATTCAAAGTATGGACTTCGTGACCCTCAAACCACTGAGACAATATCATTCAGATGGAGCTGTGCAGACATAATACCGCGAGCCTTTCGTTCTAAAAGTGAGAACAAGCGGGATGTTCATTAATTCACTTCGGGAGTACAGATGACGATTCGCAACCTCAGTCGACAATCTAGGGCCTAGAGCAGCAGTGCTGCACACCTCCCATGACTCTCGGACTCAACAACTACTCCAGACTTATGAGATGGGTGTCACGAGCAACCCTTGGATCCTCAGGTTCTGTTCAGGCTCTGAGTTTGACGAGTGGCGTTCTGCTCGTTGATAGCTTGGCAAAGAACCCCGTAGATCAGACCGTGCAAAACGTCAGAAAACTCGCTGGGGCAATTAATGCCATCGGCATTCATTGCATCCCTAGAGAGGGAATCGCGGGGCCCGTGCAGCTTGGTAAGATCTCGATGGGCGCGCTCGCACCACTTCTCTGAGATGTTCGCTTCTGGGGCTTGGAAAGGGTTTGGGAGGATGTGTCCGGTGACTTTGTTGACGAGACCAACGCCGGATTTCTTCGGCTCATCTTGCTTCTTGCGGCTCGTTGGGCCTTTCGACGCAGAACAGGGGCCATGATATTCTCTCAGTTGGTCCACACGAATTGGGGCCGGCCGGACATACCTGTCTGGGCGAACTGCTGGTTGCTTTATATGTGCTTCTATGCTTCTGTGCTTCTGTGTTCGAAGCGGATCCTGTCACTGCCTGGTAGGCAGCAGTGGCACCTCTGACGTGCTCGTGTACACAAACCAGTGACCTAGACTTTCTCCCTACCTTACCTACTACCTAGTAGTGACTGGAACCGTTAATTCGAATCAATTGGTCGATCGATCGATCGATCGATCGATTGCCTTGCTGATTGCAGCGGGTCGCGCTTACCGCGCCAAGTCGGAACCCCGCGGCTCTTGGAGAAAGCTAGAGGGCGAGAGAGACCCTCACTCGAGTGACGCCACTTGCCACCGCAACCTGACTGTACACCGCTTCGATCACTAATTTATATGGCTGCAGACCACAAGAAACACCCAAGTGCCCAACCGGATGTTGGAGCGCCTGGCCCGGACAGTATGGTCCAATCTAGACAGTCTCGTTTCACCTATCGCCATCTCCGACTGTTACAACAAGCCTCACCAAAAAGCCCGCTGCGCGTCATTGCCCTAATTGATTACGATGCCTTCTATGCCCAATGTGAGAGCGTCCGCCTCGGCCTTCCGCCCACAGTTCCGCTGGCCGTGCAACAGTGGAATGCGATCATTGCCCTCAACTATCCGGCGCGGCAGTATGGCCTGACTCGCGGAATGTCCGTGGATGAGGTCAAGGCCAGATGTCCGGACATAGTATTACAACATGTTGCTACTTGGCGGGAAGGATCCTCCACCTGGGGCTATTGGCCAGACGTGCTGCAGAGAATGAAGACAGACAAGGCTGCACTGGATCCGTATCGACTGGAGGCCCGCCGGACCATGACACTGGTACGCGAATTGCTTACCACGTCTCCGATCCCAATCGAACGGGCAAGTATTGACGAGATCTTCCTTGATCTTTCTCCTTCCGTGTATCAAGAGCTTGTGGCTCAGCATCCCGAGCTACAGCTTTCGCCTAGTCCCGATTTAGATGTGCATCTCCCGCTCCCCCAGTTGAAGAAAGGACTGGAGTGGCATGGCGCGCATCTCTTAGGAAGTCGAGCAGGGCAACCTGGTGATGAAGAATCAGCCCGGGACTGGGACGAGATTGCGCTCAACATCGGTTCACGGATTGTCAATCAGGTGAGGCAAGACATACTGCGGCAGCTGAAATATACCAGTTCAGCGGGCATCGCGTCGAACAAAATGCTGGCAAAGCTCGCCGCCGGCCGGAACAAGCCCAACGGCCAATCGGTCGTGCTGCCCAAAGCCGTATCGAGTTTCCTCTTCTCATGCCCAGTCAAGAACATTCGTGGCCTCGGACGAGACCTCGGCCGTCACCTGGTGCGGGCATTCCAGACGGATCAGGTCTCTGCCCTGCTGTTACTGAGCCGGTCGCAGTTGCAGTCTTATCTTAGGCTCGGAGGCCGGCATATGGGTTTACAATGTCATCCGCGGTGTCGATGAGAGCGAGGTGGTATCTCGCACGCATACAAAATCAATGTTATCGGCCAAGACCTTTGTTCCGAGGCTCCCGGCCGATCGAGCGAGTCACTGGCTCCGCATCTTTCTTGTCGACCTGCTCGGAAGGATTCACGAACTCGAGGCCGAGGGGTGTGAACTGCGCCCGACGACCCTCACGTTGTGTCACCACATGAATGGCCGATTCGGTCCGGGGCTCTCACGACAGGTGGCGATTTCCCCGGCGATGCCGATTTCGGAGACTTCACTGATGACCGCTGCGGACCCCCTGTTGACGAAATTCACCAAGGATCCCAAACTATGGCCTTGTCAGGGTCTGTCACTACGACTCTCGGGGTTTCAGATCAAGCCACTGCGCAAACGCACCATTTCATCGTATTTCAGGCGAACTGACGTCGCCAAGCAGGTCGCGTCAGTGGAGGATGACCGTCACTCGCAGACAGGTAGATACCATTGTCCCTATTGCAATCGATCCGTCGGTGCGTCTGGAGCTCTAGAGCATTTGGACTGGCATCTGGCCGTGCAGTTATCGCAAGATGGATAAATACAGGCAGTCCAGACAACATCTGTAGCCCGGCTCTGATGCGCCACCAGCCATGAACACTCAGTCCGTTGATGTGTCGAATCCAGTATCAATACATTCGTGCTCAAGCATGTGAAATCAGCAGCACCGCTCCTTATTCCCATCCTAAAGCAGATTATAACAAAGCGGTCGCTCTGTTTCAGGCTAAGAAGGAAAGGGTCCAACCGCTCATCTTCATGAAAGGATGCCGAGGTTGGAAGCCCTTACTGCGACGGGGTCTCTTGAGATGGGAATGGGAAAAGCCGCAAAATCTCTGTCGCGAGCAACCTTTCAAATTTATGCCTTTCAAGATATGTCGGGAACTTCCCTAGCTTCCTCGTGCCGAGAACCAATTGAACCGATTACATTATGAACTAGGTAGGGTCATCAATCATGGCGAGAATAGTTCCAGGGTGTCTGATCCGATACAACATGACCTATCTATTCTACCCGTCAAAAACGTCCAAGCAATGGGCGATGAAAGCCAGGAATTATTCACGTGCTGTACTTCGAGTCTGAGAGTCGAGACTAGCAACCTCGTCTTGACCACTTTCCCCGTGCTTTTCATTGGCAAGCACAAAGCGGTACCGGGCCTTGTCGGCATCTATCTTCTGGATGGCTCGATTGGCCTTCTTTATAGGCATCATTTTGAGCAAAACTGCAATTTTCAACTTACAGTAAGCTCCAGCATCTCCCAGATCCTTCTCAGCCCTACTACTAGTAAGCCCCTAACTTTCAGCCGGCGGAAGACCAGAGCTTCCGCAAAGCCTGCCAGGGTACGGTCCTCAAACACACCAAGCGAACTAATCGTGCTATGTCCCTTCAAATACCTGTTAAGTTGAGGATATATCTGAGCGATTGATTTCTCGACTTCTATGTGATTCAGAATAGTTTACCGGAGAACTCTGCAGGCGTAATAGTGGCAAGGGTGGGTCCAGAGTACTGGGAAAATGTATATACAGGCCATTCAAAAGGCTGCAGGTATAGTGAGAAAGAGTAAGGTATTTGTGTAGAGACAGATATACGTAAGACAGCCACACAACCTCTAGCCGGTAGAAGACTTGTGTGAAGGATGGACTCATTCTTTCTGTTAAATTTGAGCAAAAATGAGACACTTGACTACCATCATCCTCTCTACGTTGCCCTGGTCAGAATATAATCACCGAATAACAAGCATCCAGTCAATAGTGCTTGGTCGATCTTACTTCCCTTCTTTCCCAAAGCTCACCACCGTTGGCTCTGTGTATATTTCTATTCGATTCCGGTTGCCTGTAGCTATCGAACAGAACATTCGGCAGGGATTTGCTGGATTAGAGGAAGAGATTTGTAGAGAGAGATATAGTACAAGAGAGTAAATGTTGAATATGAGATAACCTATGCACAACACCAACAGATGAACTGAGGTACAAGCAAATTGAGAGAGTGGTCAGGGTGGTGACCTCGCCACTCGAACTTTCCAGACCCACCGGATTGCTTAGCGACAGGAGCAGAATTGCTGCCTGAGTCATCCATCGAGAGCTCGCTATCATCACGTGCCGCGCCACCGCCTGGATCTCTCACCCCGGATAAGAAACTCCTCTTCCCCGTCGACGGTCACCACTGCGCCTCCACTGCATCGTCACCCACACCTCCCAATCCTCACCCAGAACCCACACACAAAATGACAGACACACAAGACCCAAGCGCCGCAGCTGCAGCTGCAGCCGCAGCGCCACCAGCACCACTCTTCAAGAAACGCGGCGCCAAAGCCCAAACGAACCTTCGCAAGAAACGCGCCGCGACGCCGCCCTCCGCCTCCTCCGCCTCCTCCTCCTCCGAATTCTCCTCCGACGAAACCACCAACATCAAGCGGCGCAAGAAGAACGCCGGCGTCGTGAGCGCCTCTTCCGCCGCGCGCAGCACCACAACCCCCAACGACCCCGTCACCACACCCACAGCCACCGCCCCGCTGCTCCTCCCTGACACCAACGACGCAACCAAACAATCCAACTGGTACGACGAAACCGAGACCACCAGCGCAGCCAACCTGCTCGGCAAAACCCGACACCCCCAACCCTCCCTCCCCCAGGAACCCGACGGAACCTACAGAGGCCTCGCGCACCAAACCCAACAAACCTTCATCCGACGCAACCCGGACGCGCCCCCCAAAAAGGCCGTGGGGCCCGTCCGCGCCCCCACCAACGTGCGCATGACCACGTTCACGGACTACGCGCCGGACGTGTGCAAGGACTACAAGCTGACGGGGTGGTGTGGGTTCGGCGACAACTGCAAGTTCCTGCACGACCGGTCGGATTACAAGGCGGGGTGGGAGTTGGACAAGGAGTGGGAGAATGTCACCAAGGGGAAGAAGGTGGTTGGCACGGTGGTGTCGGATCGGGCGCGCGGAGGAGGAGGAGGAGGAAGCGGAGCTGCGGACAAAGACATGGACGACGAGGATGCCGAGTTGGAGGAGATCCCGTTTGCGTGCATCATCTGTCAGGGCCCGTATCGCGAGCCGATAGTGACCAAGTGCGGGCATTACTTCTGCGAGGCGTGCGCGTTGAAGCGGTATCGGAAGGATCCGAGTTGCGCGGCGTGCGGGGCGGCGACGAACGGGGTGTTCAATTCGTCGAAGAAGTTGAGGCGGTTGTTGGAGCGGAAGGCCGAGAAGCAGGCGCAGCGGAGGAGGGAGGCGGAGGAGAACGGGGAGGTGCTGAGTGAGGATGAGGAGGATGAGTAGGGGATGAGTATATGATATGCACATATGTATAGAGATTATGATATCGTCTTAATATGATTGAATGCCTTGAGGGCCAAATCATTCATCTCCGTGTATCGTGTGCCACCGACGTAGCCGCATTTATGAACATCAAACAGTATACTACCAGGTCTACAGCAAGTAACTCCCCCCGGTCTCCTCATGGATCACATCGAACAGCGGCTTCGCACTGAAATACCCCGACCCGGGCCTCCCCACGGTCTTGTATGTGAACGCTGCGTCGGCATCATCGATCTTGATCGTCGCCCCGCCGCGCCCCGCCGCCGCCGCGTCGGCCAACAGCTGCGCATGGCAGCACTTCTCCAGACTGACGAACCAGAAGACCGTCGCCTCGATGCTCGTGCCCACGGTCAACAGGCCGTGGTTCTGCAGCAGCGCCGCCTTCTTGTTCCCCAGCGCCTTGGCGATGTTGTGTCCCTCGTCCTCGGACAGCACGACCCCGTTGAATTGCTTGTAGACGACGTGATCCTGTATCGTCCCCCAGATTAGCTTGACTTTCTGCGACACACGGCGGGGTGCAAGGGTGCTATACTTTGTAGAACGCGCACGAGTCCTGCGTGATGATGTCCAATGGCCGACCGAGGGCGCAGAACGATCGCCCGTAGATGCTGTGGCTGTGCGCAGCGCACAGGACGTCGGGCCGGGCGGCATGGATCGCGGAGTGGATCATGAAGGCTGCAGCGTTGAGGAGGCGGACCGGCCCCCCGTCGAGGATCTTGCCTTCATGGCTGACCTGGATGAGGTCAGAGGCTTTGATCTGCGAGAAGGCCACGCCGAACGGGTTCACCCAGAAGGTGGTTGGGTCGACAGGGTCGCGGAGAGTGATGTGGCCGGCCACGCCTGCCAGGAGATCAGTCTTGATGGAGGAGATGAGAGACGCAGAGGGTAGAATTGAATTGGGAACAAAAGATTACCCTCATCGTATCCATTCTTCCCGAAGATGCGGAATGCAGCGGCTAGTCGGCCCTTGAGGTACTCTCGTTCCTCGTACTTATCTTCGAAGACAGGGGGCTTGGGGTATTGGGAGGTCTGGTTCTTCACTGTCGCCGCCTCCATACCATCCTCTTGGGAGGACTGGCGGGTCTGAAGGGTGACTTGGGACGTTTGGGTGGTTGATGTCTCGGTTGAGCTGGGAGGTGCCATGGTGAGGGTGTACTGTGTATGTACAGTACTCTACTCTGAGATGGTGGGTGAAAAAAGGGATGTGGACTGCTTGCGTGGTCGCTGTGCAATGAAGGGTCAGAGGTTGGTAATTGTAAGTTAGACCGCCACCCTAGTTTATATCCTCATGCATTGACACCTCATGCACGCCCTTGGATTGACTACCTATGGTGTGCTGCTGCCGCCTTAGGCGGGGTAGCATAACCGACCCTGCCCTGCGACCGAGGCTACTCCGCGTCGCATTCTTGGGTCGAGTGCGGAGAATCGTCTCCACTGGACGCTTGGGGCGAGGCCATTGTTGATCAATCCTCCCTTATCATCTAGTTTGAGGTCTGACGTGGCGAATGTTGGCGGATTTCTCTAGAACGAGGCAGTATCTGTCAAACTAAGATGGGAAGCTGATTCGATGTAGAACTCCTCATGGGAGGCGGTGTAATCGGATGTAATCACTAGGGCATATCAACTAGAGATGTGCGACATTGCTGTTATCTTCGATATATACAACAGACCTTGACACCGCGAGATAGGAAGGTGGAGATCAAATCCATAATCCATGATAAGGGAGCACGAGGCCCACACCGGCGGTTCCCAATCACATCCGCTATAATAATGGCAATCGCGTCCACGGTAAACCGCGCGACTTTGCTTTGAGCATCTCATACGGTTTCTGATCGCTCTGGCTCCTGCTTCTGATCCCCCGTTTGACTGTAGGGATGCCAATCAATGGCTTCAGGTCGGCCTCGCAGACCGTATCAGTCAGTGGCAGCTCCCCCGTTTGGAAATACTTTCGAATTGCCTGGTCGACACACATTGAGGGGGCGGCTAAAGTAGAATGCTACGCTTGTCAGTCTCTACGCACCGTCTGCATGTGTGAATTGCGATTCGCACTTACTCCTTCCGAGTCCTGCTGCAGGACTACAGAGCCAGGAAACTTCTGCGACATTTTCTGAGCACTATGCAACTTTAGTAGGAGTCGTAACGAGGCAAGGGAGGGCTCTCACCTGCGCAGAGGTGTCACCGGGTCTAGAATGTTGTTTACAAAAAGCAATGGATGGGACGTATTGCCTCCTACGGGTGCTATGCGACATTAGACCGATGTGAAAGGCGCATGCAACAGGAGGACGTACCTTTGAGTTGCCATTGGGGTGAAATATTCCACCCCACGCATCCCATGCGCAGACTAGCCCAGTAATCTGCAATCATGGAACTATCCTCTTTCAGGGCCTTCCAATATCGATGGAAATCCTCTTGGTCCGTATTCTGCAGGTAGACTGCATCCGTACACAGCACCGCCGAGCTGGCATATGCCTCGTTCTGACCCGGCACCTGGCAAACTGCCGACCATGGACCGGCTTGAACACATTGATCAGAGGGACACGACGGAGAGCGAGCGCTGCTCTTCATATCCGCCACCCCCGACCCATCTCCTCGGGCTAATTCACTTGCGAACTGGGCCAGAGGAGGAAAGCCCTGAATGGGCTGGTACATGGCCAGGCGCAGGATGTTTTTCAGGTCGCTCCAAGTCACAAGTTCCGGACCTCGAGTAGGAGAGGCTATGACGGGCAGTGACGCATTATACAATGCATCCTCCAGGTCAAGATACGCTTGCTTGATGGCTGGTGCTCCACCTGAGATGTAGAATGGACACTGTTCTGGTCCGACCGTGTCGCAGTACTGCGCAAACCGATCGAAGATAGCGTCAGCATCCTCAATGGCACTGAGGCCATCATCAAAAAAGTATTTGTCCGCGTCGACCACCGCATCCAGCACAGCACGTTCTACGCGATCGGGGAAAAGTGTGGCGAATGTCGCGCCCAAGACAGTCCCGTAGGAACGGCCCCAATACAACAATTTTTCTCGACCTCGCTTCCACTTTGTCCGAGCCACGATTGCCTGGTGTTGGTCGTGGCCGTCGATTCGATCCTGCCGTCGCTGTGCTTCTACACCTTCTTTCTCACGCCACTCTCCATGCCGCTCAATGATCTCCAGCATGTCCCGGGCGACTGGAAGCGTGTTCATGTGTTCTCCCAGGGCCTCCTCTCCACCCTCAAACGGAGTGGACAGGTTGATCGAGCATCCCATATTGAGAGCGACCGAGCGCTCCCAGTTGCGACGAAACGCGCCGTCTGCGCTTCCCAGCATGCCTTCGGCCGCCACCTGCAACTCCCAATTCCTTTGTGCGAATATGTTCGGAAAGCAACTGAAGCCCGGGGTCGTATTGTTCACCCCGCGAGGATCAAATCCGATGACATCGTAGTATTTATCGCGAACGCTGTCTCCAAGCGGCTCAATACGGGGATCTGCCTCTGCATCCATAGTGGCTTGCAGATTTCTCCCGTCAATGAGCACCTCGGCGACTCCAGAACCTCCAGGGCCCCCTGCATTCGCCATGATTAGACCCTGTGTCGAGGATAGTAGCGAAAAGGGCATACCCGGGTTGACCAGGACTGCACCGCCGTAGCGTGGGTCTGTCACTGGCACCTTTGCCGGAAGTCGAGTGATGGCAATCGCAAAGCGCTGGCCGAGACCATCCGAGCGATGGTAATCCATGGGCACCTCCACACGGGCGCACTGGAACCCATCGAAGCAATCGTGATACTGCAGCGATGCGGATGGGGTGATCTAAACTTTTGGTCAACGTCAGATTCTTACCAGCTTGTATGTACACAACCACGTACCTTACTCCACGTAAATTCTGATTGTGAAGGCTCTATGGATGTGTTGCTGCGCGTCGACACAGGTGGCATCCACCATGCATACCCAGCGAGGCACACTAGTACCACCCATAGAGAGTTGGCTATGCGCAACCGTGCAATTACATTGGTCCTCGTTGACAGAAGCCGCTGGTCCGGAGGGGTTGCGATGCCGGCAGTCTTGAGACGTTCCATCGGTCGCACTAGCCTGGAAGACCTGAAGACAAGCACGACCTCACTATTGAATATGTCTTGCGGGACAGGAGGGTCCCGCTAGATAAATGTGCAGTAGACATGGTCGTTGGCTGAGAGGCTGCTGGCTGAGGTGCAAACTTCATCCGCTTTCCTGTTCAGGGTTGAAGCAAGCCACTATCTATCATCTGCAGGTTTTAAAGCGGGCCCACAAATGGAGAGCGAGAGATTTCCAATCGAGGCTAGAAATGGGAGAGATCAGCCGTCAGATTTGGCTTGAAATGTGTCTCGAGCACAGGCCGCTATTGTCGATTGCAGCTCAAGTGGATGCCAGTTCCCCTCAGTCATTCGCTAGTTGCTCCCTCACATTCAGTTTGTGATGGTGCATACTACTAGGTACTGGTAGAGAAGTAGGCCACCACTCTGCGCCGTCGATTTGCGCTTCCCGCCAATCAATAGTTAATGGGTCGACCGGCTTTATCTGTCCGGTCCGATAACCACCCGGAGGGTGGGTCACATTAGGGGATTCATCCGAAGTATGTACTGTGTATGTGCGCTGTCACGCTACTAGACGTTCTTGGCTAGGTTTGCTACACTCTGCGCATTACTGTCCCTTGCGGCGATGTGTTATATGAGTTCTGACTCCATTCAAGGTCACCTCCACTTTGATCGCCCGCTTGGCGAAGGCCAAATGAGCTCATCAGGCACAGCCCCAGGCTCATGCTCCATCGCCGACATATGTCTGGAAAAGTCTCGCCCAGATTGGTGCCTTGCTGGCAGCGCTCCATGATGTCCCTCACCTGTGTTGCGAACGATCTATCTACTGGTGATATTTCATAGCGAGAATGTGCGAGAGCGAGGCCATGTCAACTCCCGCAGGTTGAGTCGAGGTGAGCCCCCCATTTCTTGGCAACATCTGTCAGGACATGTCTCGCGGCCTCGTGAAGCTTTCGGTTTTTGATGCAGTAGTGGTCGCTCCGCCTGCAGCAGTGTGTTTCCTATGATGAAAAGAAGGCGAGGAACTTCGTGCGGTCTGCGCCGTGGCACGTTTGCCAAGGTAGCTCGATGACGAAGGGGTCTCGAAAATGAGGGGGACACGTCCATCGACTGATATCTAGGCTTGTTGAATTGCAATTTCCTGTGGCCACCGAAAGACACGTTTTCATCATTTCAAGCCATCACAGGTCGGATCATGATAGTCGCTAACGGAGGGCTGGCTCTGCAGGCGATTGGGGCTGATGTCGGAGGCGATCCTTCAGACGAGGGCGAGCTAACCACTCTTGTCTTTCTGTCAATTGACCAGTTCAAAGCAGAGCATGCATCCACTCTCCTCACTCTCTTCGTGTTGACTCAAAGTCGTAGAATCTTCAACTCCATCGCCTCGTCGGTCTCGGATGCGTGACTCAGGCTGGTGACCATGGTGAGTGGCATGAGTAGAATGTGTCGCGTACCACAAGGGAAAGTGGCTCTAAGCGAGTTGAATTAATTCCCAGAAGATGTTAGAATCGCCGTATAGCCCAACACTGCTTAGAGAAGAGAGGGAGGAAGAAGACTTGCGCTGGCATTGTGTGCAAACGCGTTCGCGACCCCGCGCCAGATCACGTGGTGACATTCATCCACCTCTTTCTTCATTGAGTAATAGCATTGAGACTCGTCGACCTTGACTGCCCGGACACCTTGCAGATCCCATGAATCGCAACTGAGATATGATGAGGAAGCTTGATAGGAGTTGCAATCAATCATTCAATCATGCAGATGCAGTTGACAAATTGTCTACTCTGTAGTTATACGGATACTCCGCAGTGAATCCAAGGCTTGCCCCGCACGCACTGCCCGAAACGGCTACCTTATCAGTAATCATGGACATGGATTCAATCGTCCATCTCATCATGGAGAGTTCCTCCGAGCTATCCGGCTCCAATTGGCAATGATCTGATAACGTGCTGATGTTTGCAGCATGATCCCATCGTTGTCGATCTTCACCAGGATCCGCACGGTCGGAGAGACGCCGCTCCAACTCCCTTGCTGGCCATGACTCCCCCACCGGGCTTCTGTCACATTCATTAGCTGATGTCTTCGGCTAATCCGGTGATTCATCCTCCTTTCTCTTCGCTTTTCTTCTGCAGGTAGCGGGCACAGCATCTCCTACTGCTATTGTCGACCAGCTTCCGATTCACACAAAACTCTTCTCGATCTGGCTAATGTGTGGTTAACGGCTAGGAACAAACGGACCAGAACCATAGCACTTGCTGGGCAGCATTCCGGAACCACCGACATTCCTCGGAGCCCGATTGAACGCTTCCCACGGATGGTATCTTTTGGTCGTGGATTCCGCGAATAAAGCCTGTCATTACAATGGCCCGTTGGCGCCGGTATTTTCGATCCCCTGAAACCCACGGGCAGACCCAGGGTTCCCCATCATGCTTGGATTGGAAGACGGATGACATCGATATCACGGTAGTGGAATCCACCCCAGCCACGCAGGATAGCACTGGGGCTGCCAAGATCCAGGCTGCAGAAGCTGTGGGTGGAAGGAAGGGCAGGTATCTGCTTTATGCGGGGTATGTGATACCTTCTATGGAGTGAAGAGATTAGGTTTATGCTGACGGCAACAGGTTGGCGATGATGATGGTCATCTAGTAAGTCTTATGTATCACCATTGGGAAATGTTTGCTCATCATCTTATCCAAACTCCGTAGTGAATTGGACAACGCGACCGTCGGAACTTATCGCAACTTTGCAACATCGGACTTTGATGCGCTGTCAAAGCTCGCCACCCTCAACACAGCGGCCAGCATTATCTCCGCCGTCACGAAACCGCCAATCGCGAAGATATCCGATGTCCTTGGTCGTGGAGAGGCATACATCTTCGCTGTCTCGTGTTACATTTTGTCCTATATCCTTTGTGCTTCTTCTCAATCCTTCGATACCTACGCTGGCGGCTATGTCCTTTACTCTGTTGGTCAAGCTGGGACTTCTTTTCTCAACGCTACCATTGTGTCGGATCTCTCTTCGATGCGATGGAGAGGCTTCGCGTACAACGTTCTTTATGTCCCCTTTTTGATCACCCCGTGGATCTCCGCTTTCATTGTAGACAGCGTCGTCAATGGAATCGGCTGGAGATGGGGAATCGGTATGTTTGCCATCCTGATGCCCTTAGGTGCTAGCTTCATCATTACCACCCTTCTTATCTTTCAGTGGCGGGCTAAGAAGGCTGGACTGGTTTTGAAAGAGCAGCTGAGCATCTATGAGTTCTGCTCGCGCATCGACCTGGGCGGCTTGATCTTACTCAGTGGGGGCTTCTCTCTGATCTTGATCCCCATAACATTGGCTGCTACCGTTGCAGACAGGTGGAAGACGCCTTGGGTGGATGCTCTCATTGCCGTGGGCGCGATCATCCTGGCGTGTCTCTACCCATATGAGAAATATGTCGCCCGGCATCCTGTCGTCCCAGTCCACTACATCTGGAACCTATCCGTTCTCATCCCAGTGGTTCTGGTTGCAGTCGACAACATCAGCTTCGGTGCTACACATACCTACTTGTTCGTCTGGTCAATGGTCTCCCACAATTTCAACGCGCGGGATGCGCAATTCCTGTACTATGTCAATGGGGTCATGCAAGCTTTGGTAGGCATGGCGACCGGTCTGGTCATGTATCGCTTGCGCTCCTATAAATGGATCGGCGTGGCAGGTGCGGTGATTCGCATGGTCGGATATGGGGTGATGGTTCGCCTACGCACGAACCAAAGCTCGGTTGCAGAGCTTGTTATCGTGCAGCTCGTCCAGGGCATCGGCAGTGGCATCATCGAGACAGTGGCTGTAGTGGCCGCTCAAATCGCCGTTTCTCATGCCGAGATGGCCCAGGTCACGTCTCTGGTCATGCTGGCTGCCTACCTCGGCAACGGGGTCGGATCTTCCATCGCAGGTGGGATCTACTCGGGAGAATTACGCCGCCAGCTACGGTTGCACCTTGGGCCTGATGTAAACCAAGCCGAGGTGGAAAAGCTGTACAATTCGATCACGGGCACATTGCCGACTTGGGGATCCCCTGAGCGGGTGGCAATCAATCGAGCTGTGAGTGCTGCCTATGCCTACTACTAGCCGCCGAACACTTCTTGCTAACCTTGCGCAGTATTCTGACGTCATGGGGTTTGTTCTCTTATTGACTTCATGCATGATGTGCACTAACTATGGCAGGCTTATAACGATCGCGGCCCTGGCATTCTCTGCTCCAGTCGTAATCTTATCGCTTGTGCTCCCAGACAAGAAGCTTGGGTACGTCCACCCACTCAGGTCCGTGACCGCGGCTAATGTTGTCTCAGGGACGGACACAATTTGATGCAGGGGAAAGGAAGCTCAACCTCATCCGACTCGTCATCTTTGGATGAGGAGAAGACACAGAATGCTTAATCTCGAATGGTATACGATGATTGTGCTTCAATTATACATTATATACACTGCCACATATTCCCGCTAGACTGTACCAATCCAACCTTTGCTTTTCGTCAATCCATACTCTATTTCCCAGGAGACCCCAAAAGACACACGAATTTCCGATCCGGCGTGTCATCCAACGCATTCTTCACCAAGTTCCACACATTCAAATCATAAGCCTCGCCGATATGCCCCACCGGATCCAGCGGACAGGTATTTTGCACCCACTCGTTCCGCACGCCGTCCTCGTGCACAAACGAGGTACTCGTCGGCGTGACCATCTCATCGAGCTTAGACGCAATCACCGTCAAGCTATTCCCGGTCTGCACAATCGGGGCCCCATCGTTCAACCGCTCGACGGCCGCGCCATCGGGGCCCAGCTCATCGCACGCGGGACAGCCCAGCGTATCGAGCACCTCGCCGACGGCCTCGCGGGAGACATTCCCGAACAGATACGCCAGGTTATACAGGCCGATGAAGGTGGTGCCGCGCGTCGGCGGCGCGATGGCCACCACCTTGTCCAGCAAGTCGGCAACCCCGGGTTCGAACTTGGGCACGTACAGCGACTGGAAGGCGCCCTCGGAGTGGCCGACCAGGTCGATCTTGGCGGCGCCCGTCTGCGCGTGCACCTCGCGGATGTAAGCGGCGATCTCGCCGGCGGACTCGTTGATGCTCCGCAGCCCGCCCAGGAAGGGGAACCCCGCGTACGCGCCGTAGGTCTGCGCGAAGGTGCAGTACCCCTGCGCCTGCAGCCAGCCCTGCAGGTAGTTCAGGTCCTCGTAGAAGGTCGCGCCCAGCCCGTGCAGCAGGACCACCGGGTTCGGGTGCGTGGTGCTGCGGCAGCTGAAGTCGTTGATGCTGCTGCTGCTGCTGCTGCTGCTGCTGCCCAGGGCGGTTGCTGCGAAGCTGGCGGCAGCCGTGGCTAGGAGGGTGGGGATGTGCATTGTCCCTTGTGTTCTTGTTTCTTTCTTGTGTGTGATAGAGAATAACAGCAGCGAACGGTTTGTGTTCGAGATTTTCAGTTGAGAAACCCACACCAACCAAAAGACACAAAAAAGCCCTAGTCAAGGGGACAAGAGGACCTACGCTCCTTTATCTATCTACCCAACATCCCCCAGCTGACACTAGATGACCCAGCGATCACCCCTCGGAAATGCCAATCCCAGGCACGACGCCGATGTATCCATTCCTTCCGCCCACATCGTGCAGAAACACGACCTTATTTTTCCTTGGAAGTGTGAGAGGGGGAGGCGATCGTCAGGGCCGATTTAGATTAAATATTGAAAAAAGTGGAGGCGGATATTCATTTGCGTTGCCCGGATTGGGGTTTGGCGCGGGACAAGGATTGCGAACTATCGAATCTCGATCACATCGGCGGGTCCACTATCCCAGAAAATCTTTTCAGCTGAGAGTGACTGTTGAATGTCCATTGTCCTTTGTGGACTTGGTTTTGTTGGTGGCTGGCTGGAAGCTATATGTGGGCATCGCGATGAAGGGGTTTATCTGTCGATTTTTGGTAGTTCCTTATTCTCTGCTTTTGTGCATTTGGATCGCCGAGCATATTGTATGTACTCATACCCATACCCTCTTAGAGATAGCAAAAACCACCATGGAAAATTCTGTCATTGTGTTGGTTGGGATGCTCGGTACCTGCTAAGACACGTCGATTGTGGACACTGCCTCGTGGGGGGAAAAAAAGATATTGCTGGGTCCAGCCAACCGCGGGAAAGAGGCATATGCTCATTGGGAATCATAGTTTTGGTAGGCATCCGGGCTTTTTTTTTTTTTTTTTTGGTGCTTGACAGCGAAGCTTAAGGCTTCAGGGTCTTGGTGTATGCTTTCGGGCAAGCTGTTTGTGTCGCCTCCTTCAGCTCGATCTACTGTCCAGCAAGGCTCTCACGCGTTGGTCGCCGGGGTGTCAGACGGATTTCGCAGGATTCCACCTGTCCTACCCTTTCAGCTGGTCTCCACTTTTCTTGTTCCCTCGCTATTTATAGTCCCGTGCGAGAGGATCTGACCGGTGTCTATTCCGTACTGTCTGGTGGACGGCTCCCGATTGCGTTCTCTTTCTCGAGAGAAGGCTGGTGGTGGCTCTCGCGGTGTGGATGCTTTTTAAGTGAGGAGCTTCGATGTACTCCTACTGGCTTTACTGTCAATGTTCAAGCTATTACTCACGTTAATCACCGTAGAAGGACTGGACTGTAGCAAAATGTATATGACAAGTCTAATAAATTATGTACCATGTAGTGCCCAGGATGCGCGGATCGCTGTGTTGGATACAACGAAGGGAGATAATAAAACGCTCCGGCCCTGATGCAACACGAGTCTATCTAGGGGAATATGTATGTGTAGATGCAGCCAGAAAGAGAGAAAAAAGTGTAAGACTGACGATCAGGACTGCCTAGCAGCCGCTATCAGTGAATGAAGAAAAGGAAGTGAAGAGGGGAGAAATGACGATGTGGGCCATTGTGCAAAGCAACGCGACAGAGGCAGTTTACTCGGCCGTCTTGGAGGCCTTGGTCCGCAGTTTCATCAGGGCATACACCAAAGCATACGAACTGATGGCGAACAGCGCCACGATAGCGGCATCGCGCCAGCCGTAGTAGTAGTGCTTGAGGTTGATGGTGACAAGGTAGTCGCTGCCCTTGGTGTACTCGCACACCCGGCAGCCGGACGTGGCGTCGGGATCAACCAGGTTCATGCGGGCGCCCATACCCTGCATAAAATCGGCGAGATATTCCTTGCAGGTTGTGCCGTTCGGAGGGTCGAACAGCGCGAATTCGGATTCCTTGCATTTGACAGGGGCGTCCCACGTTGTGAACACCAACAGACTGCCCATCAAATAGTTGAAAGGATTCATCCAGTAGATCCAGTAGCGCCAGAATTCCTGGATTTGCGCGTACGGCACCAACACACCACAGAAAGATGCGAGAGTACCGATGATAAGAGGGTTGATCAACGAAGCAAAGATGGCGTTCGGGGCATAGGCAGAAATAAACTGCCCGATACCGGTGTAGACAAACTCGTACATCAACATCACAAAGAAAACAGCCCCGGATTTGTTGGAATCAGAGGGAAAGCCCACAGTGTAGTACCAGCAAACGAAGTACAACACTGCACAAATACAGAGATACGGGATTTCCGAGATAATTAAACCCGTCACGAATGCAATCCATGAATACATCTTGGACTTCTTCTCTCTTGCGTCGTATATATCACGGCGTTCGAGGAAAAGAGGCTGCAGTTGGTTGATGACACCGGGAGCAACGAAGATGAAGTTGAAGATCGTGAATAGTCGGAGCTGTACGGCCCCAACGTGATCGTTGATCATCCAGAACGAGAAACCATTGAACAAAGCCGAACCAACGTGGAGTGCAAGCTTGTTGTTGACATAATCCGTATTACGGTAGACAGCAACACAAGACCGCTTGGTGACAATCAAGATTTGCTTCCAAAGAGGCATAGCAAATTCGTGGCCATCATCAACGGTACCCGGAGGCTTCGAGGCGGCATCGCTAACGATAGCATCAAGCTCGGAGACGGCCTTTGAGTGTTCAGGGGATTCTCGCCAGACCTGATTCCAATCGCGACCCTGAGACAAGGCTCCCGACACGACGTCAATCATATGCTCAGCGGGGTTGGTTTCAGGCGGGCATGGGGCACCATAGCGAGCGAAATAGCTCTTGACAGTCTGACCGTTTTCACCAATATCACCAAAGTAGACCATCTTTCCACCCTTTGCCAAAAGCAATAGTGTATCGAATTCGGCGAACAATTGGGCAGAGGGCTGGTGAATAGTCACCAAAACAGCCTGGCCGACGTCGGCAAGCTTCCGCAGGAAACGAACAGTATTGTAAGCTGACTGACCATCCAAACCAGAAGTAGGTTCGTCAAGGAAAATCAGAATACTAGGCTTTGAGACAAGTTCGACACCAATAGTGACACGCTTGCGTTGTTCCACACTTAAACCAGCACCGACACGGCCGATCAATGTATCGGCAATATCGTGTAGCTCAAGAAGTTCAATAATAGTAGTAACGTATCTCAGCTTCTCCTCGGGCGGCACCTCACGGGGCTGACGGAGCAAAGCTGAGAACTCCAATGCCTCACGAACAGTGGCAAATGGTTCATGGACATCAAGTTGTTCACAGTAACCGGCAGAGCGTTGGAAAGATACAGGCAACGGGCGTCCATCGACCATAATTGAACCCTGGATGGTACCCTCGGTTTTACGTTGAGCCAACACATCAAGAAGTGTAGTCTTACCAGCACCAGAGGAACCCATAAGAGCACCCAGCATGCCGGGCTTGACCCAACCGTAAACGTTATCGAGCAGAACCCGGTCACCAGATGGTGTCTGGACAGTGTACTTCAAATCCTTCCAAGTGAACACCGAGGTGTTTCGCACCAGTTGCTTGTCGATATCCTCTTCGCTTTGAGACCCTTCGTCGCTGGGTGCTTTGCCCTTCTCCATGGCCTGTGCTTCCTCGTCGTTGCGTGTGACTTGGTGATGATCGTGGAGCCTTTCTCGAGGAATCAAGAGAGAAGCACCACTCTCACCGGGGGCCTTCCATTTGGTGGTGGCGACGATGGTGGCCACTGCGAACAGAGCCCACCAAGCCCAGAGAATACCGAAGTTTCGCCATACGTGGCTGTGGCTGTACGACATAGACGCGAGATACGCATCACCGGTAACATAGGTCTGCCCAGGCACGGCACCACCAACACCCGCACAAGACTGATGACCACTGCCATCGTAGCCAGCGCCACTGGGGACCAAGTTGGTGCCTACACATGGAATGACTTTGCCATGAAATTCGTTTGAGAGGAGTGCGTCAAATCCGTAAGCCAGAGGATTGATCCAGTAGATCCAGCCAAACCAAGGGTGCATCTGGGGCTTTTTGATCATGTAACCGGTGTACATAATCAATGCTGAGATAAGGAAGCCGGAGACCTTAGAAGCACCATCGAAAGTACTGAAGACGGCTCCGCAAGCACGGAATAATGCAGTCATAGTCTGATCATTGTTAGTTAGCGACCGGGACCTCTTTTAGGGGCAGGATAACGTACCATGGTGGCAGCGAAAACCAGGATCCAATATGTGAAGAATGCACCAGCCGACATGGTGAGGCCGACCATAAAGTACACAACGAGAGAGAAGACCGAGATCTGGAACAAAAGAACAGGGATATCGGCTGTGATTTGAGCGATGCAAAATGCAGCCGGGTGGAAGTATGCGAAGCCTTTATGCTTCACCAAAACAGGGCGACCGTTGAAGGAGTCGGTGACTTCTGCCATAGCAAGCAGACTGTTGTAGAGGAGCGAGAAGAATAGGGCACCTGACTTGACGAAGAGACCACCAGAGTTGTTAGGAGCATTATAGAATAATGATCCAGCAACAAGGGCTTGAATCAAGGTAGAGACCTGTTTGATGATAAAGGTGGCCTTATCACCCCACAGAATCTGATACTGCCGCGCAATACAAGTCTTGACTTGAGTAACAAAATCAACTGTCAAAGGGCTAGACTTGGGTAGCTTCTTGCTCTTCTCCTGGGCGACGGAGATCTTGAAGTCCTCGGTACGCTCGCGAGCGATATCGGTGTCGGGGTAATTGTACTCAGTATTCATCTGAGCATAGATTGGCGACTTCTCGTACTCGGCAAGAACCATCTCGGCATTGCGAGGGAAGCGGTTTTCATAGCCGGGTCGGATCTTACGTTCGGTAGGAACGGTGATACCAGTCAAGTAATCAGCCACGTTCGAACCTTCGCGACAAACGAAGCCAAGATCCTCCATGAATGGGCGCGCTTGTTCCATAGGACCGTAGTAAATTTCTTTACCCTCGTCAAGAACAAGTACTTTGTCGAAAAGGTCATAGATACCATTTCCAGCCTGGTAGAGAGTGACGATGGTAGAGAGACCAAGCACGTCTGTCATAGCGCGAATGGCCTTGGTCCACTCGAGGGCGGTACTGGCGTCCAGACCACGGGTGCTGTTATCCCAGCAAAACACCGAACCGCGAGTAGCAAGACATTCGATGATGGAAACACGCTTGCGTTCACCACCGGAAACACCTCGAACGTATTCGTTGCCAACCTTAGTGTCGTTTGTGTGGGTGATGCCCATGGATTTCAGCAGGAATTCCTTGGCCTCTTGGCGATAGGCCTCTGCCGACTCAACTCCATTCGGCAAGGTAAAGGGCACCTTGAGACGGGTCGCAAAGTCCATCGTTTGGCCAACCGTCAGGGTCGGGAAGAAGACTTCTTCCTCCGTGTTGATGACGATCTGACCACGGTAGTTTCCAGCCTCCTTGGCAGTCAGTGAGCCGTATCGTACTTCACCCTCTATCGAGTTGTAACCGAGGCGGCGATTGGCGAGCATCTTGAGAAGGGTGGTGCAGCCGGAACCAGGGCGGCCCAGAACCAGAAGCATCTCACCGGGCTTGACGCACCCATGACTCTTTTGGAGAATCTGGCGGAGAGGCGGCTTGTTGCGAGACTCCTTGATATGTTGGGGAATGTTGAACTGCGATAGGAAATTCTCGTTAACGGCGGCTTCGGCACTGACGACTTCGACGGTCAAGTCCTTCCAAGTGACACCGAGTTGACGAGGCTTGAGCCCGGATTGCATATCACGTTCGTGCTGTTGCTTGACTTGGGGCATCAGGGACCAGTTATCGGCGCGGCTAATGTTGGGGTCGCGAGTAGGCATGGTGGGGTCATCGTTCAGGACGGTAGCTGTACTATCAGTGTCGTCCCTACTCTCAAGCATCCCACGGGATGCCGTGTAGGTTTCCTTTTCCTCCATGGTGAGAAGGGCGAGACAGCAATGATGGAAGTCTCGTTGTCACCCGATGGAAAGAGTCTGAAGAGGGAAGATCTAGGCGCCATGAGGGGCGAAGAGCTCCTATATACTCGGTAAGTATCAACAGACTGAGAGAGGCGGCAGTGGGTCGGGGGGGGCTTTGAGCCTTGAGTCTGATACTGGGCCGGTGGATATCGGGGCCTGGGCGAGCTTCCGAAGGAAGATTTTGGGGTCCACCCGGCTATTCTGCCTCGCTGCGATTATCCGCTTAGTCAGAGGGGCCCCCACCCATTGCCAATCGCCAACGGCTCAGTGAATTCATGGCTTAGGTAGCTGTCAATATTGGAAGCTTGGGAGGCTCGAAACAAGGATGCACGGAGGTCCGAGTCTCCGTGGATGTTAACACATGTTTCAGTATCGATCGCTAAGCATCGGGAAAGGTGAGCAAAGAACAACCAGCCCGACCGAAGCCAAGACGGTCGAGATGGCGCTGCGTGTGTACTCCGTACTGCACTGTGTAGGAGAGAAGTGGAGTTCCGTGGATGATGGAAGATGGAAATTCGAGCCACGTGAAAATTTCTGACACGTTAACCCGGATGCCTTTTTCGGGAAATCTCCGCTGACAGAGCGGATAAGCTGCATGATCCCCGTCCGAGCTGGGAAAATCGAGCCGCCTGACTCAGCGGATATTTGCTCTGCAGCCTCCGAACTAGCTGGAAACAATCATCCGCCCCAGGGACCAACAAAGTTTGCGCTGCGCAAGCCCTCCCAGAAAAAAATAATGTTAATATCCTCCATTCACGGAGTAGCCAATCAAATCCATACTCTTCCGCGTGTTTCGACATCTCGTCACCACGGGATCATCGAACTAGCCTTCGAATCTAGAGGCTGAACGGCCCGGCGATATAGCAAGAGCTCAGTGCTCTGGTGGCTTCGATACATTCGACTTGACATATTCTGGAGGACGATGATGTGCGTCTTGGTAATGTGACGATCTATCAGGTCTACAATCACAATACGAGTCGCAAGAGATGGCCATGCATTGTTGGGCTCCGATGCAGCCTTTGTCCTACACCGACACAACGCATGGCCTCTTTCTACACGAGAAAAGTGCCCATCCATCTAACGAGTCATTTTTGATCTCTCGATCGCTTGCAACCCCGTCTCCCCGTGCCAATCACTCTTGAAAAAACACATCAGATCAGACTGCAGAATTCACGGAGTTAACCATTTCTGACTCACAACACCGTCGGATTTATCATCTTCTCGTACTCGGAGGCCCGTAAAAGCCGATGCCGACCCAGCTCTCCACTTTCGGTCTGGCACCACTCAGGCACCAGCGGGCTTAGAGTCCTAGCGAGTTCTAGCCTTCTCACTTCCACTCACGGCCCTGTCTCACTACGCTTGGCCACTTGTGGAAGCTCTTGCGACTCCACTTTGGGGCTCTTTTCCCCTCCACTGCAGCTCTCTCAGGGTCGAGGTATCGATAAACCCACTGCAATCCGTAAGCAGCTGAGCGACGCCGGCAATGGATCACTGATCGACTCTTGGAATGGCTTGCGGGCCGGAAAGAGGTGACTGTGCGATTCTTATCAGATAAGGAAGGACTCTGAAAGTTCCTGAGGGCACAATCTGTCGCAATCTGTGGACCCTGTTGCGATGATGCAGGCCGGTGCTACACTCAGTCAGATGGACTCGTCTGATGGGTTGAGGTGTCAGATCGAATACGCCAGCGATCATGTTATGCTAGGTTTGAACGTGAGACAGTGCTATCATCCTTGTGATCAACCGACATCTCTTCATTGATGAGCTAGTGAGTCCACAACTAAGTTACCGTCTTACATGTGCGTCTAGCATGTATACAGATCCCGAGTAGTTGAGGAACCCGCTACGTGAGCACCTTTCGGAGATATCGCTGGAAGGCTCGGGCGTTCTGCGCTCTTTTACTTGACCTCGTGTCGCCAACAGCCCTTGAAAATTCGATGTACAAATCAAACAAGTCACGAGAAGCAACGCAATATCTTAGCTTTATTTTCCGACATACTCCCCATTCTCGACTCCGTGCCCGCATTCAAACCGGATGAAGAACAACAATGCAACTAGGAACCAAACCCGTGCTTTCAGTCTTACATCAAACTTCTCCGTCACCCCTCCTCCTGTTTAAACTCTTGGCTGAGGGGGGTTTATTAGCACGGCTGGTCAGTTCCAGGCCTGGTCCGCAACTGTCCAGGGAACTTACAGCTGCCTCTCGAGGCGGTCGAGTTGTTGCCGATTTTGCTGTATTTGATCTTGCAGCTGGGATTTCGTCGCTGTAACATGTGCTGATATTTCCTCGTCTGCACGGACTGGGTCACGGCGAGCAGTATCCCGGCTAAGTGGTCGGGGGTGCAGCGGTTAGCTTTGCCCGAACACATGAATTGGAGAGTCACTTGGAATGACGTCATCCGGGGCACTCCAGACTCCCCCCCTCCTTCCGCAACGAGAGTGTATCCGGGGGCGCGGAGACAAATATCGGGTACTGAACGTACTCGGCCAAGAACCCACGAGGCTTCGAGGTTTGCATTTGGCCTTCCTTGCGGGCGGGGACAGCGATGGAGAACGTCCGCACCAGATGCGATGGTCCGCGTGTGGTACGAAGCAGGCGACGCGATGTGACGACGAGTTGTCTTGACATTTGCATACCGGCACGATTATCGAGAAACCTCGGATGTTAAACTGCTCTATTCGTTACAAGCATACATTGATTGTTATGTGGTGACAGCATATCCCTTGAGAAACGCTGAGTTATATACTACAACCCTCGAATGCCCGTGCGGTCATGTGACCGTATCCCCGGGCCAAATGCGGCCAGAGTGGAGACCCCGGGGATTGCCCCAGCAGCGAATCTGGAGATTTCTACACCGCGGATGAGACTTCTCCGTGTTTATCGCCACCGCCAGTTATCGCCCTGATCGTCTGCCTCCCAACATCTGGTCGTGCGGCACATCCACATTAAGGGAAGACGACCACGGACCTTGCACCTCGCCCAATGCTCAGGTATGGCGAACGACGCTGGGAGATACGCTGGATCGGTGGGTTGGCCACGTGAATGAGGTCATCACATGGGGGCGAGGTTGGGTTGTGTTCGAGATGCATCTAACTACCGGTAATGCCAGATGTTGGGCGCCACAGATGCGAACGATTCTACGGGCAGGTCAACGTCACTCCCGGTCGCCTTTCTGATGAACCATGAGCCCAACGAAGATCAAAAGAAAAGGGTTTGGATTCCAAACACAGAATAAGATTGGGCGAAGCGAATTCCACTACTCTATCATATCACATAACGGAAGCCCTTCTGCAGCCTCCTGGCGGCCGCAACGTCGATCCCCTCCACCTCGGCCGTCCGCTGCAACCGGTCCAGATCCTGGTCCGTCAACACCGCATCCTCATCCTCCAGCCGCGCCAGCCGCTTATTCAAGAACCGCAGATGGAAGTACATGAACACCGCCATAATCCCGCCCAGCGCCTGCATCCCCACGCACACCCCCATCGCCAACCGGTAGTACGGCGCGTCCTGCTGGCGATACGTGAAGGCCGTCCAGATGCTGGCGGAGTTGCCGATCGAGTTGATGAACGCGTACGCGGCAGCGCGCTTGGCCGGCGGACGGGGGATGGCGTTCGCGATCCACGAGTACAGGGTGCCGTTCTGCGCGAAGACAAAGTTCATTAAGAACATGGAGAAGTAGCGGGGGCCGAAGCTCTCGGTCGTCATGAAGATGATGAACCCGACCATGGTGACGGGGATCGGGTACATGAAGAACCAGAAGCGGCTGCCGAAGCGGTCGGACAGGTAGGAGTGGAAGAGACTGTAGAAGACCATGAAGATGTAAGGGGGCGCGACCAGCAGCAGCGAGATGATCTTGTTGTACCCCAGGGTCTCGGCCAAGGTGGGGAAGTAATACTGGAATCCGGCGCCGGCCGTAATGCACATGTAGGCGACGGCGAGGACGTAGGTCTTGATGTCGGTGAAGGCGAGCTTGAGGCCCTTCAGTTGCGACATGCCGCCGCCTTCGTCGATGTCGGCCTCCGCGGCTTCTATGGCCAGCCGGCGGTTGGCAACGTGTTTCATCTCGGGGGATAGCAGCTTCCAGGTCTCGGGGAAGTCCGGCAGCACGAGGCAGATAGCGAGGCCGATGGCGACGGTGATGCTGCCTTCGATGATGTAGAGCCATTGCCAGGCGGCCAGGCCGCGATGGCCCTCAAGGCCCTCGAGGATGCCCGCGGCGATGAGGTTGCCGAATGCGCCACTGACCAGCGAGCCCGAGTAGAAGATGCTCATCCGGAACGCCAGTTCGTTCTTTGTGTACCATTTGGACAGGTAGAACAAAATCCCCGCGAAGAAGGGGGCCTCGACCAGCCCCAGGATAAAGCGGCAGGCGACGATCCCGCCGTAACTTGTCACTTGGCTGGTCAAGGCGGAAACAAGCCCCCACGCCGTGGTGAAGAAGCCCAGGTAGATCGATGGGCGGCCCATATAGTTGAGGAGCAGGTTGGAAGGAACCTGCATGAGGATGTATGCCACAAAGAGGATCGACAGGCCGACCTGGTACTGGGAGTCATTGAGGGAGAGGTCTTGCTCGAGGCCTTGGAGCTTGGCTGCGGCGTAGTTGTTGCTGTGGCTGTTAGCTTGGTCTCGTACAATGAAAACTGCAATTGACATACCGATCGATGTAGTTCATGAGATAGACGAGGATAACCAGGGGCATAATCAGGCTGTCAATGCGTCGTCGGAGCTTTTTCTCTAAGACCTTCTCCTCTTCTGTCAACTGGGCCATCTGGACGACCTCCTCGTGGGAGACGTCAATCTTTTCGCCCATGGCTTCATGGTCGGTCATGTATTTTTCGGCCATGATTGAGGGAAAAGATGGCCACTGTACGATGAACAAGGGGAAATGGGTTGAGAGAAAGTTTGTCAGATGCTCGACTTGAAATCGGATTCCAGCCAGCTATATATTGCCCTCCTGAAGAGGCAAGCAGCATGATCACAGCGTAGAAAGTGTGTGGGGGAGAACGGAGTGGGGGTTGGTGTGTTTGAGTTTAAAGCCCGCCTAGTCCAAGTAGAGGCGGGGAAGCTTTCATTCCTCATTGCGGGGGATTGTCTGGGGTAACGGGGTTTGCCCCCCCCCACTTGGTACTTGCTGTCGGAGACTCTCCGACAGCGTCCTCCCTATTCTGCCCATCCCCAATTGTTGGCTCTGCTTGGCACACGGAATAACCTGTCTTTTCCATCATGCGTGATGATGGTGAAACTTGGGAAGCCACCATTTAGCCAAAATCGCCTCGTCCACTGAGAGCAGGCTGCACACGCTAAGGTGACTCTGGATCGTCGCATCCTGCCTACGTCAGGCGATCATGCAACCCTGTTGAGGCCTCGGTTCGCATCATCTCCGACCTTGCTTTGCAGAAGATGCTCCGATGTTTGACCGATCGTAGCTGCGGCAGATGCAGCAGAAGTGAGCCATCTCACTTGCTTGGCGGCCCTCATTGTGTAGATGACAACCACCTTTGCAACCGTACCACGATACTAGTGCGAGACCTCTGAGCATACCACGCTGGCGTTCTTTCTGTGGGTCCTGTTTAGGCCAGCAACCCATGCGCTCGGAGGATTTATTGATGCGCGGGTAGTATTGTTGCAGGACATGGTAGGCACTTGTGGTCCCATACATGCGAAGGACCTGCTTTGGAGTGATCGGCGCAGAGATAACAAATCAGCCATGTGGCTGAACACGTAGTCGCCGTCTAGTTGAAGTCGAAAGCGAAGACCCACGCCTGTTGGTCGAATCTCGTTAGTTTCTGTGCAGATATGGTCGGGGAATGCGGCGGTCAAACTGAACTTATTACTAGCATGCACCAATCCCGGAAGAGAGACTTATCACGGTTGTTCATGCGCCACTTACGGCAACTATTCCCCGACTTTTGTGATCAGGTAGGAGCTCGACAGAGGAGAAGGCCGCTAATCGTAGTTATCACCACTGGTTCGGTGGGAGATTTGCAACTCATTGGCTGAAGTAGATACAGCAAATTTGTTAATATGAGAAGACAAGGATGAACCGTAGTTGTTGAGCTGGATCATGCGTTCTAGGTGGGTACAACAAGCTCATAAGTCATGGCATGGTTCAGAGTTCTGCACGAGTTCGAGGCGGGCAAAGATATATTTATATCCCAGGTCTTGCGGGTTGATGAATAAAGTGTGTTCTTGAGGTACGCGATCAAATTAAATCATTATGCAAATACTTATGACGTGGAAAGAGCGGCCAAGGCTCATGAACTTGGACTGTGTCAGTGTCACTCAAAAGTCGACAGTTGGACTGTCCCAAACCATCTAGTTGATGTTGATCTGCTGAGGGGACAGAAAGTTACTAGTTCCTGAGGCATCCAGCCTGGTGCCTGGCTTGTCACGCTAGCCTTTTCAAGCCAACCCACCAAGAATTCCTTCAGTTTCAGCGGCAAGCAACAACAACACACACACTGCATCCACCCAATCTGTCTTGTCTCTTGCAATCTTCCTGCGCTAATCGTGTTTCTGGAATGCAGATTAGTCTCAAGCTAACACCATGGTTCCTCGAATTGCTACGAGATAACCTTTCCGCCATCCACGCAGTCTCGAAACCTACCAAACCACGGATTCAGAGTGGCAAAACACGCTACCGACCGTGAGCCCACCCGAAACCAAGCCGGTCCAAGCCCACTTTGCCAGCCCGCCATCGCCTCAGGCCCGGCTTGCTATTGGTCTCAAGGAGCCACGGGGCGCGCTGGTGCCGATGTAAGCGAAAGGGAAAGAGAGGGGACAAATCTCGGACATGTTCGTCCAGATCTTGTTGGTGTCAAGCGTGCCGTACCGTTCGTTGGCTCTCTGCCCCCGAAAGCTCGACCTTTGCCCTCACCCGAGTAGTAGAGTCATTACTCCAATAGGTGCTAGACCGCGATGGTCAACCACGACTCGCAGGCTGTTCTGGTCCCCGGCCAGTACCGTCCCAAGCCTGTCATCACCTCAAATCAGCTTGCGCGTCAATTGCGGTCCTGTAAGGTCTGCCGGTTCCGCAAGGTCAAGGTGCGTCCCGATCCGATTCTTCTTGCTGGTGATGCCCCATATTGCATTCTAGTCGGGAAGCCAAATTATTGGATGGAAATATCCCCCAGCTCCAGAGGGAGCCACTCGACGGGGGATTCGTGGTGATTCCGATGTACCCCTGGGGCCCGATCTCCACGCAGGCTCGCTTGGCTCTAATACTTGATGGTCATAGTGCGATCGCGTTAAACCCTGTCATGCATGCTGTGCTCATGGATACCCTTCCAAGTGCACTTACGACACCGGCCCCGAAGATAGCCTCCAGCCGATAAGCCAGGCGGATGAGATCCGTAACCTCCGAAATGAGATCCGTCAGCTGACGGCTCAACTCAATGCCCGTGGTACGTTGACCCATACCTGAAAGAGCATCAGCATAGTTTGACCACTTTTGACGTGTGCTGACTCGATGTCTGGTGTCTCTACCAGATCAACGGAACCGGAACCGACGCCGCCTAGCGCAGCTGCAAGGCTTGGTTGATACGATTCGTTCGGCCCCATCAGAAGTCGTCGATGGTATCATCAGCAGTATACGGACAACAAATCGGGTTGTTACGCATGGCTCGGGAATTGCTTCCGGGGAGCGGACAGAAGGTGGGTCATAACTTTGGGGTACGGGGACGATGACTCTGGGGCCCAGGAGCTGACATGTGCCCTCGGACTTGGCAGAAAATGCTATAGTAGCAATCCAGCGCTCTAGGCCGGGTGAAAGTGATGAGGAAGCGGAAGATAATTTGTACTTGCCGGCAGGCCAGCGTGATGGCAGTCGAAGTTCATCCGAGGACAGCGAGGATTCGAGTTACGGTTCGATCTGTCAAATGAACACGACAAAACCGATGCTCGAGGTGTTCATTGAACGCTTCGTGGATGCATTCAGCCCAGAAGTTGATGCTAAAGCGGGCCACGCAGGTGCATTGCGACGCGCTGCTGAAATTCGCATGTTTTCGCCAATCTTGATGGATGCGTTCCAGTCCGTGTCGGTTGCTTTCTTCGGCCGGTCCGTTCAGAACAAGGAGGTTGAGGCTGCGGGTTTCAGCCTCTATCCACGGGTACTTCGCAGCTTGCAGCAAGCGTTGCAAGACCCTGAACGTAGCAAGGCTGAGTCGACGTTGGTAACGGTCATCCTTTTGATGGCGTTTGAGGTATGCTTCGCAGGATCCTCTTTGTCATTAAAGTTCAACGAGTAACATTTTTGCAGAGTGTGGAGCGTACTACTCAGGTTTCCCTGATTGCTCACGTCAACGGTGCACTACGATTGATTGAACATCGGGGTCCGGAAAATCATGTTCACGGTGTGGAGCATTTACTATATACAGAGCTCCGACCTTACTGGGTATGTATCCGATCCCTCCACTGTATAGGAAAACCCCCACGTACTCATTCAGTGAGCAGGTATCTGCGGCTCTCGTCAGCCGTACCCCATCTTTTCTTGCTCAAGAAGACTGGATTAATCTGCCGTGGTCAGCGAAAACCACCAAAAAAGATATATTACATTATCTCATGGACCTTGCTGTCGAAATCCCAGCACTACTGTCTCAATTCGATGATCTCCAAGCCACCCTCAGCTCGCAAATGGCGAGTGCGCATGAAATCAAGGTCAAACAGGCAACCCTGTGGAACGGTGTTGCAGACTTGACCGGGCGCTTCCGCCGGTGGAAAATCGAGTGGGTCGACCACTATCCCGACGGACCGCCTCAAGAGGTCGAGGCACTACCAAACGACGAGTTTCCAGTGTTTCAATGTCGAGATCTTCGCACTGGTGCCATCATCACGCCGACAAAGTTTGCCTATCCGGACCTCCGCCTGGCCCAGACAATGTGTCTCTACTACACTACGCGATTGATACTGTCAACAGCGGATTGCCGACCGACAGATCGCGTCGGCCCTGCCGAGCAGTATGCCCTGGGGTGCGGTATCTGCCGAACCCTGGAATGGTACATCTTGACTGCCCCGGGTAACATGATCAATCGCCTCGCCTTCCCAGTCCGCGTAGCTTGGGAGGTCTTTCCGGACGGTGGCCCAGAGCGCCTGTTCATGTATAATGTGCTCAAGTTGGTCGAGAAACGGCATTCACTTGGACTCTGGGGTAGTGGAATGTCCGAACTTTCTCCCCGGGCTGGCTCCCCTCCGGGCCCTTGAGTGGAAAACCCAAATATGCAGTCGTGGGTCGCTGGACGATAGCGGCTGCACAGTATGAGAGACACTGGGGGAGTCTCACGACTTGATGATTTCGACCAAATGCAACACATTTTACGAGCGAGCTTTTTGTAACCTTGATGTATCGATATAACTATGACTTTTGAGCTTTGCGAGAGAAGTGCAGCACATTCGTCATTGAAGTTGCATATTCAATTAAAAGGAATGTGCCTGATTTCCGCCACTATGTTAATCGATCACGTTCTCAACTCGAGGCACAGGAGCGAGCAATCATGCTCTGGCCAAAGGGAGTCCACCCAGAGGTTGGATGATTTTGTCTGGCCATGCAGACTTTGGAGATATCACCAATCTTAACGTCTGGAACTGCTTGGATCCTTTCGAGTTCCCCCATGCAGGAAAGTCTGGCAATTTCCTCCTATGTCTTGTTTAGAAAGGGGTTGATGCCTCGACTTCACGCTCCAGGAGCATTTTTGTATGATGCCGTGGATCCGACAAGTGAGCCTGACAATATGAAGCATCCTCCCAGTCTTCTAATCCCTTGCAAACTCATCCCAAACTGAGAATGAACATGAATAGCCGTTGGTAACTTGAGCGGGAGACAAGCTAGCATGCTTGAAATGGAAGGTGTTCGGGACAGATTTCGTCAGCATTTGAACTTAAGCTGATTCAGGTGACCGAATCATCGCCAGGGGCGAGAGGAATCTCGACAGCCACACGGAGATAGACAGCCGTGTAGGGCAAATTTTACGAAATACGGAGATCCCGAGTACTTTAGCTGCGACAGTTGTCCACAATAATATCGGAGCTTAAGGTATTTCAAAGTGCTGATGGATCAAGCTTAATGCTTTTAATGTTTCAGGTTAAAACGAGCATGTCGGCTGAAGTGGGAGGAGTTAGGGCAGTTGGTGGAGTCGGCGATGGCGCCGGACTCCACCTGCCCCTGAAACAAGCCCTTAGTCGGCGCCTTATGATTCTTGCAGAGTGGCATTTGTTCTTTTAAAAGGCCGGCGATCGGTGCCTACTTTGGACCTTGATTCTATCCTCTTATTCAGTCATTCATTCACAGCTCTGCTTGCAGTCATTCTTTCTTCGCGGCCGGTTCGCTTCATTCACTCTCGTTCTTCAATTCAAATCGCTTTCGTCGATCACCATGCGCTCTGTCTACGCTGCTGCTCCCTTGGCTCTTGCCCTCCGCGCTGCGGCTGTCACTGAGGATTCCTGGTACTTCGGTAACGGGTTCTACACTGGCCCTCCTTCCAACAGCGCTCACATCACCAAGGCTACTTGGTCGGTTATCGCCCCCAGCGTCCCGCAGAACACCACCGTTGAGAACACCAACGACGAGGTCTGGGTCTCGCTCTGGATCGGCCTCCAGGCGACTGCCGGTGACGATAGCTCCTACTTGTACCAGCCTCTGTTCAACTGGTCGCCCGACCAGGAGTCCCAGTACGTATACCTTTTTTTCGACATGACAAGCAAGAAGACGTGTCCGCTAATTGTGACCAGGGGCTGCCCTGCTACCGCCGAGGAGTGGTGTGTCGCCGCCAGCACCTACACTCCCAGTGAGTCTTGAGCTTGTTGGATTGACAAGGCCTAGAGACGATGTGCTAATCAATGCTGCAGGTGGTCAACTCGGCCAGGCCTATGTGACCGTTCCCCAGGATAGTCAGGTCGACTTTGAGGGTTAGTTACATGTTCACCTCTGTCCAAAGCCCATCGAGACTAACAACGATGACGTGCAATAGTCACCGTTTCCGATAGCAAAGTCACGCAGGTCGTCAGCATCGACGGCAAGGTCGTTTCGAAGGAGACTGACAGTAAGCATCCGGCCTTCTCTATTCCACATGCCACACACACCGCATCCCACGTACTTACTTGAACACCTCCCCAGAGCTCGACAGCAACCTGCTGTACCTCTACTCCGGAGATGAGTGCTACACTGGCTCCGGCACCTGCGGTACTCAGCCCGCCTACAGTAAGTTTCCCTCTACGCCGCACAGCGTTTTACTATCATGACGCCGGTGACGAATTCATCTGACTCGAATACAGGCTGGAACAACATCACCATCCACCTGAGCGAGGCCGATTCCAAGTTCGGCGAGACCCTGTACCTCTACAGCGGCTCGAGCTCCAATGGCTTCACCACCTCCGACAGTGGCAAGACTTGGCACACGGATGCCATCAAGATCTCCACCGACACCTTCGCGGTGCTCGACTAGATGGAGATCGCTCTGCAGGCTGCGACGAGCACGGGCGATTTGTGATTTTTGAGGGGTCTTGTGTGGCGGTACGGCTCTGCCTGGACACCATACTATTCGGACCTTTATTTGTGGATAGCTTCAACATAATTGGCACATACATGCACATATTGTATTCTATCTACTCGAGAATCGGTATTACATCAATTACCGGCTTCATAATGCCGACTTTAGTTTGTTGCATGCTGAGAATTATGAGATAGTTTTGGTAGATGGATGAAACCGAGATATTAGTCGCTAAACCATGATCTTAGGACACGCGGTAGACGCACGACTAGTCCAGTCACCTTATGCAGGTTTTTCTAAAGTAAATAACTGATATGTACACCGGTCGAAAGATTCATGCGCGATTAAGCTCTTAAGCTCCAGGCCTAGTAGTCGAGGGTTTGTTTGATCGCATCGTATATCCCTGCGACAAGGTCAGTAGCGGACAGGATATCGGAAAGGAAAGGCGAGAAACACTCACTGGTGACGTCGGGAATGATGAACTTCTCGTAGATCAACCCGGTATGCGTACTCCAGCCGCCCACCCGCTTGACGGGGGCCTCCAAGCGCAGAAAGGCGCGCTCCTGGATGGTCGCCGCGACCTCCGCGCCCACCCCGTAGTTGACCATGCTCTCGTGCACCACGACCGCGCGACCGGTCTTCCTGACACTGTCCAGCACCGTCTGCCGGTCCCAGGGGTAGATCGTGCGCAGGTCAACCAGCTCGATGCTGGCGCCCAGCGCCCGCTCCGCCGCCTCGATCGCCGCGGAGCACAGGTACAGCGGCTGCCCGTAGGAGACGACGGTGAGGTCGTTGCCGGGCTTGACCACCTCGGCCTCGCTGAGCGGGATGGTGTAGTACTCGTTCGGCACGTGCTCCACCGCCGCCCGATACAGCACTTTCGGCTCCATGAAGAGCACCGGGTTGTTGTGCTCGAAGATCGCCGACAGCAGCAGCCCCTTCGCCTGGGCCGGCGACCGCGGCATCACCACCTGGATGCCGGGGATATGCGCGAATAGTGCTTCGGGGGATTGCGAATGGTACCTAGCCGGTCAGCCAGCCAACCCAAAACGATCAGCACATTTCCCCCCCCCCTCAAAAGTCAAGGTATTTATGGCAGAGAAACACTCACAAAGCCCCATGCCCCACGGCACCGCATGGCATCCGAATCACCAACCCGCCAATATCCACCCCCGTCGCCCCCTCCCGGTACCGGAATTTGGCCGCCTCGTTGACTATCTGGTCGAAGGCGGGGAAGACGTAGTCGGCGAACTGGATCTCGGCCACGGGCTTCATCCCCTGCGCGGCGGCGCCGATGGCGAACCCCACGATGCCTTGCTCCGTCAGCGGCGTATTGAAGACCCGCTCGGACCCGAATTCGGTCTGCAGGTCCATCGAGCACCGGAACACGCCGCCGAAGGCCACGTCCTCCCCGAAGAGCATGACTTGGTCGGAGGTCGCGAGGGCGGTGCGCAGGGCGGAGTTGATGGCCTGGTAGAGGTTTATGGATTTCGAGGAGGTCGAGGCGGGCAGGTCGAGGTGGTCGGGCAGGGTGGAGGCTGTGTGGTGGAGGAGAGGGGAGGATTTGTAGTCGATGGGGAGGTTGAGGCGTGAGGCAGGGGAGGCGGCGGCGGTGGAATAGGTTCTTCGTGCCCGGATTTGAGGGTGAAAGAGTCGGGAGGATATGCGTCGGGATGCCATGGTTGTAGTAGGTATAAAGTAGAAGGGGATGATGGATGGATGGATGGATTGGTGATGGTGATTTGGGTAGTATAGAGAAGGTATCGGGGAGGAGGATGGGCTAGGTGGGGGAGTCTTTCTGTTTTCTCTCTTTCTTGTTTTCTCCCCTCCCAGGGGTGATCGATGATTTGCAAAGATTCAGGTTTTAAAGCTGGGGAAGAAAGAGAGAGAGAGAGAGGTTCTCTCCTGTCGGTTCTTCCCCTTCAATGCGTTCATGCGGGGAATGTTACCCCAGTTCCCCCCGCGGATAACCGCCCTTCGCCGCCTTATCGCCTTATCGCCTTGTCACCTGAGGGGGGAGACTTTAGTGCCTTTATGCCTGAATGCCTTGGTGCCTTAGTGCCTGGCTCGGTCAGCGGTCGGCACTGCCAGTGGCTTCTTTCGATTACAGGACGAGGCATGATGGATGGAACTGCTTAACAACACACTCATCCATCCTTCTCTTTGTCCTACGTGAGCCATCAAACGTTTCATTTCCTTGAGCTTCATATCCACGAATCTGTAAAAATCGAAAGCTCAACAGAACAGATCATGTCGCCCACCGGTCAGCTCTTTCCGATGGAGACAGACACTCTTCTGAAGCTAATAGTCGTCGATCATCTCCTGTCAACTCCGCCTCAAGCTGTTTGATATCACAGCTCGCCATTCTCTACCAGCATCTCTATGCTGAAGTAGGTGATCAAGTCAGCCAAGACACAAAACTTCGCATTCTTTCACTCCATATATACATAAGCAAGGGTATCGTGTATAAAGGGCTCAACTAATATTTACAAAAAAATCAAGAAATACCTTTTAAATAGCCATGGCGCCCATAACTGTTGCTCGCTGACATCGATCGAATTGATCGACCCCTCAGACTGATTGCCGATCCGTGTCAGTATCGCTGAAAGCCACCATCTGGTACTCGGAAGACCGATAGCGCCAGCGACGGAGTCTGGGATCCAGGCCGCAGCACCTGCAGAACCCAAGGAACAGGCCAACCCCGCTCATCACGAACGCGATGCCCAAGATCCAATAATGCATGTTGAGCAGCCGTTCCATGGCACTGCCTCGCTGCCTCTGCAGTAGCTCCGTGACGTCCAGGACATTGCCATTGGCGTCAAGGGCTGCCAAGCGAAACAGAGGACTATCCAAGTCCTCCGGAATGTCGATTTCGGTTTCGAACCCAGTTTTCTCATATTGTGCCATCGCCTTGAAAGCGGCATCTTCAAGCTCGCCTGAGAGCCAGGTCTCTAGTTGCCATGCGGCAACCTCTGTCGCTCCGTTCCAGCTGACGTAGATCCGATTACCGATCACCTCAGCATCCGGGGCAGTTTGCGGCCTTCCAACCCAGTCGCCTTTAAAAACCCGGTATGATACGGCGCGACCGAATCCAAAGAACACCGAGGCACCGAAGTGAACATTGCACAGCACTTGCCCGTCGGAACCGAACTCGGTAAAAGCGGCATTATGGCCCCAGCCCACCAAGGCACGGCCATCGTTGTCCAGGAGTTGCAAATTGCCCTGCGACACGGCTTTCATCTGCTGAGGATGATAGTACGCAGCCAGAAGGGTCACTTCGCGGGCGTCAACATCCAAATACATCATCATGCCATGGCTTTCCTCGTCGGGGTCTTTCGTCGAGTGTGCTGCATTGTTGAAAAGGGTGAGTGTGTTGTTGGGGTGCCAGCGCGCATCATGTTGCCAGGCAAAGTTGGTCGCCTCCCCGTTTGATAGGTCGCGGAATTCGTTCAGTTTGCCCCCAAGCGTCCACAGAACCACGCCGCTGTTCTTATCGATGCAGCTGACAGTGTGGGTGTGTCGTGCCGATACGATGTAATTCCCATTGTCATCCTTTTCGACACTATTGATGTGGTAATAGTCAAAGGCAGATGATCGGGCGGTCCCAGTGGTTCCCAATTTTTCATAGGTGCTGTTGATCGGGTAATGCTTGGATGCACGCCATTCAAAGAGCAGTTCGCCCGTCGCGATATCGATTTCCTGGAATACCCCGTCATGTATCCATCCCAGTTCAGGGCCTCCGACCGAAGTCAAATCAGCAAGCACAGGGTCATAAATTGTGACAAGAGCAGTCCCCTGAGGCGTGATGTGGAACTCATGAAGGTCACCGCCGTAACTTCCGACCGGGGTGATCACGTATCGCTGAGTGTATGTGGAATCCAACTGTGGCAGGTCAACCTATTGGACAAACGGAATGCGGTTTGAAGCCACCAACCATGTACCATGCTCCATAGCCTCTACCCTCAATTTCGTCACCCTCCCAATAGGTGAGGTAGTCAGCGCCTTGATACCGCTGAACCCGAAAGTCCTGCGTTATCTCCCAGTTGTGTTTCATCCAAATCAGTTCCCCTCTGGAATCGAGGATCATGGGGCCCGGCTGAGCAACCGAGTCCCCTCTAGGGGCCAGGAATGTGAATCGCGAATCGCATCCTGAGCCTTGTTCCGAGATTTGAAGCGCTGGAGATTCATAGTCGAATGAGACATAGTCCTGGGACGGCCCAAAACCATAGAGCCCCAGATCGTACCAGCTCAAATCGGTCCTGAGATGCAGCCTTCGCAGCTGTGGCACGGCGAAGACGTAAAAAAGGTACAGCAGACTAAGGAGAGCCCCTATCGTGGCCACGTGTAGGCCAGAAAACCTGGACCGCAAGCGATGAACACATGACAGACTGCGAGTCCCCGAGGACATTGGAACATCGCGGTGAGAGATAAAGACCCAAAAGCGCAGAGAAAGGGGAAAGGAGAGACGAGAAGAGCTGGCCGTGCTTCTGGTTTTAAGAATCGCAATTGGAGACTGGGGATATTTCGGAACCGGCCAACAAGCCACGAACTCCTGTGAACACCTCTTGCTTAGCTTTGATCGTCATCGCGGCTAAATCAACAACAGCCAGGCGTTATTGTACGTGTCATTTGTCGAACTTCAATAATGGGGCCGGCTTGCGAGACCCGATAATGGCATGGAGGAGGGGGGGGCAAAGGGGGGTAGGGGTGGGTGTCCAAACTCCAAATTGAATTCACCACACGCGCGGCACAGAAGGGAACCAGTACGTATCAGTATCTTCTACTCTGTACAATGGGGCACATCTCCACGCAAGCAGGGCCAGGCCAACTTTGATTCGGTGCGGGTGAGCAAATTCCATGTGTGCCAAGGTCGTCACCGTGGATCGGGGTCATCCAGGCTAGTCCCCCTTGGCAGTTCCCAATTTACGTCTGGCCCGCAGCGTGGCGGTGTCTAGTCTCGCATCGAGCCAGCCATCATTTTCTATTGGCTTGCACACCGAGTCGTCCATTATCGCACAACCGAAGCTCGGCATTAGATACTTCATTCAGGTTGGTTATCTGATCTGTTGCGCTCGCTGGGACGACTCGGTATGACGACTGAGAGCTCAACCGCCGCTGGTGACAGCCACTTGGACCCGCTTGCGCGTCGTCAACCAACAGTGCCAGAAAGTCAGAATTGGCATCGCAGGCGGTGGATTCTTTGTCATATGTGCTGTGCACCGCCGAATCACGATCTTTGAATCCGATTCCATAGAAGAGGCCGATGATCCATGACTTGCACAGGTCGATGCTTGGTTTCGGGCGGACCGCCAACGTGGCCGAAGGAACAAATTGGGTGTGATCAACAACAGTTCAGAATTCAGGAGTCACTCCGTGTTCTGGAAGATTACCTGGAATTTTTGCAAGTGTCTTGGCCTCTCTTGAATCCAGATCCACTCCACCATCTCAAATGGCATTCTACGGACGCTTTGACAATGAGGATTTTCCTTCTAGCGATTGAGAGGCCAGCCAATGGTGTAAGTCTATCCCCACGGAGTTCGAGATACCATGCGAATGCCATCTACTGCGTTTGAGTCTCCCTCTAGACTGGTGACGAGCAACCGTCAACCATAGTGGTGATATTAACACTTGAACAGCGCCGCTAAGGCTTCTCAAGGGTCAATCTCTGCCGGACCCACTATACCTGGCGCAATGCCAAGGATGGCAAGACGTCAATGTTAAAAGTTTCGAAAGGTGATTGCGCTCAGACATAAGCTTGCGTACGCAGTCGGCGCTCGAGCATACCGATCCACCGACTCACATTCTCAATATATGGAGCACTCAGTGTTGGATCCTGATTCCTGGGTTATCGTAGTTATCACAGTGCGGAGAAACCAGCAAAAGCTCCCTAGTCTAAGAAATATCGGGGGCAAGGGTCATTGAGCGGAGACTAACTACTCCCTAGTCCCAACCGAAATCCACTGACAAATTCACTAGCTCAGGACGGACGCACCCTGAGTCGTTGAGAATATTTCTACTATGTTCAGGAAACGCCAGAATGGTCAGCAAAGTGCAATGGCATAAGTTACAGGATATAGGTAGCCAACTCCTTAGTTGAGTGAGTGTCTGGGAAAAATCCCAGACGAGGGGCTTGTCCAGCCTCCGAGGTCCGATCATTGCCCGACGCAAAAGGGGCTAGCGTCGTTATCATACCGTTGTTACTACTAAAGTGGTAATTTGCGGGACGACCACTTTATCTTTACCCGGACTATACCACTCTGGTACGAGTCGAAACAACCCCATTCGCTCATTTGTTATTCGAGAAGAGTGTCGAAAGATCTCCTCAAATTGTGCCACAATGACGCCACTTTGGATTCATCCTGGACAAACCCCCCGTCGGTTCCGGGTCTCTCGGCAAACTCGGTCAAGGCAGCAACAATCTCGGAGATCCGCAGCAGCAATCATTTGGCGCCAGGATTCTGATGCGATAGGCTGCAATATACTGTACTTAGTGGGCTACGTGCTTTTCGGATGCTTGACAGCAAGATCACCATCGATCAACCTGTTGATTTGATCCGATCCCCTCCAGCAGCGGCCGAGCATAAGCGATGAGTGCCGCTGGGGAATTGCTCCCCCGATGAATAATCGGCTGAAGATGAAAGTGGTCTTGGCTTGCAGGTAGTTTTGTCTTTGCACTCGCTGTACCTGTTTGACCAGTTTTGAGAAAGGTTTGGCAACCACCCGAGCTCTCTATGTTCCAGGATCTGAGATAAGGGCCGGAGTGTGTTTCGCACTATCTAGAACGGTCCGGCCCTTCGATCTTGACTTTATCAGTCAGTGTCAAAGGACACACTACATCTAGCGGTCGGGGCTATGGATCTATACCGGACAATGACCTGTCCTAGGTCATCAAACCGAGGATATCATCTACACCCTGAATGTCGTTGGCATCAAGAATCCCCCTTCCGACATCCTCCAACCGCACATCGGGCGGGGTCAATCGCTGAGAGTACACACCCTCAACATTTTTCTTTACTACTGCTTTGGGCTGTGTTCCTCAGCCTCTCCACGACTTTGGTCACCACGCTTGCATCCCACAGCCCGTCCCGTCGGGGCAGTCGCGGGTCTCGAAGCAGGGAGAGTGCTGTGTCCACCGTGGTGGGATCGGTGCTTTTGAGGCAGACGACGTAGAGCCCTGCGATGAGCTGCGTGGTGAGGGTGAAACCGGGTGGAGCATCTTTACTTGGCTGGGAATCTGGAGTGTTGCTTTTCCCCCCCACCGCCTAGAATGCACTCGTCGAGGAGCATGGACATATCGCTCAGAGCGGCGCTTAGCGCAGAGTCTGTAGCAGCGGATGCTGAAGATGCTCCAGGTGCGCGGTGCGTGTTCTCTAGTAGACCACCGTGGAACAGCTGTGCTTGTATCCGTAAGAGGAGAACGTGCTGTCTGCCTTTCGGGTCTCTGGGTAGAGGTGTGGCAGTGATGGAGCGGATGAAGGCCCGCAAGGCAGCGTCGAGCGCTCGTCGCTCGTGACGGATCACCGACGGGAGGTTGGCGAGTGGAGTGTTCTTGTGGGGGAGATGCACGAGCAGGTGTCACAGGAGTCGTGCTTCGAGGCTGATCAAGTGTGTTTCGAGGCGGTTGTTGGTGTAGTCGCTCAATACATGCCTAGCCAGTGGTGCTGGCATAGTTTCATGGCTGACGAGCACCAACGGACGCGAATCATCGTATATGCTGGCTTGAATGTCCAATCGCGCCAGCAGAGCCCCCAGATTGGGGAGGATATCCTCCGCCACCCCACACGCGGTCCGCGGCACTTGGTGATGGTTGTTGTCGCGGGATATCTTTCGCCCCCTCCTTGCCCGTTAGCTGGCCGCTGTGGCTGTAGTGGTCCTGGTAGAGGGCACTCAGCGTGACGAGTGCATTGCGGATGATGGGCTGGGCGTGGCAGCGCTGGAGGATGAGGCGCGTCCACAGCGTCGGATCGGAGAAGCTCGAGAGACTCTCGACCACTTGACAGCAGTAGAAGTGCAGCAGTTGCCGGTCGGCTTGGCTGCCGAGAACTTTTGAAGGGGATGCTGTAGCTTGTGCCTGTGATTTGTGGTGTGCAAACTTGATTGTTGATAGATGAATGTTTGAATGCATTCACTCACATGTGACCGGGCCTGGCCGCCTTTCCCGGCTTTCCCTGGGACTTCCTATCTGGGGAAAGAGACTGTTTAGGTCGATGCTACTGGCCAATGGCTGTTTATCTTTGCATCCACGGTGAGAGCGAAGCTCTGTGAATGGCTGATCCCTTGAATCTGCAGCAAATCACCGGATGGCTCTTGTCTGCTGACTCAGTCAAATGCCCCGCCCCCGCCTGATTGTCTTGTGCCTTTCTACTTCCCACTCATGTACATTCGATAACTTGACATTGTCTCTTCTCCCCCATTGCTGCTTCATCGTCCCGAGTTACACTGCTTCTTCAGGTCCATCTCTTTGACAATGTCGTCGTCGAGATCATCATCGCCCGAACCGGACAAAATGCTCCGACCAGAGAAACGGAGACTCCTCCCTCAAGATGATGATAGCATAGATCCTGAGGACTACCAGATCCACAAACAGCCATCACGATGGCGGTCTCTTGTCCGGAGAGCTCTCGTCACTCTTCTACTGCTTGTGATGACGATTCTCTCCTTGCTGCTCTTCTTCTTCCTTGGCCGCATTATCTCCGGCCATCCACAGGGCCCTGTCGGTGACACAAAGCCTCCCGGAGTACACAATCCAATCAAGAATGTTGTGGTGGTGGTACAGGAGAACCTTTCTTTTGACACTTTTGCCGGGGGACTGACCTATAACGCGGACATTGACGGGCTGATTCGTACACAATACTGCAATCCGGCCAATATCTCTGACCCAGTGTCTCCTCAAGTCTGTGCCAAGCCAACCGCGCAGGACATTGCCCCCGATGACCCCGACCACAGCATCGCCGGAGGCAATCTGCAGATCTATGGCACCTATGATCCGAAACCAGGCACTGACCGTCCCACTATGCAGGGCTTTGTGACAGAACAGGTCCGCGCCTATGGGCTTGACGGGAATCTTGGCCGTGCAGCCGAAGTCATCAACTACTACCCCCCCGACCGCGTCCCCGTCCTGAATGCTCTGGCGGAGAATTTCGTTCTCTTCGATCGCTGGTTTGCTTCCGTCCCCGGTCCGACAAATCCCAATCGTGCGTATCTTACATCGGGCACCTCGCACGGCCATGGGTCTAACGATCCCGACTTCGACACCTCCTCCCTGCCCCAGGTCTCCATCTTCGAGCAGCTGACGGCGGCCAACATCAGCTGGATCAACTACTCGAACACCACGGGGTTTCTGCCGGATGCGCTTTTCTATACCTGGACAAAGATCTCTGGTCATGGGGTGTCGAACGTCAAACCCATCGATCAGTTCTACAAGGATGCCAAGGCAGGCACCCTGCCGCAGTTCACCTGGATCAACCCGGAATGCTGCTCGTTCACCTCCTTCCACCCACCATCACCAATTCACCTGGGAGAAGGGTTTTTGAAGAGTCTCTATGAGGCACTGCGAGCATCCCCGCAGTGGAACGAGACCCTCTTCATCCTTACTTTCGACGAGCATGGTGGCTTTGCGGACCACGTGCCCCCTCCAGAGAATGTGCCTGCAGGGGACGACCTTCCATACACCGAAGCTGCGCGGGACGGCACGCAGACGACTTTCCGATTCGATCGGCTCGGTGTACGCGTCCCTACCTTGCTGATCTCGCCGTGGGTGGACAAGGGAGCCGTACAACACGGACCGACAGACCAACCGAATGATTTCACCCACACCTCCATCTTGAAGTATGTGGCGGAGCTATGGGACCTACCCTTGTTGACACCCCGCGTAGCCTGGTCCCCCAGCTTTGGCAGTTTGATTCGGGATTCTCCTCGGTCGGATACGCCCGAAAGGCTACCGGAGCCGTGAGCGTGAGATTTTTGGCGGGGCCATTTCTTGGTTTCTTTCCTCCATTGGAAGTAATAAAGCACAAATCTGATTATATCTTGATGCTATGCTGGAGCGAGGCTATGCTATGCTATGCTATAGTATGGTATGGTATCACAGGGTGGCTTGCGCCGCTATTAGAGTTGGTATGATGATGATGATTGACTAGAACCCCAGCCACTTCTTCCGCTTGGACTGAACGGAGCGCGTCCGCGAGTGCTGAGTGATGGCGGAGTTGCGGGTATTCACCCGGTCGATGTCGTACGGATTGGCCTCGTACTGGCGCTGCGAGTCTTCCTCCGTGGAGAGCGAGCCGCCTCGCTCCAGGTCCAACTCGTGGTCGATAGCCGTCACATCCACCCCATCAGCCACAGCTTCCGCCTCTTCATCCTCCACCTCCACCTCCTTCTCTGGGTGGTGCAGGGTCTTGTCGGCCAGTTTGCGCATGAACGCATCCGACTCGGCCGAATACTTGCACTTCCGTCGGATGCTTGCTCCGTACTTGTAGAAGATGAAGGGGAACGGCAGACACGCCAGCGACAAGAATGCCGGGATACAAGAGGCCCAGTGGATGCCCAGGTTGTTGTACATGTAGGTCGTGAACAAGGGGAAGCCCGCACCGAAGCAGCTGCGGATGATCGAGTTGGCGGCCAATACCGAGGCGGCGTAGATGGTGTACGAGTCGATCAGATACGACATGATGTTCAGGAAGACGAGCACCATCCCGAAGCCGAAGGGCGCGGCGGCGATGATGCACACGATCCAATGCACGGAGGGTCCGTTGGTCCACGCGAACCAGAACAATCCGACGGGGATGGTGATGGCCCCGATCATTGTCGGGGGCAGCCGCGCCTCCGGCGGCGCGAAGCCGTTGTGTTGCTCGTGGATGCGCTTGTACCGTTTGTTGTCGTACATGTTGTAGCCCACCGCCGTCATCATCCCGACCATCACCCCGAGGAACGGCAGGGACCCGATGCCTTCGCTCCAGCCGCGCATCTCCTGGAACACGATGGGGAACGCGTCGAACAGCATGTACAGGGTGCCATAGACGATCGCCATATACAGGGACAGGAGCAGCACAATCGGTTCGGCGAAGAGCAGCACCCAGGGCCGCAGAAGCGCCGCTCCAAAGGCATTCGCCACGGAAACGCGGCCGCGCTCCCGGTCCAGCTTGCTGAGGTACACCTTGCCGGTCAGCTTGCACAACCGATCAGCCCGCGCGCGGAGCAGCAATGGGGCGTAGGTCTCGGGGATCATGAGGCACTGGATGATCCAGATGAGGCCGGAGAAGGCCGCCAGCAGGCCCTGCACCCACTTCCAGCCCGCGCTTTCGCCGAGGAAGCCTCCGATGATGGGTCCGATGGTCGGTCCTGTTTAATTCTAGTCAGCCTGCTGTCGGCAATGTCGATACCTAGGGAGGGAATCTTACCCAAGAAAGGTGCGCCTGCGAACAAACTCATCGCCAGCCCACGCTCCTCAGCGGGGAAGACATCCGCGATGACGCCGCCGGCATTCGTGAGCGGGGACGATCCGAACGAGCCCGCGAAGAACCGGAGGATGATCAAGGTCCACGAGTTGCGGGATCCGGTCGCCCCGGCGCAGAAGACCGCGAGCCCCAGGTACGAGATGGCGAAGACCAGCTGCCGGCCGATCAGTTCGCTGAGGGGCGCCCACACCAGCGGGCCGACGGCGAACCCCAGCACGAACAGCGACACGCCCAGGGTGGCGACCTCGGTGCCGATGCCGAAGGACTCGATCACCTGGTCGATGCTCCCCGCGTAGGCGGACGAGGCCATCGACACACCAAACGTGGCGAAGGCGGCGATGATGGTGAAGGTCCACTTGCGGTGCTGCGGGAAGAGCATCGGGTTGCGCGGATCGTCGGGGATCCATTCCACGATGAACGGGTCCTCCGCGGTGCCCTGGCCGCTGTAGGGGTGGTTGATGATTTCCTCGGTGACGGCGCCGTGGTCGACCAGGACGCGCCAGTAGGGGATCCGAGCCGGTCGGGAGGACCCCTTCTCAGTTGATGCGGCCATTGTTCAAGTTTATTTTACTAGGTGAGCGCCGGTGGTTATTTCTGAGTCCGACGGGAGGGTAGCGGCCGCGGCGCTTGGCGCATTGCTTGCTTGGCTTGAAGCCGAAGATGCTTGTTCCTTTTGGCAACGGGCAAAACCAAAAATCGAACCGAGAAAGGCGAGGGCTTTCACGGCCAGGGAAATATTTCCAACTTTATATGAGTTGGGGAATTTACGTGTGGTCTATCGTTACGAGAATCGCAGATCGGATGGTGCTATCAGAAAAGAAATTTTTCTTCTTGTAAGTGGTTCAACCCCCCATCCTGAGGAATTCTCTGGTTATCTAGCTGGTTATCGGGATCATTGTGATTTAAGGTCAGACCACGCGTGCAGAAACTGGCCGACTGGAAGCATTGAATCATTGGGTCAGGCACTAAGAGGGGAAGAGGGGGCGGCGGCGAGTCAAGACTGCAGTCGCATTGGCTGCGAGGGACCCGCTGAGGGGCTGGCCCCCATTCCTTCGGCTATCGCTTCGGCAAACCGACGGCCTGGAGAAGGGTGCCAACCGAGGTATCGTCTGCTGCCTGTATTGATTCGAGATTGGGTATGATGTCCGTTTGGCTCGGTATGCCGGGTTGGAATTTCTGGAAGCCATGTCACTGTAGAGTGGGGATTGATGGATATGTTGTGCTGGAGGTGGAAGCTTAGCTTTATAGTGCTGATTGAAGGTGGTTTGGCTGTTGGTTGGGTCTGGCTGTGACGTCATTGGACTGGTTCTTGGGTTTCGCTCTGCTGCTGTTGGGTTCGCTGGGGGGTGCATTTGCAAATAGTTGGGTATAGATTCGCAGAAAGTACGTATAGACTATTCACTTGCGACGAAGACAAAGACTTAACCAAGGTGCTGCCAAACGGCGCTTGTGAAAGCCGCTGGCGGGCTGACCCTACCTATTTGTCATTCACACCACACAACAATGTCAGACCTAGGGTTGGTTTGAGGACACCTCTTTCACCCACAGTTATCATTAACCAGATGCCTTGGATTCACCCCTGCTGTCGACCCAGGGTGACATAAATATCTCCGTTGATCTTCTTCCTCGCAACTCTCTTCTCTCCACTTCTCTCTTTCAACCAACCATTCCACCAGTCCTCCACTCTTCAGGTCCTTCATCTTTCTATCCATCCCCTTCCTATATCTCCACTATCAACATGGTGTTCATCCAGCTTGATCCATCGAATTACATATTGGTGAGACATCATACAAGATGTGGTCTGTTCAAGTAGGGACCTAATCCATTTACCATGGATAGGACCATCTTCCTCGAGCAGAGGCGATATCGCTATCGTACATACATCTGCAAAGAACTCTTCATTTGCTTTCATCTCTTATCGACCTATCTTGACTACACAAATTTAGACAAGTGGATCATACATGGTCATGTCCAGCCAGAATCATTTTTCAACCGCATGTATGCCTGTGCATCCTGCGGAGTGGGAATCTCTCAGCCATACGTTCGCGCATGCATCCCTGGCTCCTGTGTCCTGTTCCGAGCAATGTGGGCAAGTAAGCGGGAAGAGATTGAAGGGTCCAAGAATCCCATCCACGAAGAGCTGACTCAGACAGGCTTTCTGGGCTCGAAGACGTTGGGCTTCGGCTGGCGCGGCCTTTACCGCTCTGCCAATGGGACTACGAGCGGGGACGCTTGAATTCGTTGGTCATCTTGGATGACACCCACAAGCCCAAGATGTCTGGGCGGCAGTGCTGTGGCTGGCAAAGACGCTGATCTTTGTTCAAATCGTCACCACAAAATGTGGTTGCTCAATTCCCAGAGATGTATGACCGAGAAAGAGGCTGGGACCACTTCGAAAACACTACACATCGGACCTGTTATAGCGAACGAGTCCGATATGTGGGATTTTCCGAACACCGTCGTTGACATCAGCACGCATGCCCCGTAGATAGTGACGGGCTAGACTTCAAACCCTCCTCCCCTTGGTATTGGGTCTATGGAAGACTCTGTGCTAGTTTATGACGAAGCAGAGAGTCTCGCCTACTCAGGTGCCCATCGGGATCATCTGTATGAATCCAGTTACCGATATCAATATCGTGCCAAAAGCATATATAAAACATGCAGCGTTACCGACGGGACCGTTTGCCAATATGCCCTAGACACATCGTGTGACAACCTGGGGTGTGAGGCGAGTCGCGTGGTGAGTAGGTCTCGTCTGGCTCAAAGACAATCAAATGGACTCCAACTCAGATTCTACATTGAACGACAACGGCAATGACCACTACACACGCTCACAACGACCCTTTTCACCGCGATATGTTGAGACGTGTAGTGTTGTTGTGAATATGTGAAAAGAACTGAGGGGATTCCACTGATACGGTCGTGCACCTGGTACAGAGAATTCCTCGTGCCGTCGCCCGACGAGTTGGTGATTCGGTTCGATCATGTCGGGGTCAGTCGAGACCCATGGTGTTCTTCCATATCGTATGGTTGTATCGCCAGAATTTGTGATTAGTTGGGGAACTCAAGACGGCCGTCTTGACTTTTTCTTCAGAACCATGAAATGGGATCTCGAACTTTTGAGCGATGGAATTCGGACCCAGAAGCATGTCTCGGTTCGCCTGCGGGGAAAATACTTCATTATGGTGGAGGATCAACTGGTCTTGGCCTTTGTTTGCTAGCTACTGTGAAGGGTTTCTCTTGGTTTACCAATTGTGCTGTTTGCCGGGCGTATTTAAAGCTGCACTTGCTCTATTTGACCTCGAATGCTCAACCACCACACCTGAGCGGGAAAGGAAAACTCCCAAGAGAAAGAAACACGAGCGTTTCAGATCGCCCAGGGAGGAAGACCGAAAGCGTCTGCGTATGTTGGAATGGCAGAACCAAATGTTGACCAAACATCTTCGAGGTCAGACACCAACACAGACTCCGACTCTTACTCGTCCTCAGCAGTTCCCAGCTTTTCCAAATGCGTTTGATGCATATATCAATCCACAGTACAGCACCGACCCACACCCCCACTGGCGATTAGCAGCGGATGCTCAGGACAAAACACTACATTGTTGGGAGGCGGAGTTGTTACAGCGACAGAGATCCGGGTTGGGGTCCCGTGCCAATACCAAAATTCCCTACAGACGATAGGTTGCTGCTATCACCGTCAAGCCGCGCCTGTTTGCGCAAATTGCTGCCACACTTGATTTGGCGTACTCCCCTTTCCACCAGAACTTTAAAGCCACTGGAGCAAATACACCGAAGACAAGCATGACTGCAAGGAAGTGTATTGTTCGTCGGGTCCGCTGACTCAGAGAACAAGTGCCGAGGAGATGCTAAGAGACAAACTATCAAGATACTGAAAAAGTGATTGTTCAAGGACATGAAAAATGAGCTAGGTCGGGGTTTGCTTTCAGAATGGAGGCGATAAGGCCTGAAGGACCCAGGTACCCACGAGCTGGCCTGAAGCTCCAGATCGCCAGGAGGGTGTCTTGCGTGCGATCTCTAAGAGCATTCACAAGACGCAGTCTATTGCCGAAAGGCTATCTGTGATTATCCGTCTCAGATACACCCAGGTAACCTCCAGCGTACTTCGTTTCGACGGCTTGCTTCTTCTTGACTGCTGCTACCCCATGTAGCAGTGTGGGCTCTAGTCGCGCTGTAGTCTGACTGGCTTAATATACCAGCTTAGAACTGCGACATAGACTGAATCAAACCACAAAACAATGGTCAAGCACCCTTGCAATATTGGGTATTAGCGATTCTCCTCGGGCTCTTTCTGAAAAGCTCAGGCAAAGCTCCAACCGACCACCAGAGAGCGCTCTTGGTACCCGGGAATCAAGACAACCTGGATGCAGCTATGTCCAAACTCGCTCAATGTACGATCAATCGTCGGACACAACAGCCGGTGGCTCTAGTGTATGAGACAGACCCCTAAGAGACACCTCGGTGAAAACGGCCTTATGATCGAATAAGTAAGCGTGCAATGCGTCTTTTCTGGTTGATGGCAGTTGCGGCCTTCCTAGGAAATCTGTGTCATCTCTCTCTCCAATGGCAGCGGTTGAATGTTGCGTCTGCTGCTACTGCTGCTGTGACAGCAGCAGCAGCCGAGATAGAAGGACGAAAGTATCCAAGGTTGTTTTGGTTGGCGTCTTGCGTCTTTTTTCTTTTTCTGCTCCCGTCCGATTTTCTTTCCTGATCCCTTCATCCTCTACTTCAACCACCCACATCTGCCATTTGCCTCAACAGCGCACTGAGTCCGAAGCTTTGCGTATCTGTATACAATCAACACTGGATCTGTCATACACCTTCAAGACCTCATGCCACTCATGCCTTTTGCGCCCAAACACTGGGGTAGCGTTCCCCAGCCGTTCTGGAGGAAGTTCGGTGGCTGTTCCATGGCTTCGACCCAGATGAGTCGGAGGCACATGTAGAGGCTGCACGACGCTCCTCCAAGTTTGCGGTTGCGTGCTCAGCTCCGTGCGGGAATCCTCGTGACTCAACTTAGGGCACAACAGCGCTTGCAATAAGGACTGCAATACATGGCAGATCTATTTTGCATCCAGGTGTTCGCGATATGCATCTCTGCGTTTCTCGAAGAGGTGCGACAACTGCCCCTGCTCCGGTAACAATTACTTGCCTGTGATCCGACTGCCCTACATCCTTGTCTAATGCCGACGGAGTATTGCCCAGCACGTTAAAGCAACTGAAGAGGCTCTATTTGGTTTTCGTCCTAGAAGAGGAAGGGGACATGCCCACGGTCTCCATACCATTTGTCGGTCGCAGGGAACTATCTTCGTACTACCCAAAGCTGCTAGGGGAAGAAAGCTTGCTTTAAGACCAGATCACTCTCGTATGTTCGGGCTTGTCGAAAAGTACTTTTACCCGCCGAATTCGGAGAAGCATGGCTGTGTTGCGTTTGATGGGGGATGGAGGTATCAATACGCATGCGACACGCATGACAGCCCAGCGCCAGACCCCAAAGGCAATGTGGGCTATCTTGGCTAATATATCGCAAGAAAAAGCTCCGCCGCGCGAATTACAAGATCGAACCGGCAATCTTCCCAGTGGTTCGTACAATATTTGGTGATTCTAAACCGACTCGAATAGAAGTGCTTCTTCTGCCAATTGTCATGAAGAAAAATCAGCTCAAAGGTGTCTGTCTAGAGCTTGTCATGATTGACCACATGCAGCACGGCGATGACATTATATTGGGTCTGGAAAGTCAGTTGTGAATTGATCACGAATGCGAATCGCAAGCGCGTGGCTTCCCCAAACCGAATGAGCGCCCAACAGAGCATAATGGAGCTCAGAGGCCTGAGACGATGTGTTTGTGGCAGAAACGCGGACGATCGCGGATCAGCCACAATGGTTCCAGTCCATAAGGACGTCAAGCAGTTGTTTTGTGCAATCAACAGCACTGCAGACGGCAGCGAATCGGGTCGGCCTCATTTCAAAGGTTCCTAAACCATATTCCAAGCTCAATATGCATCTTCCGTATCCTTGATATTTCAAAGCATTCATCAACCATGCTCCACAAAAGGCTCCCCGTGGCTGTCTAGCTCGGATACCACACGCAAAAGAAAATCTGGGGTTGACATGTTGAACACACATGTTCAAAGCACCGCGTGAGACTTTTGTATCCTCCACTTGTTTGCCAAATATTGCATGGGCTTCGGCGTCATCGCATGTCCACCGGTGGAAAGAAAAACGGCCCAGCCCCCTTCGACACAGACCCAAGAACAGAGTCGAGCCGACAACGACTCCTTGATGCACCGTTACGCTCTTTTATTCGCCTGACACGAGGCGGAACCGAGTGCCGCCCTCGAAACGTCATTAGAAGCAACCGTCTTTTGAAAAGACCTGAGCTTTTGCAAGACGTCTGTATGAATGTGTTTCAGCCAAGGGGCAGTGCCAATGCAACTCCTGTCATGGCTCAATGCTTTGCAGAGCCGAATCCATCGCCGAGCACACCAGCCAGACCCGAGGGATGGTGCCAAATCACCTCTATCACCATGGCACAGAAGAAGGATTAGTAGGACAGTCGGAGATAGAATACGAGGTGCGTGCCTGTCACCGCTGTGTGCGTTCAGGGTTAGCGTGCTCCCTCGTCGCTTCGGCGGCGGGGGAGACCTGCTGTTCGCGCTGCCGCATGCACAAGCGTAGAGCCGTTGGGTGCACCCCCGTAAGTTCCCCACATTCCCGTTGTTTGGCAAGGCTGACCCGGCCATTTGCCGCAGTTACTGGTTGACGATTCGATCGCGGATATGATCATCGCTTTGGTGCGGGCCGTGGCCGCGGGCGAGGCGGACGAGGCGGAGCGTCAGTCCCACTTCTTCCGGGACGAGTACGTCAATCCGGCCTTTCCAACAATGGATAGACAGGAAGCTTGACATGAGGCAATATCTAGGGCCGTATCATTCAAATCAGCAATTTGCCGATTGGGCATCCGACAATGGACCTTCAGTTATCCTAAGGCGGACAGCCTGCGTGCCTCACTTCGCATGGAAAGAGATCAGCCTGCGACTGGAGATTTGTATCAGTCGAATGCAGACACTCAAAGGTGTTGAATCATACAATCGAGCATTTGTCGCCGGCAGAATTGACTACTCACTGCGGCATGGTGCTGCCGTGGCTTTGGCCCCAGTCAAATGGCTGTGCCAGTGAGGAATTTTGAGCCTCGGTGATAAGATGCTTCCCTTTCTCAAGCCGGGAAGCTACCAATTCGACACCTAGGTACGCTGGGCTGCATTGATCTGGGGGGGTTGAAGGGCTCATTATTCCGACAGATGCTCGAGGGTTTATCTGAGTCAATCCTCAGACCTTGAACATACCGACGAAACTTTCAGTGCGGTTACGAGATTGTCCACAAAAGAGGCGGCCTTGGAACGCAAACCGACATTGTCGGATTCCTTACACTAAAGCTATCGCGGTTTGTAAAGCTGTCGCAGCCCATCAGCGCGTGCCGACGTTCGTGCGCGGACGCGGCAGCCTTCGGTTGCAAGATCGGACGCTAAGTCCCTGGTAGAAAGATCTATTCCACTATGGGGCCGACGTAGCCTCTTAAGCGCGTGATGAAGTTGAGTGCCCTTGTTGCCGATCCAATCATGTCGACAAGCATGGCGAGCAGTAAATCATTTGTCTAGGGTCCCACGAAACCATCCACTCTGGTCAGCAAGCCGAATGAGGTCCTATCACCACGATCCAGAGCCTCTGCTATGGAAACCAGAAAGCTGTTTGGAAAAAAATGGAAGAGGATTCACGAACGGCTGAAGGGCAGTACTAAGCCGTTCGTCGCCTGCAGCAGATTGGGAACGGCCTGAACTTCACTACCGGGAACGGTGCTCAAGTGACCGAAGGAGTGCGAGAGGCCCAATGGGCCAGGACCGCCTTCATACACGATGCTGCGACTGCAGCGCTATAGCCTTGCCACAGTTTATTCTTGTGACTATCAGCATAGTCGCACACTCCCTTGATGACAACAGTCGGAAATGCATCCCAAGCCCCCGCCGCTTCCATCTCAAACCCGATCACTTGATATTGCTCAACAAACCGATCGCGATCCTGCGCAGATTTCATTACGCCATCACCACATGCCACACGACCAAAGTGCACCACTGGGCGTGACGAATCAAGGTTAGCCAGACGAGACCTACTCACCACGCGACTCGCCTCACACCCCAGATTGTCACACGATGTGTCTAGGGCATATTGGCAAACTGTCCCATCGGTTACATTGCATGTTTCACATGCGCTTTTGGCACGACATTGATGTTGGTAATTGGATTCATACAGATGATCCCGATGGGCACCTGGGTAGGCGAGACTTTCGCCCGTCGCTGAGCGAAGGAGCGTTTTTAGTGTGGTACGCGTTTCATCACTTATACGATCATAATAGTAGCTGGTTTCACTTAGCATGCGCAAGAAAGAGCGCAGACGGTCCACCGGTCGCCCGAAATTATCTTCAGGGTCATCCTTCGGAACGAAGCCGTTAGCATAGTAGCGGCCGAAGTCGATCTGCTTCAGTCCGGTACTGATTATCACGTCGCCCAACACGATCTCCTTCTTTGCCCGAGAATTGTAGGGTGCACCACCGCACACTCCGACCACCAGGCAAAGGCCCACCTTTGGAAAGGTCGACTTGAGGCGCATTGTACTGTTGGCCGAATTTAGCTTTCCCATTCCGGGGAGGTGGACGATGACGACGGAAGTTTTCCCAATGCGGCCGGTTGTATATGCATTGGCATCCTTACGAGCTGCCTCAGGCAAGCTCTCATAAATCTCATCCATGACGCCCATGACTGCATTTGTTTCCAGACCCAACGCGCAGATGATGGCCACGGTATAGGTATCTGGGTCTACCTGGGAAGATAGCTCGTCATCAGACTCAGGGCAAGGACTCCAGCTTCGGGATGATCTGCGTTGATCTGCGGTGTATCGCCGTTTGACCGGGAGTGACTGAATAGAACCATTGGGATGCGAGCGTTTCCCACCGTTTAAAAGTCGCTTCTGATGGGCTAGGCTTATGGCCCGTTGATCCTTGCTCTTGCTCAAGGACAAAAGAAGATTGTCTATCTCTTCAATATCGGCGTTGAACTCTTCTGCCAACTGATCCTCGATAGGTGACACGACTTGGTCATATAACAATCGACAGAGATGTTCTGGGCTGGCCTTTTCGGAGTCCCAAACATCCCAGTTCACACAAGCTCCAACTGCATTACGGTATCTGGTACTCATATCCCATTCGGACTGCTCCCATAATCGCTGCGCGGTGAAGAGGTCGGCATTGGGATCCTCTGCCCCGTCGAGGGGCATATCCGTTGTATCGCGCAACTCGCTGATATGCTTACCGAACCATAACTCAAGCAGGATGATTCCGAGAGAGAGAACAAACGGACTCGAATGAGCCAGGTCCTGCCAATCATGCGTCTCTTCATCTCTGTCCTCTTGCTGTGCCGGGCGAGTGGCAATCAATGGCCGAGGAACGACCTGGCCCTGGTCTGTTTGCATGAAGATGACACGCGTCGAGGTTAAAGTCGTCGGCAACCAACGAGTCTCATAGAGCTGCAAAGCGGAATGAGCAAGAATCACAGCGAGAATCCGGCGCAGCTTTAGCGGCAACGGTGGCGTCATCCGTAGGACTTCGTCAAGTGTCAACGCTTGATCGTATGTGGACGCCGAGGCTCGCTCACGGGGAGGTGGTCTCTTGACCATTTTGCCGCCCTCGATACCCAGGTTGAGAATTGACATATTGCTTGCTGGAAGCGCGAGACAAATTGACTCTATTGCGATGTCGCGCGACGGAGGTCTATTGGAAGCCGCAGTGAGTGTGAATCTGATGGCAATTTGCTCTTTAGGGCTCAGGTTCAAATCACGCTGGCAGGAAGACACAGAAGTGCTCATACTTGGATCCGGAAGAGTCACGTTGACAATACTCTCGAACCACTTGTAGGAGGAGGCGGAGGCCTTGGTAAAAAGCATTTTGAAATTGAGCTGGACACGCGAAGGATCCGGATGGGAATGAGTCTGAAGATAAAGCATTGAGCCATGACAGGAGTTGCATTGGCACTGCCCCTTGGCTGAAACACATTCATACAGAAGTCTTGCAAAAGCTCGGGTCTTTTCGAAAGACGGTTGCTTCTTATGACGTTTTGAGGGCGGCACTGGTGTCTCATCGCTACAAAGACGGTCCAATTCGCGAGCGCATTGGCTAAATTTGCTCACTGTGGCGTACTGATTCCCCTCGGTAGAACACAATTCAAAATCGGTACAGGAGATGGTGCCAGCCCGGATGCCTTCGAGTAAAGGATAGAACGAGTTGGCCTAGTCACGATTGCTCAGTAAAGACCTCATCGATATCCGAACTGCCCGACCTAATGATTACCTCGGTAGAAGCTCGGTCCTGTCGCAACATGCTCCCAAGAATCCCCAGCATCTCCGTTATTTGTTCCACGCAAGCATTCCTCACTTCTGTCGCTGATTCGGGAGAGAGAGATGCAGCGATGGTGGGTTGTCGTAGGCCCAGGAGAATGAGATCGGCCTCGAACAAAACGTAGGGAATGCGTTTGTCTGCATTGTCGCGGTATTGCGTGACCCGTTGGCTGGCGATGGAAGCAAAGTGGGGTAAAACAGCTTGGAATAGCGAGAATAGTTCACCAGGAGGTTGATCCACCTTCCCTGATGCGAAAGCCATCAAGTCGGATATAAGAATAAGAATAATCTTGCCATGAGTGACACGGTGGGATGGTGAGTGGTGAGTGTAGGAAAGTCAGCCTCGCTGACTAGTGCTGATGCCACGTGACAGCCCACGTTTTTCCTTCCCCTCCTTCCCCATCTTAGTTAATTCAAGCTCTTAGTTATCTGGAGGATTCCAGATCTGCAGCCCGGCCATGGAAGACCCTGAAGACCCCGAAAAGCGTCAGATTACGGTACTGGCTCAAAGCGCGGTCATCGCTTTGCAAAAGTGCCTCCAAGTCTCGGGATCTTTCTCCCACTTGGCTGAAGCTCAGCTCGCGCGCTTTAACCTGTGGGCTACCAATATAGGTGTTTTCGCCAGATATAAAGCATCCTTGGAGTATCGACTGAGGGACAGCCCAGACGTTCAGAGAATCATCATCAACCTGCTCGAGATTTTGGCTCTATATGCCGGTCAGGGTGCGTAATCAAGCGATAACCTCGCCTACAATGTCTTGCTTCACCGACTTGGGAAGCACTGCAAGCTGATATGTGTACAGCTCTTCGTACCGAGTTGGAGGGATCTAGCTCCAATAATGACGAAGCAAGACGCTCAGAAATATCGACTAAGTGTGAGGCCACTACTCCGGGACGCGACATCAGTAACACAACGCCTTGCTATCCAGGTTTTCAAATTCAACCTCTGAAAAACTTGTCCATCGTGCCGGCATATCAAGCCGTGGAGGACACCATCACTCGTCTTCACCACCTTTCAATTGCAATACGTAATGCTGGAGTTAGAAATCCTTATTCGCGCATCACTCGTTTGATTATCCTTGACGAAGATGGCAATGATATCAACCAAGCCTTTGAATCCTTCATATCCCAGGTGCTGAAACTCCGACACTCTCGCTTGTCGGAAGCCTTGCGATCTCGGCTTGCGGATGCTATTTGCTTTCGACGACGTCGGTTTCTGTACAACAAGCCGTCGCCAAAGAAGTATCAAGGTGGCTTCGTCGCCCCGGTTCTGCCAAGTGGCCGGGGGGTCTACCACATACCGACCCCACCAGCCAGCCGGAAGCGACCCTCAATACCAGATGCTCCGCTTCCTTCGCCAGCACGAGCCCCTACGACTCGAACGGCGTCTACCTTTTATCCTCAACGGTTTCAGTACCCACGCTCATCGGAACCGTCTGTGGTGTCTACAGCAACACCGAGTTCTCACATTCCACGAATGAATGAACACATTCCCAAGCCCCCATCGGTAGCTTCCGGACAGAAAGAGGCGCAATGCCCATACTGTCCTTTTGTCATCAACATCAAGTATCTGACTGGCACTCGATGGATGTAAGTAAGTGAACATGATTTACAAGCCTTCATACGCTGAACTTTGGTAGAAAGCACTTTCAGGATGACCTGGAGCCGTACATCTGTCTCTTCGAAGACTGTACGAGCCCTCGTGAGCTGTTCTCTTCCGCTGAGCAATGGCTGGCGCACATGAAAGCCCATCCAGCACCATCGACGGAATGGATCTGCTCAATGCGCCATGCATCGTCAGATCGGACAGTAATGAAGAGTGCCGAGGAGTTCGCGATTCATGTCAGAGAAATGCATTCTGGACGTTTCACCGATATGCAGATCAAGAAGCTTCAGATCCGAGCCGCGCGACCCGGTCCCGTGTTTCCCAGTTGTCCATTTTGTGACTGGTTGGAGCATCCGGATCCCGAAAAGCCAAAAGTCTCTGGTGGACCGACACCTATGGAGGAACACATTGCTGACCACCTGTTCGACTTGGCCCTTTTGTCGCTTCCGCCGATACAGAATAACGAGAACAGCGACGAAGAAGTAAGGGACAGTCTGGCGAATATATCGATCGTTAGTGGCGACCGCCACAGTGCGCTGTCGCAGAATTTATCGGGCCTTGAATTCAGCAGCTACCGGAGCCCCTCACCCGCTAATGAAGCTATGTATACATCTAAACATAGTCACATCTCTCCTGTTCCCAGTGTTGATGCTCTCAGCTATCAACCTGATTCGCCTCATCCCCGGAATAGTTCGTCTCCATTTGACCAGAGTCCGAGACCTCTTCCCACAAGCGACGATCCAAATTCTCAAAATCCTTCCAGGTGCAGATGGCATGATTGCTTTTACTCCTGCACATGGGGCTCTCAGGGTACCCTGCTCAAACACATAAAAGACGAGCATGTCGCACACCTTGGATTCCGCTGTCCGCTAGAAGGATGTAGTACATCATACAGTTTGCAGGAAGATCTGATGCACCATATCAAAGTCACCCACGGTGGGCTAGTTGTGGATAATGCCGAAGTCGATCCGTTTGAAGTTGTCGAGGAGCTGGAACAGAAAGCTCTGCAAACATCGGGGCAACCGCTCATATGCAGGTGGGATGATTGTCCACAGCGCGAACCTTTCTTTTCATCGCACTCCTTGCTTTTCCACATCGACCGCGACCACGTCGTGCCCGAGAATGGTGACTATTCTGGGAGCATTCGTGATTTGGATCCGTCATTGATGTCCGCTCCCAAAAACCCCAAGGACTATGACGCCGTCTTCAATGACCATTTCGAAATCGAGCCCCCACGAAGAGAGAATTCTGTGGAAGAATTGCCGGGGCAGGAGTCGGAAGTGATCAAATGCATCTGCGGCCTCAGCCACGATGACGGTCAGACAATATACTGCGAAAGATGCTATACATGGCAACACATCGTGTGCTACTACGGCGATAATCTATTCCCGGACGAGCATATGTGCGGAGACTGCCAGCCCCGTCCTCTCAATGCCCAGCGCGCACGAGCTCTGCAAGAAGCTCAACTCGAGGCGGCATCAACAGCAACCCGGCGTCAAGAAGAGGAGAATCAAAAGGCACGAAAGCGCCGCAGGAGAAAAGATCGGGATCTTGGTGAAACAGGCAGCGACTCTAGGGCTGCTTCAAGCCCTCTCCCCCGACGCAACGAGCCTGATGCCGGGATGGTTTTTTTTCCAAGCGAGAGCGCACCGATCCGAAAGCGCAGACGCCAGGTCCCCTCAGCTCCGATTTTGATGTCTACAGACATCTTAGAGAAGGAACCCCCAAGCAAGAAGCCTCCCGGTAGCGAGCATCAAGAGCTATGAAGCAAGACGAAGGCTAAGCACAACCAGGCGCTGGAGCGAGGGCGGAAGCAGTTCTGGCAAACCGATTACCGCGTCAATGGCTCTCGGCCCATCGAGTGATGATCAAACTTACAATGCTGCGATTACACTCAGAGTTCTTACCAAGACCGTCTTTTATCTAATGTGGCGTGCTAATCACTGGTTTAGGTGACGTTGGAGTGGGGGTGACGATCTGCGACAAATGAATTTCGGACCGTGCCACCAAGGTACGCGAGGGACCTTGAGGCCGCCGCCTCCGTCACATAAATGAAAGACAATAGCGAAATACTCTTCCCCTCTCGAAAGTCTATCGCAGTGTCTGCAATACGCTACATCATTATGCATTGCCTGCTAGACAAACTACCATTGGAGCTTCTGGAGCTCATCTGCGACGAGCTCGAAACTCAAGATCTAGCCTCTCTGCTGGGAACATGTCGCCATACATACAACCGAACAATCCACCGCCTGGCTCAACGCTACTCGGAGATCCACCTCGATTTCTCCAAGGGGAGCCTCAGTCAAATCCACGCGATCGCAAACAACGAGATTATGCGACAGCATGTTCAGCGGTTGGTGGTCATGGCCCCCGAACCATTTCTGGGGCGCAATCTCGAATGGCAGCGCAGCGCCGCAGGCCATATTTTCAACCCACTTGAAAATCCCACTATCCGACAGTTCCGCAACAATCTGGTCGACAGGCTGGTCAATTGCCGATCGTTTGTAATCTCACCACTAGGCAACCATCTTGCGCCCGACGAGGACGAGATGAATGTATCCTATGACCAAAACTTCACCCCCGACGACGCCGCGAGCATCCTGCTTGACATTATCGCCGATACTGCTTTGCCCGTGAAGCTATTCTGGTATGGCAGGGGAACGAACTATAGGTCCGAACTCATGAACATTCAGAGATTGCCAAAAACGCTCTTCCTCAGTCCAGGCTTTCGTGCCGGATGGGGATCCCTCACAAACCTCCATCTGGAGCACAAACTCACGCCACACAACTATTCCTTCCTTTTGAATATGCTGCTCAGCACGCCGAATCTTCGGAAACTCTATCTCAGTCTGACACCTAAAGACTTGGCCATCGAATTCTACTCGTATGTCGCCAAGTCAGAGTCTTTATCCTGCCTGTTGGAACGGATATCGCTCTGCTGTACAGCTATCCGGTCATCAGATCTCATGCACATCCTCGATCGGTCTCGACATACGTTGAAGCGGTTGATCCTTTCTGACGTTGGAGGCTTGTCGGGGAGCTTACCGCAGTTGCAGGACCAGTTGTCTGGCTTCCCCTGTCTGGAGAAGGTGGACTTAAGAATGTGCCAATGATCAATCATTATGCACGGTACCAAATGAGATACGAATTACGCCTTCTACCTGCCCCACACATCCTTTCGCCACCGTCATACCTGCTGCAGGTGCGGGTTTTACTCTGCGATGTAATATATACCCACCACCAACACCCTGCTCGCACCCAGGACGACGCCACCAGATGGCGTCTTTCACAGGACTGTCTTCTGAATCCTGACGAACAACACAGCCTTTCTTCACGTGCACGCCTTCCGCAGCCCGGGCAGTCATCAAGACTTGCCCCAAGGTCTTGAAAGAGGATTAAGCAGCTGTCACGGCCTGTTAGCGACCCCGGAATCTGCAGGCTGGTTGTTGAGTTATGATTGTTCGCTTGCTGTCTCGGTCATGGCATTTCGGCCATCGTCGACCCAGGTTTCCAAATTTAGAATTATAATCCAAGAAAGTTCCTCTATCTTCGAATCTTCATTAGCTCTCTGATGCCCTCCTAGAACACGGGTCTTAGTTCGATGGCATTCCCTAGCATTGCTGTTGAAGACAAGTCCACATCTCAATGCTGTATACTACGGAATTAACAGATCAGACTACCAACAGGGGGACGAGCACGTCTATAAACCCTTCCCCCAGGGTCGAGGGTTGCTTCGAATGCGACCCAGTTGCGGGGACGATCTTGGCACAAATGACCCACACTTGTCTAGTTGGCGAAGGCCGATTAATTTGACGAGACAGGAGACAACCCTGTCACCTTAGGGAATGATGCTCTTACTACGCAGATTACTGCCCGGACATCCCTGAATACTCCGATAACCCGAGCCTGGCGTCCAATGTACATGTAGACTCGGATCTCGGGAAGGTCGGACGAAAGCCTCGAAGGAATGCTCTCCACCAAGGCCAAAAATAGAATATGGCGCCACGTGTAATTCTCTGTTCATTCTTCCATATACCCGTCACCGCCAATGTTTAGGCGCGTGAAAGCCGCAAAATGGCATTTTCTTCAACCAAGGTCCCATAACATATCATTCCCGTGCAATCGTTCGAATCACGCCACCCTGTGACCCCACGCACAACAACCTTCCAATGCATAAGTTGACTTCCTCGCTTGACCCGTTATACTCTTCTGGTGGGAAGGGATCCATGCGGTATTTCTTTCTTCACGGGGGTTACTCTCGGTTACCTTTCCCCGATGATGAGGTTTCAGTCGAGGCCAAGGTTCTAGTCTTCAATGGACAGGGCAAGATGTAGGCCGCGACATTCTTATGTACGAACCACTTTCGAGTTCGTTCGCTAATTGCGATTCATAGTGTATTCGACCACAGCGCAGATGAACCAACCTCTCAGTACCGCTTCATCAGCCGCGCCTTGGTATCTGTTGATGACCGACAAGACGCCTACGTACCCGCTAGAACCTTCGTAGAAACATTATTGAAGAACATTTCCATCCCCACACTGCTATTCGCTGAGATTCCACGGTGGGTACTCACTCCTCGGCTTGCCTTGTGTTTGATCCTCTTCCCCACGGAGCCTGAGACTGAGATGATCCAGGGACCAGGTCATTGCGGGGGACACCGAGGAGGATAGCCAGTTTCTATACGTGTAAGTGTTTGGCCCCTCCCTCCTCGTCCCTTCCCTTTTTCTTCACCTTCTTTCCCCCCATGTTCCCTCCTATTCCTACCCCTCCTCCCCCAACAACCACTAACAGCCCACCAGCATCCTCGTCACCCTAGGCCGCACCGGCCTCGACCAAGCCTCCTTCCAAGACTACGAGTACCTGAAAAGCATGCTCCACAGCTTCGTGCCGCGCTTCGCGACGGTCGTCTCCCAGATCAGCGACGCGTACCTCCCCGGAGATGCGCGCAACCTCTCCGACCAGATCGCCGGCCTGATGATGCCTGACCCGGCAGCAGGGGGGACAAAGGATCTCCGCACGTTCCTTGCGCTCTACGCCAAGCGGTATGTGCATGAGGTCTTGGGCGCAGAGGAGATCCTGAAGCGGTGCCTGATGCACATGGTCAAGATGCCGTTTGAGCTGGAGTCGTCGATTCGGTATGGGCTGATTGTCAACTGAATTGGCGGAGCGTGGGTTGTTGGAGCGAGACGCTGTACATAATAGAAACTAGTGGGGTCTTGTATCTGCGGCTGGAATGTATAATATGTTGTTTTACATAGGGACTTTTGGGCATCGGATTGAGCATTATTACCGAATCGTGTGCTTCTGGGTGGTGGAGATGTACCTATGTTGGACCCGAGGGGCCGAGATCCGAGATCGCCGACGGGGGTCTAACCCACTCTAGGGCACTAATGTACGTAAGATGACTAGTTGAGATTGGATTCGAACATTGCACGGGATATAATCAAGTCGAGAAAAAGAGGAGTGGTTTCCTAGAGTGCGATTCTATCTTCAAACCAACAGCGCCATAAGAACAGCCATCACCGTTCCAACAATCGGCCCCAGCACCGACCCCTGCGCTCCCGCAGCAGCAGCGCCCGTGTATAACGCACCCGCCGCGCTCCCGGTACCGGAGGGCACAACGGCCGCGCTCATTGTATTGCCACTGTTTTGACTGCTGCTCGCGGGAATGAGACGCGCTGAGGTGGGCGAAGCAGCGTGACTGCTCGTCGCGAAGCCCAGCTGTCCGCCGGGGGTGTAGTGCGGAGCCGCCGCGCCGACGGCGGTCGATTGCGCGGCATCGGTCTTCGACACAGTGATCGTACTGACGTATCCGGTGCAGGTCCCGTCACTCGAGCAGGAGTCCACGGTGATGGTGGTCGTGTAGGTCGTATCTGCGCCGGCGCCAACGCCGCCGTTGGCTAGAGTGGCAGATGTGGGCACGGGGACAGCGGTGACGGCGTCGACGCCTTCCGCCGCAACCGAGGTCTGGACGGCTGAGGTGACCGGGACGACGATTGTGGCGACGACCAGGGTCTCAGTGGTCAGGTATGCGCCCTGCGAGGTCTGACAGTGGGAATCGTCTTCGACGCAGGCGCTGACGGTCGCGACTCGGGTGCTGAGGACGGTGGAAGTCGTCTGCGAAGGGGCATTATCGGCAGTACCGGCGCCGCCGCCGCCGCGGACTTCAGTGGGCTTGTTCGTCACGGGGTAGACGGTGGTTCCGATCACCAATGTCTCGGTGGTCGGCTGGGCGGTCTTCGATCTGGCGGGACAGTCGGTCACGGATGACGGGCACGCGGTGATTGTGGTCGTGCGCGTGGTCAGAATGGTGGACTTTGTCAGGTCCGGGCTGCTACCTGCTGCATTCACGCCGGCAGGTCCTGTAATTGCAAGGGCAGTGGGGTTCGCTCCGTGAGCACTGGTTGCGTCGGCTACCGGGCAAATGGTCGTGTAAGCCACAACTGTCTCGGTGGTGAGATAGGTAGTCCTGGAGCGGGCCGGGCAGTCAGCCACAGAAGAAGGGCAGGCGGTGATCGTCGCAGTGCGAGTGGTGAAGACGGTCGAGGTAGTGAGCTTGGGACCACTGTTGCCCTGACCATGAGCACCCGTGTCCGCAGGTGATGAGGAGATCGTGGGGACGGCTTGGACGGCGGTGGTGGCGGCTTCGGCCACAGGACAAATAGTAGTATACGCAACAATGGTCTCAGTGGTGAGATAGGTTGTTTTGGACCGAGCTGGGCAGTTGGTCACGGAGGAAGGGCATGCCGTGATTGTTGCAGTGCGGGTTGTGAACACGGTGGAGGTGGTCAGCTCAGAACCACCATTGCCCTGTTGGCCATTGGCACCAGCACCTGCAGATGAGGTGGGAACAGCTTGAGTGATGGTGGCTGCTTCGGTCACAGGGCAAATGGTAGTTGACACCACCACCGTTTCCGTGGTTACGAAGGTCGTCTTCGCGCTGACAGGGCAGTTGGGGATTGTAGTCGGGCAAGCTGTGATGGTGGCGGTCCGCGTGGTGAGGACCATAGACGTAGTGAGTTGCGGGCCTGAGGAGCTGGATGCAGCCGTGGAACCCAATTCAGCAGCACCGGTGGAAGTCAAGATTGAGGTATCAGTGATAACAGTCGACGTTGGCGCAGCTGTGGTACCCAACTGAGCGGCACCGGTGGAAGTCAAGATCGAAGTATCACTGACAACAGTCGGTGTTGGCGCAGCTGGCGTAGTTTGAACAGGCCGTGAGGAGGGAATGAAAGCGCTCGAGATTGCACTTGATGAGCAGCTACGGTGCGGCAGAGGTCGGGAGACGTAAGTCCAGTGAGGCCGCGAGCTTGCTGAATGGCTTGGAACTGGTCGCGATGAAGGGATCACGGAGCTGGCCGCGGGTGATGTCCTTACTGGGGAAGATGATGGGGCGGAAGGGCTGATCACTGGCGTGACCTTCACAGGGGACGAGGAAGGAATGGCAAGCGATGTGGCAGGTGTAGCCACAGATGAAGGAATAGCAGACGATGGGGCAGGTGTAGCCACCGACGAAGGAATGGCAGAAGACGAACGAGCGCTACAGGGTCTGCGACTGGGCAATGGCCTGGAACTATAGGTCCAGTGATGATGAGATGCTGTGGCCACCGGGGTAGAAACGAGAGCAGTGGTGGTGGGTTGAATATCAACGGTCAAGGCGAGGGCTTGCGCCAACAAGGCGGCAAGTATCCATCCTCGCGCCAGCAGATGCGCCATCTTGCTTTGACGGTCTCTTCTTCCTGCTCCAAGATAAAGAATGTATAAGGTAAGGGAAGATAAAAGAGGGATTGAGAAAAGAGAGAGAGTATGGTTGTGAAAATGGTCAATACATTGAAAATGAAAGAGTGACGGGGAAGTTGGGTTGGTTGGGAAGGACCGGGAATGAGATGAGGGAATGGTGAAGACTGCCGTATTTACGGCATTCGACAATGGGCCCAAAATAAAATCGCTCATGGCGAGTGGGGATCAGGATCTTGTTCCTGAGTTAGTTCCTCGTGTTTTTTCACACTATTGATCTCGATGTCAATGCGAGGTGAAAATAGCCGACGGCGACGCCGAAGGGAGAAAATCTTAGGAGGAGCTAGAGGGTATTTAGGGCAACTTCCGCTCCCCCCAATGAACACGGATGAACAGAGTCAAGCATCCTTCTTCTCCGCACAAAATGTCTCTGAGATTCATTCCCCTTGTTGCGGGCCTCCTGCTTGGGCAGGCGGCGGCCAATGGTCCGGTGCCTTCGAGTTCCCCGGTGGCCAGCAGCAGCCAGATTCAATCTCAAGCCCGGGCTAGTGTTTACTGCCATACAAAATTGGGAACAAGCTCTGTCTCTGGTGACCTGCCTACATCAACAATTACTCGTACTCGCCATGATCCTACTGCAGTCATTATCACCTCGACTACCCAGGGCACTGTGACAGAGACTCCTGCCTTGGTGACGGTGACAGCCACCGATTATGTGACCATCGTTCTGACGACCACCGCTGATACCGTCACCGATACCTTCTCGACCACCTCCACTGACTTTATCACGTCAACGACGATAGTCACTCTCCCCACCGTGACCAGCACCGTTGCCACAACGGTGACGATCACGACCACCTCTACCTCCACCGTCTCTACCTCAGCTGGGTTCACTCCACTTGCTGAGTCACTGCCCACCGCCACGGCAGCCAAGCGCTCTCTTCTCGACACTGAGGAAGAAGACTGCGCCGCATGGCTAGATGATTATCAGTATCCTCAGGCTGTGGAGTGTCACGAGAAGATTGTGGTGAAGACCACCAGCGTGGAGACGGTGACTGCTGTGCCCATCACCACGACGGCTGCAGGCTCGACCACCACTACCACGGTGACCAACACGGTGCTGACCAGCTCCGTGGTGGTTCCCAGCGACGTCTCAACCACACTCAGCTTTAGCACCGCCTCCACCATCACCGAGACTGCCACCGCTCCAGCTGTGACGGCCACTGTCACCTCAACCAACACCGTCTCCGTCGTCAGCAGCACCACCGTGCTCGGTGCATGCGCTACCAACAACGTCCCCGGCCTACCGTTTTCTTCGGACTACGGTAACTTCGCTGGCCAATATACTTATCTCCTGTCATTCACCAACGTTCCAGGCGAGAGTATCACCGTCGGCAACACCGCTTCGGCCTACGACTGCTGCGTCAGCTGTCAGGAATCCAGCACTTGCGCCATGTCGTACTATAACCACCTTACGTCTTCGGTCAGCTACTGTTACCTGATCCATACCACCACCTGCAACAGTGCGTCGACCTACGCCAAGGCCTCCATTCACAGCTCCGCAGCCACGATTCAGATGTCGAATGGGCCCTGTGGTCAGGTTCGGGGTGTGGAGGGCTGAGTGTTCATGTACTAGACTTAGATTAACATAATGAAGCGAATCTCGCATTATCGATGCACCCTGACATCCCTGTAGATGGAATTGATGCCTTAGGGCGGATCGGAGTGGGAAGAGGTAATGCTACGGAGTCCGGACGTAACTTATCACCCCTTCCCGCCCAATGGAAGGCCGAGGCCTCGATAACTTCCTCCGACCTTCTTAACCTTACCTAGCATTTGGTGAGATTGGAGACTAGAATGGATTTCGACGACATAAGTCTTGCAAGGTTCGAGAGACTTAAGAAAGAATGGATAGCTCTGTGCTCAACCTCCTCCCAGGGTATCTGCCAACTTGCCAGCAAGTACCGCGATCGCGACGATTGTTTACTCCGCTCTATGCACTGTGGGTCCTTCAACTTCAGCTTCCGGCTTCATTTCGGAGGATGGGGAGCCAGATTGGTTGTTTAGATTTCCCCTGCCGGGAAAGTCCATGTTCTTGGATGAGAAGGTCCAGAATGAGGCCGTCCTGATGAAATTCATCGCTGACACGACGCGCATCCCTGTCCCGAGCGTCATTGCTCACGGCAGAGCAGAGCGGAATCCCACCGGTCTCGGCCCCTTCATTATCATGACCTGGGTGGAAGGCACAAAGATGTCTGACCTTCTTCGCAAAGGTGGCGATACACCTGAAAAGGAGGAGGCACTGGATCCAGATGTTGACCCGCAGACACTGAAGATCCTGTACGGAGAAATGGCGGAGATTCTGCTAGAGTTGTGGAGCCTGGATTTCAGTCATATTGGCAGCCTTCGCGAAAAGAAGACACCACCCTTGACCAAAGTTGAAGGCCGACCGTTAACTCTCGAAGTAAACGAGTTGATTAGAACATGTGGCTTGGAAGATTGCGCCCCGTCAAGAGTCTATCACAGCTCGCTGGAGTACATACATTCTCTCTTGCGCCTGCAGGACACCCACCTGGAGAGGCAGCGGAACAGTGTCTACGATGCGATCGACTGTCGGGAGAAATATGCCTGTCGCAGTTTGTTGAAAGCGACGGCTCTGCGCTTTCTATCTCCTACCGATAATGACGGCCCATTCAAGCTATTCTGTGATGATCCG